CACTGCACCTCGACATGACCACCCACCCACACCCGCCAACACCCACTGCAATCCTCTGCAATGCAGTCTGCAGTACTGCAGCGATAATTCCCGCCCCTCAAATACATCAGAGGATGTGTTGTTTGCGTGCTTGTCGATTTGGTGGTTGGTTGACTGGTCTGATCTGAATAGTCGCCGTATCTGCGGTCCAAGGCGAGAACACGACAACGTGTAGGATAAACACAGGATCCATGACTTGAAAGTACCGAGGACTGCGTTAGTCGGTAGGAGATTGATCGCTGGAGAGGTGAGATGTGGTGCAGCGTTGGTATTTTCGTGCAGACAGATTTGTGGGACGAGGCTGCAATGCGAGATGGCATGTACCCTTGTTTAGATGCGGGTAGGAGAGCGGAGTGTGAGAGAGAAGAGGGAGAGCAGGCAGTATAATAGAGAAGAGGGAAAATGGGGACGCTGACTTGAGATAGTGACAAGTTCCAAGTTGATTCTGAATATCAGCCGAGATTCATCTACCCATCTAGTCCTCGATCCTCCGGGTCTTTGACATTCTTTCTCCAAAGATCAGATCAAGCAGACTCGACTCTCTTTGATCCTAGCCCGTACTCCCTCAGTTCAACTGTCCAATCCTGATTCCCACGAGGATTCTCTCTCTCACTTCGTCCTCGGCCAGCAATCAATCCCTGATTGGGTGTCTCTCATACCGCACCCACGTCCCTTTGGCTGAGGGATTGATTTCCAACATGTAATACATGATAGTTTGATGGCTAGGACCTACTCCTTGATCACTTACAGCTCATTTCTGGTTAGTGTGTAGTGTGATGGTGTTGTGAATGAGCTGTATCAGGACTTGATCTTACAAAGGGAGAACTATCGATCAGTAGACTGACCCGCACCACCAGGCAGGTAGTCCATCACAGGGGACAAAGTAAACAGGAGGATAAAAGGGCGTATCACCATGTCTGATTGTCTCCTCCTTGCAAGAACTGAAGGTCAAGGTCAAGATGATGCGTACACAACGCAATGGAATGATCCTCCGTCTCCCCTGCCGCGATGCCCAAGTGACCCCTGTAGAATCATGCCTCCGCAGACCCCCCAAGTGCCGGCTGCACTCCGAAGGAGACTGCCGTTATCCTCACACAAAATAACTAGCATTCATAGATAACCTATTCATCAATCCTAACGTTGCTCCCCATTATTACCGGTGGCATGGGCGGTTATGGGTGCATCGCGCAGGAAACTCAAAAGGCCCCACCTGAAAGTCAATCACGCTAAAAGACCGCACTTATCTACGGAGGACATGCTGCGATCGTAGACGACCAGGATTGCCTCGCCAGTGTTCGGCAATGAATAGACCAAACCGCTACCTATTCCACGGGCAATCAACGTCTGGACTAACCACGGCATGAATGCTGTCAGCGTAGACCTAGATCCGCTCAGGATTCTCCCTGCCACTCGCGATTTGCCACTTGCGAATTGAACGCCGCAATTGGCGCCCACTGGCCTGGTGGTCCCTGGACGTGTGCCTGGGTTGTTAGGCGTGTTAGGCACCCTTTGGGCAGTAAAAGGGTGTCAATGGGCATAAAAAAGAGCGTCACCCACATCGCTGTCGCCGCGAGAATGCTCGGGCGGCCTGCGTGGGTGGCGATAATCAACGGATTTCGCGCCACCAAACACTCAAATAACACGTAATTTAGTTATAATGCCTGCAGGGTGAATCTGTGTATCAATAAGGGCTACTTTTGACTATAATTACATAGAAATTCGCTGTGGAATGGCGTTTGGTAGCGAAACGTGTCCCCGCGGTGGAAAATTTGGGCCGGGTGGCAAAACGGCGGTGAGTGGCAAAACGGCGGGACAGAAGATGGCCTGCAGAACCACCAAAACCAGCAGAACAGCGACTATTGCTTTGCCACTGGGATTCTCTCAATCCAGTCAAGTAGATGGACTGATCAGATACCTTTTTCAATCAAATTAATCATTAAATCGGTCAACGGCATACCCGGATGCTGAATAGCTGGTTGCGGCGTGTTAACCCATCTTCTGTCGCCCCGGCCACTGCCCTTTCCTGTCCAACTCCCCCTCGTGCATCAACCACTACCCGATGGGCTCATACACTCGCGGTCAACCTAATGGTCCATGCTCTCTCATAATTCCCGTAAAGTCACCAACCAATACCGGCATTGACCCCATTTTACCCATCAACTACACGATGGAGACGCTCCACGACGCTCCGCAACGCTCCGCAACGCCGCTCAAGTCGTGAATACAAGACCCCCGTCAGTTCCTGAGAGTTCCCATCCAGCTTGAGACATTCTCGCTATGCACAACCCTCATATTCACCACCGTGGTCGACATCGACACCTAATACGGGGGTATCCTTGATGTTCGCCGCACTTGTCACAAGATGATTGGTCAATAACTCTGTCCCAGAGTCCTAGGGTCCCAGAGTGCCAGAGTCCTATTTCTGGCCAAAACCGCCAACCAGACGCCTCGTGCCAAGATGGTTACACCCGCACTCTCCGGGAAATATAAGGCTGGCGCAGCCGTATGCCACAATTTTACCACTTCCACCACCACTACCATCATCTGGCCACAGCAAGAATCCTCCTCGGTCATTCGGAGAGCTCTCTCACCTCAGCTTCAGCGTTGGGGTTGATTTGCCTCGAAACGCCTGGCCAGAAGTCCTACTTTTTGCTTCTTCCTCATCTCAGCCTCATCTCGATAGGACCTCTGAGAAATCTATCAACGACGGCAATATTCGTGATTTCTCCCTGCGGCCGGCCTCAAGACCGAGTCCTGGACGAAATGGAACCGCAAAACCCGATCAAGACGAGAGCGGAGTCGTTGCCCAGAGTACTAAAGACGGACGAAAACCGTCAACTGGCAACCAGCTGCTCTTGGGGAGCCTTACCCCATCACATACCTGACAGCCTGCGAAGGCCATCAAGAAGCGAGACGTCGATCCTCTCTATGAAAGACGACCCCGAAGAACAACAGACAAGGATGTATAGGCCCGAAAGAGAAATGTGGAACATGAGCCAACACGAAGCGCAGCCTGGCGTGGGCATACAAGCAGCCAAGAGAAGGAGGGAGGGAACTGAAGATGGAGACACCTCTTTCAAGCTACCAAGATGGAATGGGGATGCGGCGGGGGCATCCGCGAGGGAGCCATATGAAGAGGCTAGAGATTGGGGGATTTCAAAGATCTGGGGGAAACCCGAGCAGGCGGATCAGCAGCCGCCGAAAATTGGAGTCATCCTTAAAGACGGCAGAACCGCTTGGACAGAAATTGATACCGAGTGCCCTAAAGTCCCCGACTATCGAGCCCTACCGCCTGACCATCCAAATTACGCTCGGACAGTCACCAAACAAGAACTCTATGCTTTTATTCAGCGACATCCTATTTGTGCGCACAAGCGCCATCTGCTACTTCCGAGCTATTTCGGCCCCCGGGGCCGGCTCTACCTCAAGGGTATCGGAAAGGAGTTGATACAAGAGTGGTTCAGTGCCCGGGACAACATCATCGAGACGAAAGCACATTGGCCCGAGGATATGATCCCAGAGACACTCATGGCCACCTGCTTGCAGAAGTACAGTGAAGCCGTGGAGCGGTTTTCACGGCTGAAGAAGCGTCGGCTGCACCCGGGCAATGGGACTTTAACATTGAATCAGAGACTCGCCGATTCTCATAAAAAGATCACAGAGCTTGAAGATCTCTATTTGGCGGAGAAGAGGGAACGTCAGCGGCGGGATCGCATGCTCGGGACCCTCCATGGTCTCCTCACTGGTGATGTCGGAGAATACCTCGCCCCATCTCTGCCGGGAAGCCCGACCGACGACGAGGACCGTGCATACGCGGAGGTCTCGAAGCTCTGGCTGGGCTTCATGGACGAGCAGCTTGGAGACGAGGAGCTTGGATACGAAAAGCCTGAGGGCGAGGAGCCTGAGGACGAAGACATGTATGGCGGCCCACCCTCGACGCCCGACCCCGAGGACCACGACGGTCCTGTTTCAGAAGAGTTGGTCAGGAAGAATGCCATGGATCTGAGCCAAATTCTGAACGGCTGAACCACCACCATCAGACGGACGACGTCGGCACTGATCGGCGGTCGGAGCGGTCGGTTGTATAGCAGATGTATACCACAAGGGCAGAAGGGAATGAAAAGGACCGTATGCCTCTATCTCTGATTCTTCCTCTACCTCTGCTTCTGTCTCTGCTTCTATCTCTGCTTCTGCATTGACCTAGCCTAGCCGCAGGCAGGCAGGCAGGCTTCAGCCTCAAGCCTCAGACTCCAGCCTCAAATCCCAAGCCTCAGACTCCAGCCTCAAGCCTCAGCCTCAGCTTCGCCAGAGTACCCAAGCACCCAGGGGTGTATGCAATTTCGGAATACGAGAGGCGTTTTGACTGCTCTCACACCCACCCACCCACCCAGCCCTTGCCTCCGTCGTTGCGTTGAAAGGGTGGGTTACACAGACAATCAAGGGAGAAAACCTGTTTTTGGCGTCGTTGGCGTTGCTGTAAGTGGCTGATTCTCAACACAACCAGCAAGCCAGCAAGCCAGTCAGCCGCCCGTCAGAATACGAGAAATGGTGGCTTCTGCCCAACAAATTACCTGTCAACCCCGGCCGGTTACACAAACATCAGGCAGCAATCACACACCGCACCGGCCGGAATGTGGACTGACTGTGTTGGATGGCTGCCTGGCAATGCATTCAATGATCCCTGGCAAGAGTCCTCATTGATCTTCTTTCTTTCTCCGGGTCTGCCTTTTATTGAAACGTCCCTTCGGAGATTGGCTTTTCTCGTTCTTCATTCTCTCTCCCAAAGTGACGACACGGGCAGTAAAAAGAGACCACCTTTGGCTTTGGCATTGGCTATCGCGGTCGCCTGCGGAATAGCAACATCGACATCGACATCGACACGCTCACCACTCACCTGATCGGTCAATAGAGACCCCCGTCTTTGCAGCTCTTTACAGAGAAAGGAAAGGAAGCTCATCACCATGTCTGTCGGAAGCAACGGCTCCAATGCTGGCGGTTCCAATACTGGCGGCTCCAATGCTGGCGGCTTTAATGCTGGCGGCTTTAATGCTGGCGGTTCCAATACTGGCGGTTCCAACGCTGGCGGCTCCAATACAGATGGCTCCAATTCGGACGGCTCCAATACAGATGGCTCCAATACAGATGGCTCCAATACAGGTGGCTCCAATGTAAGTGCTTGATGATTTCCCCCCTCCCGGCAGCCTGCCTAGTCAATACTGAGTCAGTGTTGTAATGATTCCAGACCATGAGCTATCGGTTCACGTACACGACCTGTCCCCTCCACGAATACAGCAAGATCAGCGCCCGCGACGGCCGCGGCCCGATCTGGATCTGCCGGAACTGCGACGGCGTCCACGCCGCCGTCTGGGAGTGCACCTTGTGCGGCCACAACCTCTGCCCCAGGTGCCTGAACTACAGCCCGCAAGTGGACGGCCCTCAGGTGGACGGCCCTCAGGTGGACGGCCCTCAGGTGGACGGGATCGAGGCGACCAACCGGGCAAGGTTCCGTTAGGTTATTTGGACAGGAAGGTACAACAAGAGAAGAAGGACACGGGGGCAGGGGGCGGGGGTGTGGTGGCGAAGAAACCATCAGGAAGAATGATATTGTCGAGAGTCGGAATGTGCGTAACGGACCACGGGGAATTGTTGGGGGGAGTGGACATTACAATGAGCATGAACGAGCAGAGAAGGAATTGATTGATGGACACTCGTTTGAATTGACTATCTATCTATGCGGTTGGTCCCTGTCCAAGGGCATTTTATCTATGCTAGTCAATGTGAGGATCGTGTCCAACCCGTAGCAATAATCCTGGCAAAGGTCCTGCCTTGCCTCCTTTGGTTAATTGATATCCAAGATGATTCCAATTGAAGTTGATGGTTTTCCAAGTTGAATGTCTTTGAGACAGAGTCCAATTGACGTCGTTGTTGTTTTCCAAGTTGAAATTTGTTTTTATGGCCGAGATGGCGAAGATGACGGTAGATGGCTAACGCAGATTAGATTTGATGCACAGCAGAACAGGGGGAGAGAGAGACTTACCAATAGAACATAGTGAAAGATAAATGAAGGACTGAAGTGAACACAATGGCTGAAGACGATGGTTGAAGATGATGGCTGAATATTGCTGAAGAGCTGACTGAAGATTGCTGAAGAGCTGACTGAAGAAGATGGCTGATTGAAAAAACTGATAGATGGCTGAAGAGCTGACTGAAGATGACTGAAGAAGATGGCTGAAGAGCTAACTGAAGATGACAGAAGAAGATGGCTGAAGAGCTGACTGAAGACGATGGCAGAAGATTGCTGAAGAGCTGACTGAAGATGATTGAAGAAGATGGCTGAAGAGCTGACTGAAGACGATGGCAGAAGAAGATTGCTGAAGAGCTGACTGAAGATGATTGAAGAAGATGGCTGAAGAGCTGACAATAGATGGCTGAAGAAGATGACTGAAAAAAAACTGATAAATGGCAGAATAAATGGCAGAATAAATGACAAAAGATGGATGAAGAGAAAGAAGAAAAACAAAAACAAGAGGGATGGTGAGGTTTTTATGGTGGTCGAGACGCGAAGGAGGAGGGCTGAACGCGTCATCAACAAGGCAAGATTCCCGACAATCAACAATACAATGTGTCCAAACACACACAAACATGGATGAGGCCCCGTAGACCGCCATGTCATTCTACAACGAGGAGACACTGGCCTACAGAGTATTGTTCATGGGATGAATTGATGATTGATTGATTGATTGACTATACACTCGGTCTCATAGCCAGAGAGCCAGAGAGTCAGACAATTGAAGTCGGATCATTCCGCAGCCGCACTCCATCAATCCCCGCCTAATCTAATCAATTTATCTGGACTCGGTCGTCTTTTCGCAGTTACTATTCCCAATCGTTAACGGCTCTGCGCCTCCACCGCACGAATGCACGGCTTCGTTACTCAGTCGCTTACTCATTCGCTCGCTCACGATCTCTATCGCACTCTCACTATCGCATTCTCGCTTTCGCATTCTCGCTATCGCACTCCGCTCTCGCTTTCGTCTTTTCTGATCCTGCTGCCCAATTCGCCTGGCGATTCCCGCTCGCTTTCCAGGTCCTCTTCCACTTACATCTTGCTGGCCAGCAGCAATCTTGTCCCCTACAACCCCAGCGCCCGTTGGCTCCTCTCGAAAAACCGTCGCCCTGTAAGCCCTGGACGTGGTCAAGCGACTTCACAGAAACCCCAGCGACCCGGAAGATATCCAATTGCTGGCTCATAGAGCAATAGTACGACATGGACGCCACCATGGCCCAGGGCCGGCTATTGCATGCCATTCTCCTGTCTTTTCTCGTCTTTTCCCCTCGACTACACTCTTCTATTCTATCCTCCTCTACTCTACCCTCTCCATTCGCCTGCTTTCTCTCCGTTCTCGTGTTTTGCCTCCATTCCCCTGTCTTGTATCCGTTCCCCTGGTTGCTCTCCCTTCTCCTGCCCTGTCTCCATTCCTGTCTTGACTCATTCGCCTATCTTCTCTTTTCTATCCTCCTCTCTCTGCTCTCTTCATTCCCTGTCCTGTCTCCATTGCCCTGTCCTGTCTCCATTCTCCTGCTTTCTCTCTATGCTTCGATCTCCTCTCCATTCGCCTGCCGTGTCTCTATTCTCCCGTCTGTCTCTCCTTTCCTCCTTCTACAGCACTCTTACTTCTAAAGCCGATGACGCGTGGCTGTCATGTATTATGACCTGAGAGACCGTGACACCACGGCCTGCCTTGCGGCTTCATGCAGCGAAGATGTCTCCTTGGTCCGGTCGCCCGCTCGCACCGCCTCGTTCACTTTCAATGACAGCACTCATGGCGCCAGGCTCTTTGGCCGGAAAGAGTTTGGGACAGCCTAGAGCCTACATCTCAGCGACCTCTTTGAGCTCCACCGACAGCCAACGCTATCTATCAGTGTATCATGCTGTGCCCGATAATAAACAGGAAAAACCTCGCCAGCGACCCAGTTTCATGTTTGCAGCAGTGGAGCCAACGAGAATCTTCATGGCGCCGCCGATGAACTCGTGGACGACGCCTCGTCAGCTGGTCGCATGATTACTCCGTGATACCACCTGTTTCAGACAATAGCCGATGGTCCAAGGAAAACGGCTTGAGCCAAAAGCTCCACCAGGACTGGGCTTCGGGACGCGGCAGGCATCGAGGAGGAGATTCGTCTTCCTCGCTTTCGTCCTTTATGGTGGGCTGCCCAGCCATGCTCTCGTCTTTGATCTGGCGATTGAACTCTGGACGTCGCCGACTCGGACTAGCCGGCACGACCTCACGACCTGATTGGAATGTCCCTCCTTGGCCACACGGAGAATCTCCTGCCGTTCAACAGAAGAAGAAGCACAAGATGAGTGAGCCACGATCTCTCGTTCCCAACTTGCTCGCATCAGACCTGACACTGACTCTGCGAAGTTATCAGCTCAATAACCTAGCAAAATTGACAGATTCCTCGAAGAAACATTGGAGAAGCTGTTGTAAATGAAAGGTAGAGTCTCTTCCCCTCTACTACACCACTCTGTTCTCTTTTCTACTCTCCTGCCTTGTCTCCATTCTCATACCTTGTCTCCATTCGCCTGCTTCTCCATTCTCCTCTACTCTCTCTACCTTCCTGTCTTCTCTCCGTTCTCCTGCCCTCTCTCCATCCTCCTGTCTTCCTTCCGTTCTCCTGTCTTCCCTCCACTCTGTCTCGTCTCCAAACAATGGTTGCTTCTTAGCTAACCCGTGTGCCCGGTCCTCATGCTCGTTATACCACCAACGAACATCTCCCTCTTCCATGTCCTCAAAGAAGACATTCGAGATTTCGCTCAAGCCACCCATCACTCGTGAGCTCAAGAAGAAGGTCGAGACTGACGGCGAGAACGACCGCACCGTCAAGTCTACCACCCAGCTTCTCTTTGAGACCTCTCTGCTCGTCTCCGGCTTCACCATTGAAGAGCCCGCCAGCTTTACCGAGCGCATTCACAAGCTTGTGTCCCTTGGTCCGAATGTCAATGAAAAAGCAGAGACTGCCGAGGAGAAGGCCGCTGAAGAGGCCCCTGCAGCTGAGGGAGCTGGCGAGAGCGCCATATACTCGTGATGCCACCAACGATTCTCCCCATCGCTACGTGGTCCCATCGCTACGTGGTCCCATCGCTACGTGGTAGGTAAGAACGGAGGCTTGACGGGCTCGTCGGAGATGACCAAGACCACCAAGACCACCAAGGCCACGGCTCTCGGCTTGCCTTGCGTGAATGGGCACCAACTCTGTCCATGAAAGCATCTCTCGGGGGAAATGGACGAAGCACAATAGTGGCCGCCGCCCCGATTCACCCCATCGCCCGTGTCAAGAGACTCTCACCCCAAAACGGTACGTACCAGCCTACGAATTGCTCCGTCGTCAGCGTCGGCCTAGACTTTCACCAGTTATCCCTCCAATGAAGGTCAATGGCTATTCTTTGTTTCTTTGTCACCACGTTGCTAATGGCGCTTAGCCAAAGATCTCTCGATAACCCACGTGGCCACCCTTGTCTATCTGAAGTCTCTTGGCTAGGTACCTCCCCCAGAACAGAAAGGGCCTTCCTCCAAGCCAGCCACCAAGCCAGTCAGCCTCCAAGCCAGCCACCCAAGCGTCAGTCATGTCTACCGAGTACCCCGCCCCCTGCGCAGCTGCCCTTGGCTCTTCTACCCTACCAGGCCACTTTCTTCCACTGAAACGCGAACTTGACCCGCCGGCACTCCGAAAGGACGAGTTCGTCAAAAAGTCCGACCGATGACCACACGTATTCTCCGTAGGTTCCTCCCGAGCCGGGAGAGACTGGCGGACGTAGTCTTGAGGACACTCCTGTTCATAGCAACACAATACGAGCTTGGTGAGTAAGTAGGCTGTTCCACTGGCTGTTCCAGTGGCTGATACAACGCCTGTTACAATGGCTATGACAATGGCTGTTACAGAAGCACCAGCAGCACCCACAAACACCCCCAAGTTCGAGCTGGAGTCATGCCGAGCCTGGTTCACTCCCCCTCGACTCCCAGCGTCTACGGCGTGATGAACGAACCGTCAGAGCTTCTCTTCCGGCCTGCCATGTGTCTGCGCAGATGGTGGTCGGAAAGCCGAGTCTGGGCTGGCGATGAATAACCAGAAGCTTCATGGGCGCCACCTTAAGGCCTTTCCAGGGGGGCGTGCATCTGACATCTGACACGCAGCACCAATGCCTGTTACAATGCCTGTTACAAATCTTTCTTCCTCACGTCGACCATTCTTCCTTAGAGAGGTACGAGTCTTGTACACGGTGAGTCTTCAGAGATCCTGCTGGGCGGAGGGGTCGCGCAGAGCTTGAATCTTACATGAAACCCTAGATGCGTATGCTGCCAGCACTGCCGTTCATGGCACTCCTGCTCCGTTTCGTTCTACCAGGCTGCTCTGGAAACCGCATCGTCGCAGTATGTCGTTGCTACCGCCGCCGCCGCCGCCTCTTCCCTATTGTCACAAATGCTCGAATCAGCCTCTTCTCTGTCCTTGGTAAAGAGGAGGAGACTTCTCCAGCACAGAGCGCCCTTGACGCCGTCATTTCTGCCGCATCGTCCTCTCTCGCTCCGCAGCACGCTATGCGGCGAGCACAGCCATTTACGGCACTCCTGTCCCCTGCTATCAGAGTGCTTTGGATGGTCCTCTATCATTCGGGCACGATTTCTGCAGATCTAATATCCATATGATATTTAATCCGTGGAATACGACAGTTTCGAGTCTTGACTATTCAGCCTACGAACCCTGCGAACCCTACGAGCCCTACGAACTGTCTTTGAGCGCATTTGCGGAGGAGAGCTCTCCATGTTTCGAAACAGATTCTCAGAAGAGTCCTCAAGGACAAAACACAACGCATTTCCACTCAGGTGCGCGCGCCTTGCCTTCTGCCCTTGCTGGCGGTGACTGGGATCATGGGAGTACATCTACATCTGTCATCTGTCCCAAATAGACGCTGCTGCTGTCCCCTAGACGCACGCCACGGCTGTAGGACTTCTCCCTGAGGCTACTGTCTACAGCCGCCGGGGAGGGAGGACAGTCAGTCGTCCGTTCATTCATCCATCCATGAGATTCTCCGCTAACTCATTCGTGAGGTCTCCGCTAAAGACGGCACGTATCATGGCTGTACTTCCCTCCCCCCTGACGCTATCGTATACAGCCACCGAGAAGGGCAGCGAGCTACTCGGTCAGTCGCTCGTTCATCCATTCATCCATCCATCCATGAGATTCTACTTACCTCCGCTGACGTTATCGAATACAACCGCCGGGAAGGGTGACGATTTGCTCAGTCAGTCAATCAGTCGTTCATTCATTCGATTCTCCGCCTAAAAACGGCACGTACTACTGCTATGCTTCCTCCTCCCTGAGGCTATCGTATACAGCCGCCAGGAAGGGCAACGATTCAGTCAGTCGGTCAGAATTCGCACACTGACGATGAAATACAAGATCGACGACCCGCAATCCCGTTCAAATTCCGCAATCCTCTGGCGAGTCACTCACCCCTCTCGTGGACGGAGAGCTACCCTTGAACCCATCAGTGGCGACTTCGACTGCGCAAGCAAGGCTGAAGATGAAGTCCTTGACACGCAGGACTGCTCCGCAGCATGGATACACTCCATTACCGCATCGACAGAGGCAGATGAAAGCGACAGCACTCATGATCGGTGATTGTCCGTCGGGTATGCGAGAGAATAGGGGAGCACAGCCCTGAGCCGAAGTCTTCTGTTTAGGGAACCAAACGTCCAAAACACAGTCTCGGCGGCAAGCGATGTGTCAGTCAGTCGTTCGTTCATTTATTCATTGGCGAGATTCTCCGCTGAAGACGATACGTACCACACTACGGCTGTTGTACTTCCTCTTCGTTGACGCTATCGTATACAGCCGCTGGGAAGGGCAGCAGCTTACTCAGTCAGTCAGTCGGTCAGTCACTCGTTCGTTCATTTATTCATGAGATGAGATTCTCCGTCAACAACGGCACGTCCTACGGCGGTAGGATCGAACGGTCAAAGGCAGAAACAGCCGGCCGGGGAAGGCAGTCAGTCAGTCAGTCATTCATTCAGTCATTCATTCAATCGATTCTCTATCTAAACGGCACGTACCAAACCACGGCTATGAGGTTACTTCCTTCCCCCTGAGGCTTACCGTATACAGCCGTCGGGAAAGTCAGCGAGTCACTCAGTCCGTTGGTCAGTCTCAGAAGTTCAAGCTGTCTCCCCCAGCATTCCTGAAGACAACGTTCCCTTGATACAGAAAGAACTTCTTCCCAATGCGCGCATGGACGCTTCTGCCGCGCGCGGCGGTTCCATTCGTGGCGCAGTGGCTCCTCGAGCACGAAGCGGCGGACCAGCACCACCACGATGCAGCCGCGCACCTCTCCCAGCGTCGGCACCCGCGCCGGCGTCAGTTCGGGCTTGACCTTTGTCTTCAAGATCTGCGAGGTCATCTACGCCGTAAGGGCCGCATGAGTAACGAGGATATGCATTGAAGTAGATAGGAGATGATGCATCAATCTGCCTCAAAAGGGACTCGATCACAATAGGACAGTCTGTATCGACCACTCCATGTGGTCCCCTTGACGTCTCGGCGTTCAGACTCATGAGATGCTCGGCCTGAAAACGGCACGTACGTTATTCCGTCTGGCCCGCTGCCAGTCAGTCGTTCAGTCGTTCAGTCGTTCATTTGTTCATGAGATACTCCGCCTGCGTACGATATAACGGCTGGAGGACTTCCCCCCGCGGCTTACCATATACTGCCGTCCGGAGGACAGCGAGTGAGTCATTCAGTCGTTCAGACGTTCAGTCTTCCATTCATTCATACAACCACCAGGAAGCCAGCGAGCCAGTCGGTCAGTCGGTCGGTCGTCCATTCATGAGATTCGCCGCCAAAGACGATACGTGCCGTATCACACCACGGCTGTCGCACTTCTTCTCCTCGAGGCTTACCATATGCATACCCCCTGAGGCTACCGAATACATGGTACAGCAAGTGTCCCTACTACTCCCGAGTGCCAGCTTGGTTTGACGCCAGAAAGATTGTTCTCCTGCAAAGACATTTATCGATATTGGAAGAGGAAAGAATGAGCCCTGTGCGGCATTATTGCTACTACATTACACGTCTATATCTGCCATCCTACCTGCCTGCCAATTCAGTCCTCTGCGATCTATCGCTACAGACAAGAAAGAGGACGTACGGCAGCACGGCAGGTGACGAAACCTCGGGGCATTATCATATCATATCGTCAGACATCTATCTCTCCACGCCCTACCTGGTTCACCGATTCGACACTTGCCGGCCCCTCGAACATCACCACCGTGACGACAGCGGACACGAGGCACCCCGAAGCTCGACCCTGGATCGGCCACAGTCAAGCGAGATCCAGATATTGAACAGCTGGGCGACTAGGTAGCTACATCCTCCGACGGCTCTGGGCGCCTCCTGCGCCGTTGCTCGAGGGTAGCGGCTTATGGGCGACCAAGGATGACTGGCTTGCTGCGCGCCAACCACCATCAGTCACGCAATCGGATGTGGATGACGAAGAGGAAGAAGAAGAGATCGAAGATGAAGCGGACCAAAACTCGACGACAGAATCGCCCAGCGACAGGGCCCGGACGACCCCGAGTGCCAGCGCCAGCGTCAGCGTCACTCTGGCCAGCGGCTCGGACGCCAGCACAGTCCACGTACGCGACAGCCTCGGCTGCACGGCATTTTTGACGTGTTTAATGCTTGACAGCCAGACAGCCAGACAGCCCCCCTGGGTATGGTAATAGTCCAAGGTATTAGACTCCCTCCGCTGGGGGAAAAAGAAGTCGAAATGGGCAATCCGCAGCCAAGTCCTACAGCCTTCCTTTTGTCAGGGAGGCCACGGACGCCTCACAGTCGAACCTGAGTCAGATCTGAAGATCAGGGCCTGTTCCGGGCGCGCAAGCCTCTGCCTTTTGGTCGAATCGCCAGTCTGTGTCCGAAATGAAAGCGCCAGGTTAGCCGGATTGTGTACGTCCTGTACCGTCTGAAACTGGGGCCAGTAAAGGCTTCCCGAGGTCTCTCTGACTCCCCGGTCTCTCTTCCCCCTCTTGCGTTCTTGCTTGGCCATTCATTTTCTCTGCAGAGCCGTGCGTGCCCAACGGTGCATGGGGCTCGTGGTATCAGCCTTACCGAGATCTTGATCGGTCCGGCGTTCTTGGTGACGCAGGCCAACGAATACATCGTGAATGGAGTCGGTCCTCCTCTCGTTCCCGACGTCCTTGAACCCGTCATCGATTTCTCTCTCACTGGCGGCAGCGGCTTTGTTGGATTGCGACATCAACCGGGTTTTGATGACCCAAATGGGGTATTGACGTTGATGAAGACGATGATGGCAGTGATTACATGGATGAAGCGTCTAGGGAAGCGTCAACCATCATCCTCGGTGGTCAGCAAGCAGACTCTTACATTCTTGGTCAGCAGAATGTGTCAAGATGGTGGAACAGGCGCCGGCGGCGAGGGGTGAATAGCAGCGAGCCACCTCCCCATGTCAACGAAGAGCGTCCCCATGTCAACGAAGAGTGTCCTCTTGTCAATGAAGAGTGTCCTCTTGTCAATGAAGAGCGTCCCCATGTCAATGAAGAGCGTTCTCATGTCAATCAAGAGCGTCCCCATGTCAATAAAGAGTGTTCGACCCTGGCAACGGGAAAGCACCTCTCTCGCCTTTTCAGCGTCCCGTCCAACGATGCAGGCGTCGGCGCCCAGAGCGACCAGCGCCCTGACTTGGCCGTCAGACTCGTATTCACCCTGACGGCAGCAGTCTGAGGAGACCAATCCCACGATCACGTCTGTTTCTTTACAAAGGTCACGATCTGCCCCTGCAAACGTCTTCGACAAGACGCTTTGCCCAAGAGAAGTCCAGTTGAATCCATCTCACCCAGTCAAACCTTGAAGTCCCTGTACGACGTTTGGCGTCTCTCGACATCTTGGACGACGACCTCCCCCCCGCCCTTCTTCCTTGTCTGACGCCTAGCCCGATGCCTAGCTCGATGCCTACAGGCATAAACACAAGGTTTTAGGCGCCTGGGCAGGTTTCGGAGCAAGACCGAAGATTGTACGACGGCAGCTGGACATAAGTCTCCACCGCAACCATTGAATCCAAGTATGGTTGCTAAACTCGTTCAGGGAATCCTTGCAGAAGTGCCGGATGGGGCTCTTCCTCAACCGGCGAGCAAGCATGGCTCATTTTCGGCGCAATAGGACACATGGGCCGCTCCGTGGCCAAGGCGGCAGGATGAGCGGCCAGCGGCCAGCGACGGCCCCAAACCTCGAACTACATCAGCGCCGGCAGTGTCATGCACACGTTGAACTCAGTGTATACGATTACATGCCTGTCGAGAGTGAGAGCGATGGCAGTGCCGCGACCTTGAGCCTGCGGGGGGCGGGTTGAGGGATTCTTCGTGGGAGACGGATGAGGTGGAAGCTGAGGAGAGTTGATGATCTTTTGCCAACCTCCTTCCAAGGGCTCGACTCGGCAAACCTCGTCCTATTTCTTCACCGTCACTGTCACCGCATCGACAGCCCCTCCTGGTGTTACGTTCTACGTCAGCCACTGGTCAATGCCGCCGGTCAATGCCACTGGTTATTTCAATATACAGCCACGGGGAGAACGTGAATTTTGCTGATCTACTGGCTGGGGTCAGTCAGCACGACAGCTGAAAGGTTACGATCTGAAGAGTCATGTCAGCCGCACAGTCTTGGACCTCTTTGACTACCTGTCTTCTTACTCCGTTCGTTCGCCATCTTAAGCATGCGGTGAGATTCGATAACGCTGGGAAACCGGAGATCCCAAGAATGCAAAGGTCCTAGCTAGACCTGGCAGGATAGCTACGAAAAAGGGTCGTGCCGCACCCCTTTCATCTTCGCCACTACCAAGCAGCTGACAGCTGTGCCTGAGAGGGCAGGAGGAGGACGACATATCGCAGCTAGCAGAGCGGCATCAGCCGCAGCGGTGGCGCGATGAGAGCCGGGTGACCGAGGAGCCCGTTCGATCTGGACCCCAGTTCTTCTGTTCTTCTGCCTTCCCGGAAGGCTATTTCTGCCATTGACTGAATGATCCGATCCTCCAGCCTAACCAGATTGTTGAGAAGCATATTCGATCTGAACCCCACGATCTCCTTCTGTTCTTCATCCGTTTGACCTCGAGGCGAGAGACACTAATCCCAAGTCAGATGACGGTCTGGCATGATCGATACAGTTCAACAAGCCACATACCTCGAGTTTCGCGGCGCCAGGCACTTGCCTCCTCTGGTTGGCCACCTGTTTGGCCATATCGGCAGGAGCAGCAGCAGCCTGGCGAGCCTGCGCTGGTCCCATCTCTCCAGGAATCAGATCCGCCTGGACTTCCACCACGGGCCCTTTCGCCGCCACTTTTGGCCTGGGCTGCTTCCGCTTGTCATCAAATCTGTCTGCGGCATCGCAATTGTAGGCGTCGAGCCATCTGGCCATGGCGCAAATCGTGCTCGTGGCAATATACGAGATTATTCTGAGTCTTGCAATCAACGCTTGCCGGCCCTTTCCGTCAGCCACCTCCATGAAGGTCTCTCTCTCCATGGACGTCTCTCCGGCCCTGTCCGTCAGCCACCTCCAGGAACGTCTCACACCCTTGGATTTCGGTCTTCCGACTCATCAGCATTTCTTCTTTCGATAGCTTTTGTGCCTGCCTACATTGGGCGTTGAAGATTTGTCGAGAGGCTGTTCACGTTGAGCCGTCTAGTAATAATATCACCACTTCGAGGCTGCGCTTCGAAACCTGGCTACCAACGCCCGATTATCGAGTTATTCTCGCATCAAGATCACTCGATAGGTCGAAGCTATCGTCCTCGTCAAGGATCTGAGAGGGGAATAGCCATTGCGGGTTCTCTGGGGTGGAGGAATCGCTGGATATTGCTCTGCCTACTGCCCCTCAACGAGTGAAATGTTTGTCGACCAGGATGCAGAGTCAAGGATCAACCAAGAGATACTGACCGTCTTGGATGGGTCTCCATTTCGGAGCAGTGGAACATCCGCGCGCCGCGGCCCTCGCAGAAGATCTCGCGCCCAAGCGTCTTTGCTATCCATATCCAACAGGACGACGAGGCAGAGAAGCGGAGCAGACTATGGCGTCCTATCAAGACCTTCCAGTACTAGGAACAAGCGATCGCGCCCAGGTAGAGGCATTCGAAGCGTTCGAGGCTTTGTGGAACGTGGGCCCGAGGCGCTGATTCGGTCTCCCAGGGTTTTCTGTTGTGTTATGACCAGCTATACAGACTCCGGTGGCACTGGAGTGTCCTCTACGAGTCCACCATCTTATTTACAAAGGTTACTAGACCCAGACCCCTTTGCTCTGCCTACGCGATTGAGTCCGAGCCTGCGCTTTATCGGAGGCGCATCTTACACCAAGCCGGATGAGTCTGCGGGATTGTTCGATACGAAAGAGCGATATTCTGGGTTCCCTGGAGATCGGAGACAGTGTCCTTGAGGGTGTTATCGTTGCTACCTCCCTGGTGCACTGGAGTGTCCTCTGCGAGTTCCCCTGGAGATCGGAGACAGTGTTCTTGAGGGTATTGTCGTTGCTCTTCCCTCTGTGTGGCTAATAATGCTGAGGAAACTCTAGGTGGACACCCAATCAACCTCGTCGGCCCTTTTTTCCCACCCTGGCTTGCCTTCCTACCTATTCTCTACAGGATTTTGAGCTTAGAATAGACGATTCAATATCCGCGATGGATTCGTCACCCAAGATAAAGAAGAGGAAGAAGAAGAGGAAGAAGAGGAGGAGGAAGAAGAGGAGGAGGAAGAAGAGGAGGAGGAAGAAGAGGAGGAGGAAGAAGAGGAGGAGGAAGAAGAGGAGGAGGAAGAAGAGGAGGAGGAAGAAGAGGAGGAGGAAGAAGAGGAGGACTGCCCTCCTGAGGCCCGAGAGAAAATAGAGGACAACGTTGAAGACGACGGCGACGGCGGTGAGCAGCTGAACTGGTAGGTCCGCTACTACGGTAGCAAGCGCCTCTGTGAATGGGTGGTAGAAGAAGAGAAGAACCTGAAGATCTTTCGCCAAACGAGGAATGACAGCCAGAAGAGCCGATAGTGGCCGTCGTCAGTGATCTCCAGCTTGAGAACCCATTCGCAAACACCTGTTTTGAGCGATTCTGGACACTAGTGTATCCGTACCGGCCCTTGTTTGACCTGGAAGATCTTCAATCACGAGACGAGACGACCTTGAACGAAGGGATCCAGGAGGATCCACGCTCTGTCCTCGTCCTGTCTCGATTCGCATTGGGAGCAACTGCCTTGGACCCTATCGAAGTTTTGGTCTTGAGCCCTGAGACCTCAATCCTGCCAGCTGTTGTGGAATGGACCTCTATATCAACCTCTTACTTGGGGAGGTGGCAGGCCTCGTTTACAGCGAATTGGGCGCCTGTTCTACCAATTTGTTGGATGGGTCTCTATATCGAACTTCTCCTTTCTGAGATGGCAGACATCACAGTCTTTGGCAGTCAATCGGATGAGCGTCATTCGGTGATTTGACGGACATTGAGATTGATTCGTTTCTTACTCATCCTCCCTTGCCATTGCTGGTATAGTCCATCATGGCTTGTATCTGGTCAGTCTTGCAGCCAGCAATGAGCTGGTCGATAGCCAGTCACGGCGCCGGAAGACGGCCCTGGGACGGCCTCATACTACACCTTCTGTTTCCCAACAAAGCGACTCCTTTTCATCTCGAAGCCGCTGTTTCCTCGGTGAGACATTATTTACTCGCGAGACGTCGATTGGGCGCATCCCAAGGGCTAATTGAGCGCTCACGGTGGTCCTGATCACTAGACCTTTCGAGGATATGAACCGCCAGAGGGCATTACTGCCGCGTTATCAGAGACTATTTACGTCGAGATACACTAACGAGCAATCTATCAAGCTTACAGAGTGAATTATATATAGGACGTCGTATTTATTTTATGGCGTCTTGTTATTTCCACTACTCCTATTGACGGTGTATGCGGACCTACTCTCTGGCCATCGCACCGATACGCCCTCGTCAAGTACTAATGATTTGGATTCTTGCTCGCTACTGGACTCTACTCTCTCGATTCTCCTGCCTTGTCTCCATTCTCCTGGTTCCTCTCCAAGGAGTGGTCAACGACCTCCAGAAAGAACGGACGGCAGCAAATGGAGAATACAGCCGCAAAAAGGCCCCAAAAGTCGTGGCGCTCCCGCGACTCACTATAGGCAAAGGGCAATATTCAAGTCCCGTCTGAAGATCTCGTCGGTTTTGATGATACTATTGACCATCTGGAGGTCGAGCGGCAGTTGGAAGGGGCGGTCGCGTGGCCGAGCCATACATTCATTGCCAGGCGTGGTCAAGGATGAGTCTCCGGACCGAAATCGAGCGTTCAATTTTGGATTTTCGGCCGCCAGAGCTTCTCGAAATTGCTTGGTTCAGTTATTTACATCGTCATTGCACGCAATCAGGCTTTCAAGCAGAGTAGCTTCATTTCTCGATGAGCCGGAAGAGCCGGAAGAGCCAGATCGACAAAGGCGTCCCGGCGTCGCGACGCGGTGTCATAACGCGGCTATCGACATGACGCTAAAAGAACGACTGGACACCAAAGCATTTGCGGAAAGCCTCTTCTTACGGAGCTGGAGGATTCTAACGCTGTCGCTGCCGCTGAGAACTCTTCAACGCTCGCTGTGCAATTTCATCCATGGACACTTCCTTCGCGTCCCTTGTGCAGCCCACAACCCGCAACCAGTCATCTGGTGGGAAAGGCAAGAAGCCCGACGAGATTCATGGTCAATAGTAATGAACGCCAGCCAAATTCGGTCTCGAAAAACCGTCCCTTGCAATGTCACCGCTCTACGGCGACGGTCTTGTCTTTCCTCCTGTACTGCATCGTTTTATTCAATTCTCCTCTTCTCTCTTCGTTTTCCTGTCTTTTATCCTCTTCTCTACTGTTACCGCACTATCCTACCCTCGCTGTGTCTCTGTTGCTGTCTACTCCTCTTGAATTTGCCAATACCCTTCGTCTCCTCGACCTTCGTTCATTTTGACTTTCTGATGACATAATCTTCGCTTAATCTTCCAATGGCTTCGTCCGAATTTTCTCCTCTTCGCGCTACTTTCCTCGCCTCTCCACATGATAATCCAGGGTCCTTGGTCTGTCTGCCTCGACAATAACAATCCTGCTGCCTGCGCCGTATCGTGCCGTCGCTATCCGCGTAGGATCGCAGCCATATTCCACGCCAGCCTCGTCCACGCCATGCCAGCCTCATTGCATGCCAGCCTTATTCCGTGCTAGCCTTGTTAACATCATGCTAGCCTCGTCGGTCGTTGACGACGCCTGCGCCGCCGCTGTGGCTCTCGTCTGTTGGAAGGTTTTGGCATACGACTCGTGAGATCTCAAAGGATTCCAGTGGACCATAATGTGCAACATGCCGGTCCATGCATGGTCCAAGGAACAAAGGTATCGTTGCTGGTCCCTTGCTCCATGCCCGCGCTGTTCCAAGCCTACGTTGTTCAATGCCTGCGTTATTCCAAGCCCGCGTCGTTTCAAGTCCGCGTCGTTTCAAGCCTGCGTTGTCCCGCCATATCTGTCCGTCCTCATTACCTGGCTATACTACTCTGTCTGTACTGACTACCTACCTAGGTACACCGCTATCCTCTCCTCCTCCTTGTCGCCGCCTGTGACGATACGCGGTCGCCCTCGGTCCATCCCAGGCAACGTCTCCAAGATTGCTGCGGTCGTTGGAGGCGCTGCTGCTTCCCAAAGCCAAAAGATGAAAGGTCTCCTGCTGGCCTCCGAGACAGTTCCCATCGTATCCCACCGCAGACCACCGCAACCACTCAATCCGCCCTCCTTCGGTCCTCCTTCGGTATCCAGATCTACCTCCTCATTGACGGAATCGATAATCCCTGTCCGCGAGCGCATGCGTCTGGATGACGTGGGGGGCGAGATCATCAAAAGTGCTACGGCCTGCCTTTGAAAAGAGCCACACATAACTCGAGGCAGTGGACGGACGCTCGTTACATAGTGATGGCGAAATGGGCGGGTTTGGCATTTGAAGAGGGTGGTACACTATCGAACAGGAATATCCGACAACCAGGTGGTGATTGCAGGTCGAGGATGTGATTGAGAGCAGGAGGACAAGGGGAGATTCGTCCTCTTCCAGGTTGCGGCGCGATACTCTCGTCCTCCTCTCCTCTATCATACTGCCGGTTCTGCTCGTCCTCCTCCGATCCTCGTCCTCACCTCCTACTCTCCTCTCCTCTATCATACTACCTGTTCTGCTCTCCATTCTGGTGGTTGATAGTGAGGAATGAGGCTGTCATGTATCATCATCAAGCCTACCAATGGAGCGAGTCGATATGTCCTGGCAACACGCTTTTTCTTCGGTATTCCAGGGTCTGGTGTCGTCCGGGCCTATATCATGTATTTTTCAATGTGGTACAAGCCGCCCGAGAGAACGTTTCGTATTGGGATCTTTCACAGTGCCAACGCTCTCGCCTCTACAGCCAGTGTCATCCTTCATCGCCGCAGGGATCGGGCACCTGAACGGTCGTAATGAACTGGACTCCTGGCAATGGGTCTTCATCATCGAAGGGATCTTACCCATCGCTATGGCGCCTATCATATTCCTCCTCCTCTTGACATTCCCCGAGACGTCCACGGCGCTGTCAGAGCGAGAGCGGTACATCGCCATCAACCGATTCGGCAGAGGCGCGGCGAGAAAGACCGATGTCAGCTGGAGCTGGCCTGCGTTCCGTCGCATCTTTAAGCGACCGTCAACCTACGTCTTCTTCGTCTCGTACGTGGCGCTCTACATGGTCGCCGTCGCCTAAGCCACCTTCTTACCCCCTTCCTCATTACCTCAAGGTCTTCCTCGGCTACTCGACGACAAAGTCCAACCTCTATACCGCCGCCTGCAACCTCAGCATCAGCCCCAGGCAACCTGGTTAGGTTGGAGGATCGAATCCATTCAGTCAATGGCAGAAACAGCCTGCCGGGAAGGCAGTCAGTCAGTCAGTCAGTCGTTCAGTTCGTCATTCAGTCCGTCGTTCAGTTCGTCATTCAGTCCGTCGTTGATCCAGTCGTTCGTTCATTCAGTCAGTCCATCTGCATAAACGAATAGCGCAGGAACAGTGCTGAGAAATAGAAGATAACAGGATTCTCACATACCTCAGGCCCGATATCGTGTGAGACGTTACGCGCTGCCGTCGTTCAGTCCGTCGTTCAGTCGTTCATTCATTCATCCATTAACGACGGCAAGCCTCGACTCAAACTGCCGTTTAATGTCACACAGACCCTTGCGATGCAGCCACGAAATTCCTTCCCTACGACGAACTTCCCATATCCTATTTTGAAGAAACGCTTGAGGCGAATCCAAGCTCACACCCCTACCAAACTCGCGCGCATAGCCCTCAAACAGCTGCTCCAGCTGCTCCAGCCGATTCCAGTCCAAAACGTCGGTCTTGAGGATATCCTGTAACGGCGGGAGTCTCTCCGTCTTTTGGAGAAGCGGCGCCGCCACCCTCGCCGCGGGATGGCTTTGCTGGTATCCGATGGTCTCAAGCGGCTTCAGCGAGGTGATCCAAGAGTCTCAATGAAAACCAAAACCCCCAACATCCTGCCCCAGATGGTAAATGTCTAGGTGTTCAACAACCAACCCGTCTTCTTCGTCCGAAACCCCATCAAGTTCCCCTCGCCCTACCGCTCTCACAAGACACATCCTGCTACGCACACCTCTGACGCAAAAACCCGAGTCCATCCATGCCTTGATGTTCCTCTTCAGTGACCGCGGCACTCCTGCGTCTTTGCGCTCCATCAACGATTACAGTAGTCACACCTACAAGTTTACGAAGAAGGATGGCTCCTACATCTATATCACCACCTCCCGGAAGCCAAGGGCTTCCCCCGTCTTCGCCCATGGTCTCTGCTCCAGTATGCCTGCATACGAGGCGCAGTTCGACTCAGTCAGGCGCATCTAGGCATCTGAACGGTTCATATCCACTTCTGGGGGTTGGGATCTCTTGTCTTGGGTTGCCAGGGGGGGCATGAACAGTCTTTAAGGGTGCATATGTCCCTCCGCCTTCCCATCAACCACAGGCCGGAGAACGACGTCGAGGGGTTGGAGGGCCTCAGGGACAAGACAAACAGACTCTCCAGTCATGGGACCCTTGGAGATGACCAAGCTTTCATTCCAAATCGCCACATCTGTGATGATGAGGAAAAGACCCTGGATTCCAACTCTCTGCCGAGGACGACGATGGTACAGAGCTATTTGATATCGATATCCTTTCTAACGCCTACCAATGACTCCTGGAAGCGAAGTTTCTACCTGATTGATTCCATCCCGATCCTCCTGTCTTTGGTGTGGAACTGTTCTCAATGGTTTCGAATAAGAAGCAGTTCCGATTAACCTGCAAGAGGGATGGGGCTTTCGAGACGTTCACGGACAAGACCATCTCATTCCCCTTGTGATCCATATCCGAACTACGGCAGAACCTGTCTACCGATAGACAAAGGCCACGTCTCCGCCTCAATCCCCAATCGATTCGCGTGTGGTTCGAATCACTCCGCAAAGGCCCTCCACAACGATCGAAGAGATACTCGGATCGTTACTCCTGAGACTCATAAAGACAAAGATAGACCTCGTTTTCGAGGGGAGCCGCAATGCCTCCCTGGTTATCCCATGCCTTTTCCATGTGGCTCCCTTTTGGCCTGTTCTTTTGATGTTCGACTGAATGCCGAGCCCATTCAAAAGCAGCCTATGCATCGACATGGAACGAGCTTCTGCCCAGTCAATGATTCATCTCAGCCACAACGCCAATGCCCATAGACTCCCAAATGATCTAGCCGTCTCTCAGCTCTCAAGATCAAGTTGAAGGACTGAACCTCAGCTCGTTATTGTTAGCCAGGTCTGCCTGCGGTTCCAGTCGACAAAGGCTGGCTGCGTGGGCAGAGAAGGTCGGCAAGGTGGCTCGAATAGCCCTGCAAATCTCAACCTGGTAGTGGTAGCGGCGCCCCCCGTTTGAGGAAGAGGCTCTCGACATTGGAGGTCAAATTTGCAGGACTAGGATCGCCGGCCTTTGAAACCCGCTTCTCGACCACTTCAACCCGGCACTGAGTTATGGCCCATGCAGTCTTTTCGGCTTTTTGGTGAGAGGTTGGTGTTGACATCCAGTTCCTCCCGTCACATGCAGTTCCGCCCGTCACATTCAGTTCCGCCCGTCACATTCAGTTCTGCCTGTCACATCCAGTTCTTCCCGGGTAGCGAAGTGCCACGGTCGCTACAGCGAATTCTGAACGCGAACCGCAGAATAGCCCACCTTTCCGGCCTGGCGATGACAATCGCAACGTTGGTTATATCCCTTGGACTGGCTCGCCAGGCGCTGCCCTCACTCACGAACTGCAGGGGCCGAATCTCGGGCGAGAGGTCAAGGCATTCTACAGGGCAAGGGCTGGGAGATTCTCGGAACATTTGAACAATCACAGATTCAGGCTGGGAACGCATGGTCGACAGAGGTGACCTGGGTTACAGACCATCCAGTGCCATCCTCGCCACCTAAAAGAACGCGTGGAAATCGTCCGGCAGGGAGGGGAGCCTGAGGCGCCGCGCAGATAGAAGAGAACCGGCAGTTAATCCACCAAATCGAGTACCATTTGTCCAATTCAAGGCCAGATGGTCAGACCTGCGAGGCGTCCTGCACGTTGTATCAGCAGTTTCAGTTGCCCGACACGCCGGAGCGAGTGTAGCTCGCCACGATGAACAGGTTCGAGCACGTATACCTGAGGTCATGCCGCCGTAGGCGTTGGAGACGCCTCGCCGTCGCTACCTCTCTTTGATGCCTCTCTTTGATACCTCTCTTCGATACCTCGCCATGGATATCTCGCCATCGCTACCTCGCAAAAAGAGGCCTTGGATCAATTTGCGACACTATTCGAGGTTGTCGACGATGGTTGAAGGGTGCTTTTGAAGTTTCCGCTCCGGTCTTACCGTTCCTTTGCTTGGTTTGAACCCTTTTGCTTCTCCGCTCGCGGATTCGACACCGCAGATGGCGCGCACCAAAGTCCCTGGTCGACCGACTGCCAGTTCGTACTTAACACGCTATAGCACAACCTCGTCTACCTCTACTTCGCGTACGATCGTCCTCATACCCATCCTGATCGAAGGGCTGTAAGAAAAAGCTCAGCACCTTCAGGGATGGTTCAGGAGTGTCCGTGACAGCCTAGACTTGTCTCTGCTTCACAAAAGGGTTGGTTTGTCTGCGTCTTATGACGAGAATCGGCGAGGGCCTTGAGACCGGAGCGGTGAACGACAGCGCCAGTGGCCCGTGGCTACGACAATTGGGCCCGAATTCCATACAGGGACTCATGCCCCGAAATCATCCAGTGGACTTTATCTATCGATGGACATCATCTTCTAATGGACATCATCTTCTAATGGACATCATCTATCGATGGGATCTGTGGATGGATGATGTCCATTCAGATGTCACGATTTCATTCAGAATGTAGTCCTCGCTGAGCAGTCCCTCGAGGAGGATGCGGCGGCGTACAAAGACCCTCTGATTGTCTGACAGCAACCACACTCGATCGGTGCCTTCGTGTCTCAATGAGAGAAGAGAACCACCGATTTCCTCGTTCATTGAACTCACCACCTCATCTCACATGGCTAATTACCAAAATGATGATGCAGCAAACCTCTTGGGACAATCCAAGCCTGTTATGTATGCATGCTTGCGGCCACGACTCGCACATGGCAGCTCTTCTTGCCGCCTCAGAACTTCACAATGGCTGCCACCATCGCAGCAACCTCTCCTCTCCTCTCGTCTCTCTCCTCTCATCGAATCGAAGCAAACCATCCTCCGCGGCGACACGGACTACACAAGGCAGGCAGGCCTACGCGAGATGTGTCGAAATGGGTCTCGGCCAGGCGAGAGCGTGACAACCGCGTTTAACCGTCTGCTACGGCGGCGCACGCGTTTCCTCCTCACACCTATAAATACCGCCGCCTACACGGCCACTGACTGATTCTTACACATACCTCGGTATCGCTTCGCAATAAGTGGCGAGGATCGCAGCCCCCCGCGGCGGCGGACGGCCCCGAGCGTGGCCTTGGATTCTCACAGTCTCATCTGCGGAAACTCCAGCAGCATTGATTCGAGAAGCCTTTTGAGAGAACTCCAACTGCAATGAATGATTCGGGATGCCTCGAGAGTGCACTCCAGATGCAATGATTCTGGAAGCCTTTTGAGAGAACTCCGGCTGCAACGATTCTGAAAGCCTCTTGAGAGATCATGCCCTCGGTGCCCTCGATGGTCTTAACAGCCACACTGATCATGAAGTCCTTGCTTGACCTTGGGCATTTCCTCACCAAGAAGTCCTTGGCCTTGGGCATTCCTCACCAAAAAGCTGGGGAGCTTCCAGGAAAAGACAGCACCTCAGGACCTGGTCCTTTGAAAGAGCCAGAGCATTGGTGTGGCACGCCGAAATGATGGACGCGCCGTGCAGGCATTTATAATAACAACGTTTGATACACCTGACTCACCAGGCAGGGCATGTCGAGCGAGACCGCGAAAGGACGACGACTATGGGAGCCTGAGCTCCTACCTACGTCGAGTGAATAGTCCTCTGAGACTTCACTGGACGGCGTCAAGCTCTCCGAATCCGTCAAGATCTGGTATTCGGTCACGGTGCTTTCGAAGTCTGGCAGCTCTGCGTCTTTAGTCCTTCAACATAGTGGCTTCTCTTTCACATCACCGAGGTTGATTTGGGATTGTCTGCTTCCCCCGTTGGACCTATTTATCAACTTATTTGACCCGGAATGGCTGTCGGCGGCTGTCCAATCGATAAACGATCGAGTAACGAGAGTCGAAAGGAGAACAGAATGGTGTAGTGGAAGGGAAATGACCCTACCTTTATTTACAATGTTTCTTCGAGGAATCTGCCAATCTTGCTAGACTATTGAGCCGAGCCACCAATCACACTCCCTCCGCTTGAGCCCGCTCCCCTTCATCAATCCCCAAAGCCGGTTTCTGAAATGGCTCGCGACCCATCAATCGAGTTCGGAATGGCCACTGGTCGTCTTACAGTACCATTTCACACTCTTCAGAACCGTCTCGGGCTCAGCAATCAACAAGATATAACTCGGCAGAGGCGGCGGAGAAGATGTTCGTGGAACCACCCCGTTGGCCCAAGTATTGTCGTAACCCTTAGGGATTGGGAAGGTTAGCCGAATGATTCCCACTATATAGATTTCCTTGCCTCATCAATCATTCATTCTACTCACACCAGAACAGATTGGTATCACCGGGGGGTGGTTCAAGAAACGCCTCCACGATAACGGCGAGCGCCCCCTGGTGGAGGATCTGGAACTGCCACCAAAGCAACTCCAGCTGCTGCCCAACGATCCAGAAAGCCTCTCGGGAGGACTCCAGCTACAATGAATGTTTCGGGAAGCCTCTCGAGAGAACTCCAGCTGCAAGGGCGCGAATTCCACTGGAGCATCCAGGGAGATTGGAGAGAGAGGGCACGCTCAAGAAGAACAACAACAGTCCCCCAGAAAAATGGCGGCAGCTAACAAGAATGCCGCGAATGCTGCAAAGGCTATCAATGCCCGCAGATTATCGCCATGTGGCCGGGAAACAATGGAACACCCCGTACGGCGGCTTCTGGAACTATATTTACTCGGAAGCCAGCAACTGGCCGTGGGACTGGATGTACTTCACACGGCTGGTCAACGACATTGGCAACAATCGTCTGATGATCAAGCAGCCTGGCACGAGGCCACGGATCAGGCATTGGCCAGTGGCCTTATTTGGGAAATTCCACAGATTACTCGCAATCAAAGAAACACCAACGAGATCTCTACTTGGGCGTCCGATATCAGCTACATTACAGCCTGTTACGTCGATTATCCGTGTCAACGGCCAGCAATCTACCGCGCCAGCGACCTGGTTATCGCATGGACCAAAGCAGGGCCGGTTCCTTCGCCCCTTCGATCAAACTACCAAACAAACCAATCTCTCAGGCTCCAAGTTCTATGCAGCCAGCTCTGGAGGCTTTATCTCACAAGGGTAAGGCGTCTTGCCCAAGAGTCGGACGAGAAATCCATAGAAGAATCTTGCATCACCCATCCATCGAAGGTTCTCTGTTCCCAGGTCACTCTCTGCCAGTATGCCAAGAGATTGCGTAAAGAACGAAAGCGTCAAGAACGAAAGCGTCCTGGTATTTCCCCGTGTGATACTCGCGGGGTCCAAAAGAGTCCGTACACCTTTTCACAATGCAGAGGGCGGCGGTGCTGCAATCACCGGTCTCGATCAGATTCCACGCCATACCGTTTCCATTGCCACAGGGTAATTGGACGACTGCCACTTTTCTGAGGGCCTCGTTACAACGGGATTAGGTGTGGCACTCAGGCCGCGATGGAACAGAGCAATGGCACCAAAAAGCGGCTCGAATCGCCCGGTATAATGATGTATATACCTGAGTTAAGATACGGCCCTTGAGGCGGACAGCCATGTTACGCTCCGAGACGTCGAAATCGCCTCCTTCCGGGCTACGACACCAAAGACCAGCCCGCAGTTAAGCCCCAAGCCAAGGAAAAGAGACATTTATGCGGTCTAAAAAACAATCGTGGCCTCTCAAAGCTTGCTCTATTGGTACATAAACTATCAACCCCGTTCAGAAACGGCCTTTTTGGCTGTTCTAATGCGCCGGGTTTCGTGGCATCGCTCCGAAGCAGCCAGCCCGCGTCTCGACCAGATCATAGAAGCGCAGCAAACTTTTGAAGACCCCAAAATGATGGTGCTGTGCGAGAACTAACCGCTCACTCAAATGGAGCGTCAACACACAGCAAAGAGGGGCAGGAACAGGGCCTGATTCTGTCTCCGGCAAGGGACGATAACGCTATTCTCGTCGTTTACCACCGAATGTTGGCGGTATGTCAAAGAACCGGTCATGGTCGAGTGTGTGGGATTGTGTTGAGCATGCGTCGAGGACTTTGTTGGCCGGCAGCATTCTGATCAACGCCCTGGGAAGGAGTTGTCTAGATCTTTGATTTTCATGAGCATTGAGCAAAGGTTTGGCCCCAGGGGAAGTCAAATCATGTTTGACATCTTCCAAAGGTGGAGGGAGATATCGAATGAGGAGGTCGTGGCTGGACTGATCAAAGGCAGTGACATTGATGCCGTGGCGGCGTCAACGCCCATTCTGTCTGGTATGTGGCAATTTCCCTCGAATTCCTCAAGACCTTCGCATCACCAGGAATTGGCTGACGGTCCTCGAGGCCAGAAACCCACAGCCAGGGTTTTGTGTCGCCCAGGCCGACGACACCGGAGACGCGGCGCATGATTTCCTTGAATATCGACATCCGGTTGTATTCCTGATCATCATGGTGTCGAAATGCAGGGAGTCCGACTTTGTCTGTCTTGGTCTGGGTAGGATTTACCCTCGTTGCCCCCAGATGCCGGTCAGAACTACGACACGAACGGACGACAGGATTTTACCAAAGCTTCCAGTATTGCTGCAATGGAGCAAGAATGTGGAGGGATTGAGCAAAGACTGTCTCAATCAATTACTGGCTTCCCGAAAACGCGCCGAGAAGCAATAATGGAATGCTACAGCCGGATAGGACGATGGCTCTAAAGACCTTTCTGGACCGTCAACTGGAGGACGGCGAATTCGGAACTGCAAACTAAATCAGCGCTTTTCTCCTCCCTGTCCTTGTTGACGACGTCCCGCAGAACGACCGCTGTTTGAATACAACAACATAACGAGTTTGTCCCTGTTGCGCGGGCCAAATCTCAACTGGCCTCTACATACGGGGAACACCACCTGTCTTGTTCCTCTCACCATCAAGTATGGCTCTGATACCAACCTCCGCTCAATTGTATTTCCTCACTAACGGTCAATCCTTGCCTAGGTTCGACCTGCTAGCAGCTCCATCAGTCTTTGATCAAGGGACTACTGCCCAGAGAGAACCAATCCGCGAATATGGATATCAATGCCGGTGCTGAAGACGCTCCCAAGACAATGGCACGGTCATCGTCGACGTCAAGATACCCAAACCTGAATGAAACTCCTCAAGACTTTTCCGCAGCGCAGCTTCGACTCGAACCCGAAACCCCGTGCGACGACAACAACACTGCTCCGTCTTGACTTGGGTATGGTGGTGATGTGATTGCCCGCGAGGATATTCAGTCTGATGGACTCCCACTCTCGGTGGTGACGGCATCTGCATCCGTCTCTTCGAAAGGGCTAGGACTTGGTGATGAGATATCTCTCTACGATGGACGATGGACGCGGGTGGATGGGCACTATCAAGACTTCAAACGACCTCATTGCCACCAAGGAAGAGACACCCGCGGTGGTTCCTACGGTCCTGCCTACGATCCTTATCTACGGTCCATACCTACAGTCCAGACCTACGATCCTTGCCTGCGGTCCTTGTCTACACTCCTTACCTACTTTCCTTACCTGCGGTCGGCCAATTCTCCGCGTTTCTTTCTATCGTCGCAGCTCAGAAAAGGCGGTCGGGGCAGGTCTCCTGCGGGCAAAAATAGACAAACGGTCGTCAGAAGCTGTGGGTGAAATGAATCTGCGCTTCGTGATGGCCAACGGCCTCTCGGCCCGACCCTTCTGGAGTCTCTGCTCCTGATGGTGAGTGACTGTGACACACCATCGAGGAAGAAATGTCGAACCAAAGTCTCTCAGAGAACCCAGGCAAACGGTCACGGGGCTACTGGGCCGGCACCAGCAAAAGAACCGGTTTCGACTGGACGCTGTCACCGGAGATTCCTTTGAGCCTCTCAGTGAAATGCTGGGGACGAAGAGCTGGCTAGTGGGTGAACAGGCTTCCAGCGCTGACTGTCTGGTCCTCGATTATCTGGCGCTGATGCAGACACCGGCACTGGAGCATGGATGGCTACGGGAGTCTCTGCAGACAAAACATAACAACCTAAACCAATGGGTGAAGAGTCGGGTTGCGGAAGTGTTTGGCACAATGACACCCTTGACGACAAGGATAATATCTCCAAGGCTCAGTCCCGACTGCAGGAAGTCGAGGAAATGGTGACGGAGTTCATGCAGGCAAATGAGAGCACACATGGGCAGAGTGGACAGGCAACGCCTCCTCATTCTGGGTAATAGTCTCCAGATCCTGTCGCCAAGCGTACGCTCCGACACCGTTCCAACATCCTCGACGGCTGATACTTGATCAGCAGCAGTAATACGTTGGCCGCCAACGGTCGTCTATCCAGCAACCAGAGGAGTCGAAACCAGATACCCTGGGCCACACACGCATACACTAACACATCATGGCCAATACTAGGCTCCTTGAAGCCATCAAAGGGGACCTGGTTGCTGAGCATGCTGTAGTTGTTGACCCAGGCGGTGCTGGCCTTGAGGGCGTTGGCAACGCGGATGGTAGTGTTGAGGTTAGTGGTGTGTACGGCAGCGGCGAGGCCGCAGGTGGTCTCGTTACCGAGTCGGAACACCTCTTCCTCAGTCTTGAACTTGCTGATGGCGCAGACAGGACCAAAGACCTCTTCTTGCATGATCTTCATGTCCTCGCTGACATTGGAGAAGACGGTGGGCTGGATGAAGTAGCCCTCCTCACCATGGCGCTCACCACCAGTCTCAATCTTGGAATCAGCCTCTTTACTGGACTGGCTGGATGTAGTTCATGATCCAGTCGAATTGGAGCTTGTTGACCTGAGGCCCCTGGAAGGTGTCGGCCTTGAATGGGTCGCCGACGACGTTCTTGGCCGTCCGCTCCTCCACATACGCATACCCACACACAAACACACCCATACATTGTACGAGGATCGATCGAGGCTCAGCGAGCACAGGCAACACCGTACAGAAGCCTGTCCAGCAGGTCGGTAGTCGTGAGAGGGTCCTCGGTCAGGCCTGATTCAGCCGCTAACGCATCCAAACCCTCCGAGTCAACGCCCAAGTCATGTCGCAGGGGCAGCGCAGGCGATAAGAGACTGGTCATGTGGTAGCAGTGGTTGAAAGACACGGGAAGAATACAGACATAATAAGGGCTTGAGAGGATTATTCGATCCAAATGTCCTCTTGCCTGACCTGAGTCGATCGATCACTTCAACTACTACCAGCAATACTCGATGAAAGATGCCATACCAATGTCCTCCATCCAGCCTGACGACATGGCTGTCCTTTCCTGTCCTTTCTCGCCCATTCAGCCCTCGTCTATCGCCAGACCAATCTTGAAGACGTTCGGATTCGCATACACGCGGAGCCGTCCGATCACATCCAAGCCGCTATCGACCGCATTATCACCGCCGAAGTCTCACAGGAGCGTAGATCCGAACTCCGCGTCAGTCTGTTTCAATACACACACCTCTAGACTTGCATATCTCAAGACGACAAAGACATGTGGAATCCAGCTTGATCAAAAGGGGTCCCGAACCATTGAAGCATTTGTCGACAGTGACTGGGCTGGCCAACACGGATGGGCTCAATAGATACAAAATGACCACCGGCACCAGTCGGGCTTCCATGAAGAGACCGACGCGGGCTACCGAGTCACAGAGGAACGTCTGGGCCAGCCTCGACACCTCCGAGTCGTCATGGTCGCGGCTGGCGCTAGTGGGCTCATCATGGCACACCACATGGAGTTGCACATGCAGAATTACGAGCTCATAATCTATCGAGGCCCACCACTGGCTGGGGTGTTGAACTATCAGCAGGAGGCGTGATGAGATGGTCAGCCAAAGCGCCAGAAGACCGTCGAGCTTTTCGACTGCGGAAGCCGAATACATGGCAGTGACCGAGCTCTGTAAAGAAGCTATTCGGCTCATTGGGCTTTGTAATGATCTCAGAGTACGACACGTTATACCTCGGGGAGGAGTCGTGCTCCATATCGACAATGAATCAGCCGTCAAATGGACGAAACACCCGGCATTCCATGCAAGAACAATACACAGGACGTGAAACAGACCACCTGGCCCCGAGAGCTTTGCGGGCTGGATGCTTTCTGTATCTATTTCTGAGATGATCATCTTGGTCGTCCAGTCGGTACATGCTCTTATCCGCCTTGGAGGCAGTGGGACCTCCTCTTCTCCGTCATCGATGGCCGAACGACTAGCCTCCAGTATGACCTATACGTGAGGACCGATCGAATGACGGTATCACTTCATTCGAGATAGACATCTACACGACTCGGTCCTCGACAACTCCGGCAGATATCTTGGGCTGCACTGTACCCTCCCTCCCCCTCTCTCTTCTCTTCTCTTCTCTTCTGGTGACGATCCCAGTCGCACTCTCCCGCGCCGCAGACCGCAGACCGCGCACCACGCACCGCACGCAGTACAGCCACAGCCGTGTGCGGGATTCACCAAGGATAAAATGACCTCGCCCTCGTCAAGACAGGGAGCTGCCGGGACTTTGGAGCGAAAGACGTACAACTGCCCCTCCTGGAAGCCCATATTCTCCGGGGCCTCCCCTGTTAGCGGCAGCCGGCGCAGTTCTCATCACCACTGCAGCATTCCTCGTTGCCCAAAGAGTACCTCACGAAGTGTCCGGCTTCGATGGATCAGTGCCCCCCCTCCCACATTCTCTTGATTTCCACCAAAACAAGTGCGACGTCGGTGAGGCGAGGGAGATCATTGGGTCATTCTAGACCTCCAACGGCTGGCCTCACTCGCCAACCCCCTGCGCCAGCGTACCAAATACTTTCCCTTCAGCGAACGCTCCGTGCACGCACGGCCTCAATCCAGGGCGAGCTCCGAGCCCATCAAGAAGAAATGATGGAATTTGAGTTGAAATGACTTGAGGGCTAGACCCTACCGGCCGGTTCTAACAGGTCTCGACGGTGAATGTGGTGGTGTCTAAGGTTGCTGGTTGTAGGTGGCATATTTTCATTTGTGAAACCCCTGGAGCAGGAAAAAAAGAATCGATACGCATGACATGGACCCAGCAGGAGAGCTTTTCGTATGTCGTCATGAAGATGGTCTGGACAACAGAAGACTCTTCTCGAACAGTTCAATTCACGCTCCTTGTCCCAAACGAGGTGCGGTGTCTGCCCAAATGGCCCAGAATCTGTCGCTCGCTTTGACTTGATCACCAATCAAGACGGGGAGTGGTACACCCTCACGCCTCACCCTCACCTCTCATCCTCATCTCTCCCTTTTACTCGAAGGCGAAGGGGAAGGGGGTGTTTCGCTTTGACGTGATCACCAATCACGATAGGGAGCAGGACACCCTCACCTCTCCCTTTTATTCGAAGGCGAAGGGGTGTTTCGCTTTGACTTAATCGCCACAAATCACGACAGGGAGCAGGACACCCTCACCTATCCCTTTTACTCGAAAGCGAAGACCAGGGGGGGTGCCATGGCGAGACGAGATGCGGGCTTGTGTAGTGGTATGTATGTGTGGTATGTGGTATGTACCTCCATCACAAAACTGAGGCCACACCGGGCGAGGCATGCGATACGGGGGTGACGCGAGCCAACGCGAGACAAGCTACGAGCTCGCAGGTGTCATCAGCGTCATCACTGCCCGAGGAGGAACCAGGAAATGACCATCCGCAGCCTGGAAAAGGCCGTCCGCAGCCTCATGCCCGATACTACAGAGCCCCCGCGGGAGTCTGAAGAAATGCTGCGGACCCTGGGTTGAGGGAGTACCCGGCCGTCGTGATGGACGCGTCACCTTCAGGTGCACGGGCGCGCGAATGATCCCGGAGTCCAGCCCAAGGCATCACCACCGAAAGAATGTGAGCAGATGGACGCGTTCTATTCTCTTCCTACTCTCAGCTGTCAGACCTCAGCTCCCAGCTCCCAAGCCCAAGCTCTCAGTCCTCAGCTCTCGGCTCCCAGCTCCCAGGTCCAAGCTCTCAGTCCTCAGGTCTCGGCTCTCACCTCTCACGCCGTCCTATCCTGTCCTTGAGCTACCCGGAATCGACACCATATGAACATGGCACGACAGTACTGTTTTCCTCTGGTTCAGTCATTGACCTGGGCTACTGTCTCGACGGGCCGCGGACCTCAGCTTTACGCCAACATCTACGCCAGCAGGCTTTCAGCGTCTACCCCGTGTAGTCGGGGTGTCCATCCGCTGACAAGTCCAAACTCGTGTATCCCAATCCCAACCGTGGATAAAGACTGCCGTCTGCCGCTGTTGATGTCTGCAAATCTGGAATCATGAGCGAAGCCCCCGTTGAGGTATGGAGATCTTTGAGCCATCCGGCAGAATGGGTCGTGAGGACTGGATACTCGCTCTCGTGTCCAGCACCAAGGAATGTCTTGGCAAGGGATGTCTCTCTCTGAGGCGTGTCTCTCTCTGAGGCGCGTCTCTCTCTAAGGAATGTCTTTCAGTGGGGGATGTCTCAGCAAGGAATGTCTCTCAGCGAATAATCATCTCTCACGAAGGAATGTCCCAGTAAGGGATGTCTCCTACTAATGGATGTTTCTCGGCAAAAGATGCCTCTCACCAAGCAATGTCTCTTCAAGGAATGTCTCTCACTAAGGGATGCCTCTCACGAAGGAAGGCCTCACACCAAGAGATGTCTCTCACCAACGGATGTCTCCCACTGAGGGATGTCTCTCGGTAAAAGATGCCTCTCACAAAGAGATGCCTCTCACAAAGGAATGCCTCTCCAAGGAATGTTTCACACCACGAGATGTCTCCCACCAAGAGGTATCTCTCAGTAAGGGATATCTATCGTGGGCATCTACTTGCCTATCGCCAACACTCAGCAAAAGGATGTCTCATCATGAAACGTCTCACCAAAGGCCCTTCATCTCGTGTCCTCTCACGCGACAGAGTCGAGCCAGTCTTTATCTACGCCGCTGGACGATCTTTAAAGTCAACGGGCAGAAGCATAAGAATAGGCGCCTCGCACACGACAGGTCAGAGCCAGTCTTCATCTACGCTGCTGCTGGACAAACCTCCAACTCAACTTGCAGAAGTACAAGAACAGTTCCGAGAAGTCGACAAGAAGCACCGCGAAGCCATGCTCCTGGCAACATATATCCCACGCGAATCTCGGCCACTCTGCCTCCTGGCCGGACAAGCGCAGAAGAGTCGAGAAACGGTCGGCCTAAATCTGGTGATGGTACACGCTTGTTTCATCAGAGGTTCACCCCGCCGACTACGACCAGTCTATCATCGTGCCGTGGTGCCCGTAGAAACGAGCATCTCTGCAAACAAATCACCCTCAAGATCTTGGCTCTTCTTCTGGCGATAGCCTTGCCTCGCACTTTGCCTCGAACAACGCTGGTGGGAGGCCGGTCGAGAGAGATTCGGTCGAGGGAGATTCGGTCGAGGGAAGTCGGATCAAGGGAGGTCAGGCCTCGCCTCGTTCTCATTCTGGTCGTTATCCAGCTTCCATCGCTTCACTGATCCGGATCGGGTGCGGACAACGACATCGTCCCTGGATCTAGATGGCGTCTTGCTTTGCAGCCCTTACTCGACATCTCAAGGACGCAGCCTCTGCCTGGATATGAATCTGGACCTCTTTCAAAGGATGTTGTTGTCGGATACCAGGAAATGTCAGGCCTCCCACTGCGCAAAGAAGCTTCTCCCTTGGCTCACTCTCCATTGGCTCATTTTATCTTGGCTCATTCTATCTTGGCTCATTCTATCTTGGCTCATTCCTCTTGGTTCATTCTCCATTCGCTCAATCCCTGTTGGCTCAATCCCTGTTGGCTTAATCCCTGTTGGCTCAATCTTCCTTGTCTCAATCTTCCTTGGCTAACTCCTCTTGGTTCATTCTCCATTGGCTCATTCTCACTTGGATCATTCTCTTGTGACTCATTCTTCCTGGCTCAATCTCCATCATTGGCTCATTCTCGCTTGGACCATTCTCTTGTGACTCATTCCTCTTGGCCTATTCTTCCTGGCTCATTCTCGATTGGCTCGACCTTCCTTGGCTCATTCTGCTGTGACTCATTCTCAATTGGCTCATTCTCAATTGGCTCAGTCTCGCTTGACTTAGTTTCACTTGGCTCATTCTCCTTTGGCTGAATCTCCGATGGCTCGATGGCATTGAACCAGAATTTCCCCCTGGAATCACTGGATAGATGATGACAAGACCCAAACATGGGCCATACCTATGGAGATTCAAAATGGCCTCTTGCGTGGAGGTCGCAGTGGATATGCTGCAGCTCATCTATGCAGTTTGGAAGTAGAGTGCAGGGCTCAGCAAAACAGAACATCCTACTCGGTCACACGGCAGGACAAAGCACAATCTAGTTGCAAGCCCATGCCCAGGAAATATTTGCTGATACGCCGAGGACAACATCTTGCCTGAGGGTTCCAGACGTCAACGCAAGGGCAAATTCGCTCAGTTTGTGCTCGGCAATACCGAAGATGAATGTGCTTCATTGATTGGCTTCCATTCTGTCTTTTCTGTGGTCATTGCCATTGCAGAGGAACAAATGATTGATCGATCACCGACAATTGCGGCCACACAAGCAAATGGCCTGCGCCCCCATCGAGACGCCCTCAGCTTCCTCCTGAACCCAAGCATTGGAAAGACCTCAAAAGGCATCCCTTCAGACCACAATTCGAGGCCCATTGCAAGAGGAATTCCTCCAATTGAGGCGTCGAGGGACCTTCAAAGAAGTCGATCTAAGCAAGACTACCAAAAGGCCACTACCACTGCCACCGGCGTCCAAGTACAAGCCCGACACGGACGGGCCCCCAGATAGGTCTATGGAGCCCGCACCTGCGTCTGCTGCGACCTACAGAATACTGAGCGGGACAACTATGCGGCCACCTTAACAATCAAAGTGTTTAGTGTGATGGATTGAGCCCAGGAGAAGGCTTGGTTCCCGCGAAACGGCACCAAGATCAGAGGCCACCTCCTGGTCGGACGAGATGCGCATGGTGCAAAGGATACAGAATCCTGACAGCTGAGACACCGTACGTAAGGGAAGGCAAGGACGAGAAACAAGGTGCAAGAGGAACGTACGTAAGGGATGGATAGCGTGTATGAAAGAGGGAGGTCAACGAGAGGGGTGAGACAATGAGGACCTCTTACACTGGAGCGTACGATAGGTTGTTCCTCCTCTTTCTCTATCTCCTCAGATTTATCCTCCTTGTTATCTAGGCTGGCTGGCCAGTTGGGAATCTCTTTCCAAACCCAAACCCCAACATGCAGGGTATGGATGGCCCCGGCGGCGGCATTCGGCCTGGAAATCCTGCAGCTTGACGCAGTCAACGCGTTCCCCAACAGTGTTATTGATGATGACGTTACGTGGAATGGCCGCCAGGAATCCACCAACCAGACAAGATCCGGCTCCCCCGGAAGGCCCCCAAGCGTGTACCTAAAGGTCCTCAAACAGGGCACCAGGAATGCACTAAACAAACAAAATCCTGCCCCTCCTGAAGGTCCCCAAACGCGTACCTAAAGGTCCTCACACAGGGACATATTATACGGTATGAGAATCCCCTCAGCGTCTTGAAGGACCAGCCAGACCTTCCTCAGTCGCTTAGCATCTAACTGTGTCCGTATAAAAGACGAGATCATTCTGTTCTTCTATTCTTTTAGAGACATTCAACGGCCAGTCAACCTCAGCGGCCAAGTGCTAGACGACAATAAAGCGCTCCATCACGGCCGGCCCAGCCCCTCCCCCCAGGGCCCCCTACATGATCCTGGAATGTGCCAAGGACGCACGCCCTTTCCAACTTAACGAAGGCTGGGAGCTTCTGCAGCTGCACCTACCGAAGACGCCCCCAACAACTGGATACTCTCGATGCTACACCTTCTGTAGTTGACACCCACCAGTTGGCTACTACACCATGTTCTTATTCTTCCACCTACCGGTGGCCCCTCTGGGAGCCTTTACACCACCCTCTAGACAAGAAAACTGTCCGTTTATCGTCATTCCTCAGGGTTGGGGATCCAGATTCCCAACCCTGAGGAAGACCTCGACCGTCGAGCACGAAGATGTAGAGATCAAGTGGGGATCTGTGAAGATCAAGCAAGACTCAAGTGAGGTCATTCATTCTTCAACCAGGAGGAAGACCTCGACTCGATCGAAACGAGAAGGTCAAAATTCAGACCGCGAAACGCCCATATAAAGGGGCTTACGCCCACTTCCGCACCCGACGGTGAATCGATGAAACCAATATCAAATTTCACAATAGAAATATCATCATCCCTATCACCTTAAGGAGGAGGTTATCGCCTCCATTCCTCCAACCCGAAGGAAGACCTCGACCCGATCCAAACGAGAAGCCGCTTCTCCTTCCGCACCCGACCGTGAATCCATGAAACCAATATCAATTTCACAATAGAAATATCATCAAAACGCGATACCGTGCAAGCATTCCTATTACCTTCGAGGAGGGTATCGCCTCCTTCACAACCCTATCCCGTTATCATACCTATTACCTTCGAGGAGGTTATCACCTCCATTCCTCAACCATGAGGAAACTCGACTCGATCCAAACGAGAAGGTCAAAATTCAGACCGCGAAACGCCCACACGAAGGGCTCCCATTTCCGCACACGACCGTGAATCGATGAAACCAACATCAAATTTTACAATAGAAATATCATCCTCTGTTACCTTCGAGGAGAGGAGGATATTACCTCCTTCAAACCCCGATACCGTTCGATTATCCCTACTACCTTCGAGGAGGATATTACCTCCCTCAAAACGCAAACAGGAAGGCTTTCTTCTTCCACTTCCGACAGTGAATCGATGAAACGAATACCAAATTTCACAATAGAAATATCATCAAAACGCGATACCGTGCAAGCACTCGGGGGAGGGCGGGTGCCGATACCGTATAATTATCCCAGGAGACACTACAATGAAAATGATGTACACCCAGGAGACACTGAACACTATACAATGGGAGTGGTATACACCCAGGGGGCGCTATGCAGTGAGGATGGGGTACACCCAGGAGACACTATGTAATGACAATGAAAATGATGCACACCCAGGAGACACTATACCGTGAAATTGATGCACACCCCGTGGCACCATTGGACCTACGAGTGATCGATAACGCCAATTAGTTCCTTGACTCCGAATCATCAGGGACAGGCCAAACCCCCTTGCTGTGGCCCTGCCAGGATTCCCCTATTGACAAACTTGAGGTAGGATTCGAGATACAGGTAAACATGCCAGTCTTCGCTACCATGCCGTCGCCACTTAATCTACCATGGGTCTTTGACGGAAAGGCCTCAAGTACTGCGGCATTCAGTACAATGACATCGTCAATCAGGACAGTCCTGACATCAACACCTCCCTAATGGAATGCTATTCTGACGCGGCCTTTGCTGACAATCTAGACAGGTATTCACGCATGTCACTCAGCATTCCAAAGTGGCTTCATTTCCTCGAGAACTGCACATTCTGCAACACGCTAAAGCGCCGCCCCTGAATCCTAATACACTACGTCGGCAACCGAGCCTCGTGAAAGCCTCCATCAAATTGGCAATACAACGACAAGCCGACAGCATCATGTCGGGATTCTCCTCATCCGTGACGGGATTGGATTGCATCAAGGCCACGAGTTCTTTGACGTTTTCTGACGGATACCTCTTTCAGCTTTACGGAGGATCGATCGATTGGAAGGCCTCACCCCTTTCTCGAATTGCATCGGGGAAGCGTATGGCCCGAAGGCTCACCATCACTGGCAGCCGCTGCGGCGTCGTCGCTGTCAATTCCTGGAGGATCTTCCGTCCGATCTCCCGGTAATCTTCCTGGGGGTCTTCGAGAAGGACTTGGCTGCATAGACGTTGCTGGCAGTGTCAGAACTCGAAGCAAACGACAGTTACCACGTCAAGCACAGAGGCGGATCTGATGAGGCTCTCGCGAACGGCAGAGGAATTGGTCTCCTGGCAACGGTTCGATAGACAGATCGACTTTACGACCAACAGCACGCGTTTGCATCCTCTCAGACAACACACAGACTATTCGGTGCCTCACAGCGAAAGGGACGTCGATCAACACCAAGCTCAAGCACATATCAATGATATACACCAACACTGGCTGCGCTCCAGGAGGTCCAGGACGGCACGATTGAGATCGAATGGATCTCGACAGATGGCATGAAGGCAGCCTTGGCCTGAGAAGAGGCATGGGCATGGGCAGACAGACCAATGCATATGATCTTGCTCTGATCCTGCCGAATCAACACCAATGACAATCCTGTGGTGGCTCGTCGATGTCTGGCGCTGTAACCAACTCCTTTCTACTTGGGCTAATCAAATGGGGCCCTAAAAGAAGAGGACCGAATCAAATGGCCTTGCTTGTAAGCATCGATCGTCCCAGGAGGAATTGGCCACGGGCCTCCTCTCCTGGCCTCGGACACTCTCAACTACCAGCGTTCGAATCGCCAGTTTACACACACATGATCGAGCGCCGCAAGCGTCTGGACTATTGTGTCTGCGGTCGGAAACGACCTGGCGAGTGCTTACAGGGGCGCGAGACGCTCACGGAACGGAACGCGTTTGCAAGGCACGTCGTCAACTGGGAACAGGTCAGGGCATCGACTTCAGTATCGATTTCGTATAACCTCGTCGCCGCCTTCCAGACCTCCAGGCCTCCAGACCTCCAGACCTCGCTATCGCCTGTTCTGCATAGCTTATCATGGTGTCGAGAACGTTCAATGGCTGCTGCAGTCCGCTACCCAGCGTGCCAGCCAGGCTAGGTCATCCTGAATACCGTCGTTGACCCCTTGAGGAAGGCGGTTAATGCCCACCTACCCTTCGAAATTCCTCCTTGATTCTCTGAGCCAGGGAGGCTTTTGACACCTTTGAGGAGTGGCCAGGAGCGTCTCGTGGCCTATTGGCTTTCCCAGGGGCTTTGATATCGTCAAAGGCGGTGGATGGTACGCACTGGTGATCCTGGGTCGGTCTTCTGTGGTTGTCTTCTTCTGTGGCTGTCTGAGTCAGGAGGCTTTTGACACCGTTGAGGAGTGCCATGGGCGTCTCATGGCCTGCTCGCTTTCCCAGGGCTTCGACATCGTTAAAGGCGGTGGGGTGAGTGGTGCGCTCTGGTAAGCCTGGGTCTGTCTTCTTCTGTATCTGTCCTCCTCTGTGTCTACCACGGCCAGAACACGCGGAACTCCCCTCCCCCTTACATAACAACACAGCACCCGCATCCCTTCTCCTTGACCTTCTCCTCCATCTCGTCTTGCTGCATCCGCTGCACCTGCATCCTTGTGTTCGGTTGGGTGGGCACAGATGTGATACTGCCTGCCCATGGTAGTGCTTTGCACGGGATTCGGGACTCACGGCATCGAACTGTATCCGCCATTCACGCTTCCTCCCGTACTCGGCCTCATGCTACCAGCCCCAGAGTTTCTACTGTTTGGCCTGGGTTTTAGAGGCCCAGGCATCTCTCTCATCCACGCCGTCATTCTCCTTTCCGTCCGCCTGTGTCGACTGGGGAATGACTGCGAGAACGGCGATATTACCTCCTTTCGCAAGCGCGATTTGACGCACATTCGTGGGACTAACTGTCAATGGTTCTGCCGAGTCTCCTGGAAGTCACTTGGTATGGGAAACGGAACGGCTGAATCAAGGATCTTTATCCTCACTGTCAAGTCTCTTCCAGAGAACACCCTGGCCACTCATTGAGCAATAATTTGGGCTTTGGCTGGGGGTGTTGGGCTGCTCCACTCCTGGACTGGGCGCTGGGCTGGTATTATGGAGGGAAAACCATTGGCAAATTCATTCCTAGTGTGTTAATTCACGCATCGGGGTCCCCTCCATGAGCCACGACCCATTCAGCCCAGAAGACTGTTTGGTGGCTTTCCCCTCTCTCCTCGATCAGATCATTTTTCTTCCTCAAGGGCCCCGGAAGCGCCCTATCACTGACCTCCTTGATCGGTCCGTTGATGTTCTCTCGCCACAGAGATCGCCTTATGGAGTTCCGGGAAATCGAGGCTCAAGGGCTCGGCTTGATCGATTAAATGCCTTGCCATTCTCTGCCACTCCAGTGTCTACGGCCTCGTGGACTGCTGCGCGCGGTTGCCCGACGACTCCTTGAAGAACCAGTCGGTGCGCTTCATTCCTTCCTTTTCCGCTGCCGTGTACGGCGTGACCGCGTGCTGGAGGGCAGGATTCTTGATTCGGACCATCTCGGTGTTATTCTCACAGTACAGTGGTACTATAACTCGATCAGATTCCACGCCTGCCTCAAAAGGATGACCAGAAGACGATCTGTCTCTCCGCCTCTCTGCCTCTCTCTCTCTCTCGCCTCATCGTTGCCTTGGAGGGCCGGGGGTTTATATATGAAACGCGACTTGAAGAGGCTTGTCGACGAAACTGGTGGAATAGTTGGCAGGAAGTGTGTTCAGATCTTGTTATCACATTCCGAGCCTCCCAAGACCACAGCTCGATTCGTTGCTGGATCTCTCTGTATCATCGATGCGACCTTCAATACCAACATGCCGAGAATGCCCATGATGGTTGCAGTTGGTATGCTTAACAAAGGCAAGACGTTTCCTGTCACCTTTTCATTCTGTCCAAGCGAGAACGATGCCTCCTATCCCTTCTTCTGGGAGAGCCTCAAGTTACATCTACCTGGGATTGCTGCGCCTGCGGTCATTATATCTGACCAGACGTCGGCGATTAAGCCGTCGATGACCAAGTGCTTTCCGTCTACTGGCCATCAGATCTGTGAGGGGCACGCTGTCGAGACAATGAAGACCAGGTTTCGAGATATGGGCCATACTACAACTGAGATCAAAGGCGAAAAGGACCGCGCCGGAAACCGCGTTGTTAACGGCCTGCAATACCTCGTCTGGGACTACCTCCGCAGTGGTGGCTAGGAGGCTTTGAAGCGTAATCGAGAGGCGCTTATACCGTGATTAAAACGACCTGGATATCTTGAGGAATGGCGTGATAAAGAGGATATAGTCGTCACGCTGGTCACGGCAGGACAGCCAAACCTCGGCCATCGATCGACGCAGCGATCCGAGTCCCATCACAGCGTTGTTACTCAGATAACGAACGGCCAGTTAACGCTTGAAATCCGTCATGGCGCAACCGACGTCAACACCGACGACACAGTCGTCAACCAGCTCGTTCGACTTCTAGTCCAAAACCATCGCTCGTCGCGCCTTGTCCTTGGACCCGATCGAGCATGTCCTCGAGCACGGCTACGTGGTCATCCCCAACTGCTTCAGCGCGGACAAGACCCGCGAGGGGCGCGACGAAATCGCCACTGGACGCCTCTGCCAAACGACCGGAAGAATGATCAGAGAGATCAATGAATCTGAGGATTTATCACGCGTGAGCTATCCCAGAGAGGCTCAAGCTAGGACCTTTCAAAATCTGCGATTTACTGTTCCTAGCTATGCGCTCAGAAAGGTCGCAAGCGAATGGCATTGGCTTATCTATCTGAACTCACGGTTGCCAGCAACGACCTAGGCGATAGCCACTGTTCTATCCTCGGGCAATTTCTACTGCCCTGTCGCCATTACCTCAAACGAGCCTTTCTCACTGGCGAGTCTCTATCTCGATCTCTATTGCACCCGCGGTGGTGGCTGGATGGGCCGCAAATCACGTCCATAGCCGGGTCCCAAGCTATCAAAACCTCGAGAATCAGAGCGAGATTCAGCACCGACCAAGCCTCACGATATCGACGACGAACGGACGGAAGATTCAGGAGATTCGAGAGGATCTAGTACATGACGAACGAGCTCGGTTTGACGGGCGAAGAGAGAGACTTGAGACACAACCAGAAGAGCAGTTCGTTCGGCCCAGGTGAACGACGTCGCGGTCTACAGAACATACCAATTGGTGCGCTAGATCCGGTACCAAAGAAGACCTTGATACAGAGACGAGATCAGGGGAGAGCGAGCGACAGCGAGAGTCTCAATCGCCAGCGAGAGCCCTGATCACCAGGGAGATCGGCAAGCGCCGGGAAATGTCATCAAGTCGTGACGTCACGCTCACAATAGCTGGGCGTTATTTGCCTTCGGCAAAGATACCATTTTTGCTGGACTGCTGCCTGGAGGAGAATGGAGAGACGACAGGCAGAATAGGTGCGAATGATGGTCAGAGGACACATTGTCGCCGCCATCCCAGTACCGACAATCATTCTGTGTTTTTGGGGATCAAGAAGCTCATTGAGCATACAGGTAAGAAGATCTTTTGTCTGGATGGGTGGTAATCTTAGTGAATAACTTGTCGTGACAGGCTTGGGGGTATATCCTCTCTACTCGACCTCTACTCGTCCTCTACTCGACCTCTGCTCAATCTCATCCTGTCTGCTCGATGTCATCCTTTATTGTCAACCTCATCCTCTCTACTACATCTCATCCTCTCTCCTCGATCCTTTTCTGCTCGATCCTCCTCTGCTCAATCCTCCTCTGCTCGATCCTTCTCTATTTGATCTCTACTCGACCTCTACTCGACCTCATCCGCTCTGCTCGATCTCGTCCTCGCTGGTCGATCCTTGTCTTGTCGATCCTCTTCTGCCCGAACCTCCTCTGGTCTGTCCTCCTCTGGTCGATCCTTATCTTGTCGATCCTCCTCTGCTCGATCCTCGTCTGCTCGATCTTGTCCTTTCTGCTCGATCTCGTCTTCTCTGCTTGGTTCGACGGAGAACCGACCACCCCTTCCGAACCCCATACCCCGAATGTGCGGGAGTCGCCTGCTTCGACAAGACGGGGACGTTGACCGGCGAGGATCTCGTCGTTGACGGTATTGCCGGTCTTAGCTTGGGAAAGAAGAGTGTCCAAAACGAAGCAAGCGGACGGTGCGCAGTCCTCGGTCACCAAGGTCCCAGACTGCGGCATTCATATCATACTACACTGGTTTTGGAAACCGCTCACGCCTTGATCAAAACTGAACTGGAGGACAGGGACATTGTTGGTGATCCTATGGAAAAGGCCACAACCGCTCACGCCTTGATTAAACTAGAGGAAGGGGACATTGTCGGTGATACTATGGAAAAGGCCACACTCGACGCTCGAAACTGGACCCTTGGCCTTGACGACACTTTGATCAGCACTCCCCGAGATCCAGGAGGTCGGAGCTAGGTCTGCTGGTTTCGCCATCTATATCCAGTTCATTCCTCTCTCGTCGTCCTTCCTCTATCGTCGTCTCTGTCGTCTCTCCTCGGTCGTTGTCTCTCCTCCGTCGTCGTCATTCCTTTCTCGTCGTCTCTCCTTTGCGCCGCAGTCACCACCACTTGAACATGAACCATCAACCCATCATGAATGGTCTGTGCCATCTTGGGCTGGTTATACAACGGCCCAAGCCTTGTCAATATCAAAAACAAAGTCGTCCTCTTGACCGTTGTACGCCACGAAACAGATCATGCCATGGCAGTTGCAAGAGCCAGGGAAAAAGAAAACCACCACGCCGGCCCTCACCCATACACAGCACAACATACCACAACACACCACCTATCCTAGTCATGGGGACAGAATTCCGTCCCCAATGAGGCAGGAATTCCGGGCAGAATTCTGCCACCGCCTAGGTGGCATTATTATTTATTCTCGCTCAGGCTGACATTCCTTCCTTTTTCTCTCATCAGGTGCAGGGTCTGAGCACATGCGAGGACTTTCCACAGCTCCGCGTCCTCTTTTTCAGAGATCGTGTACTTATTTGGCGGTGAAGGCAGGTCCCTACCAGTGGGAGTTCGACAGGGAATCCGCCCGTTGGAGGACGTCAAGGTTGGCTGGAGGACGTGAAAGTCAGTGGGAATGCAGAAAAGAGTGGCTGGTGGACGCCGTGCACTTACTGTATATCACAGGGGTCGCCCAGGAAGACAAAGGGTATGGTGTTGCTGGGCACCATTGATCCAAGACAAAGTTCCTCCCATCCTCCCTCCTCATTCCGATCGTCTACCTCTCCATCGTCTACTTCTCCATCGTCTACTTCTCCATCGTCTACTTCTCCCTCGTCTACCTCTCCCTCGTCTACTTCTCCATCCTGATCGGCAGCATGGCCCCTTTATCCCCATATTTTCAAGGCGTGTCTGGCACTAAAAGACACAAACCAACCCACCAATTCATGAGGGCAATCCCCAAGTTGAAAGGCGTCGAAAGAGACTGCAGAACTACAGGCCCCCTGGCGGATTCCACGTCCAGGTGCAGGGCTCGTTACCTATGGCCATGCCAACCAAGTGGATGTTTTACAGCCCGACGTGGTCTTCAGTGCGGAATGTCATGTCGAGGTCGTCGCGGACGAGGGCTGGGAGGGTCTTTCGCCCCCAGCGCGGCGATGCAGAGTCCGCAGCCGTCGATGGTCTCGTTGCCGTGGCCACTATATCAACAGATACCAATCAAGCAAAGCATCACGGCTGGAATTCGCCTCAACTGGCCGAAAGAGATCAAGTCCATCGCTGTTGTAATAGACACGTTAGAAAGCGTCGAAAGAACTGCAAAACAATAGAACCCTGGGATTCCACGTTTCAGGTGGCCATTGGGACAACGGACAATCAGATGTCGGACACTACTCGATCATCATGGATGCTCTTCTCCCTACTTTGAGGTCATGGGGAGACAAGGCGCTGGTGTTTGGGCGGAAGCTACTCTTCCTTGACCTGTAGCGAGTCCAGCATACCGCTTACAGGGAGGACGTGGGCTGGCTGGCTGTGACGGGCCATAGCTTACTTACAGCGTGGCTGGCACTGGGGCCTGGTCGAAGCAGAGGTCATCACTCCACCCCTTTCAACAGTACAAAGCCTCCCTCCCCGATCAGATATCCACTCGCAGGGAACCCTTTGTCCGTTTTCTCGTTCTCACATTCTGCCTCAGCCTCTATGAATTCCTGTTTTACCTCGCCTTCTACTCTTGACAGAAGACCTCGACACCGCAAGTGGCTTCGAGGGAGCAGGACAAAAGGCTCGTCGCTTCATCTGCAGTCTGTGTCCATTCTCGGTCATTGGAAACAGGTGGTTCCCCCATGTTCCATCCTCATCATTCAAGTCAGGCTCGATATCTCGCGGAGGATAGACGAACCGGGATAGAGACTGAGGGTCTTGAGGAGGTGAGGATTGTGGAAGAAGTGGTGGCGACGCTGCAGGTGTGACATGACGGGTCTGACTCGGTCGGTACCCCTTTGAACAGTACAAAGCATCCCTCGAAGCAGAGGTCATCGATCCACCCCTTTCAACAGTACAAAGCATCCCTCGAAGCAGAGGTCATCACGCCAACCCTCTCAGCAGTACACAGAGTCCTCGAAGCAGCCATCACGCTATCCCTTTCAATATTACAGAGCGTCGAAGTGGCCATCACGCCACCCCTTTCAACAATATACAGCGTCCTCGAAGCAGAGGTCATCACGCCGCCCCTTTCGACAGTACAGAGTGCCCTCGAAGCGGTCATCATGTTACCCCTTTCAACAGTACGGAGTGTTCTTGAAGGAGTCACTACGCTACCCCTTTCAATAATACAAAGCGTCCTTGAAGCCGCGAATCCAGGTACATCCATCCAGCCTCATGCCTCGGACGTGGCTTCAATGCGCCCCGGAACAAGCCTCTCCTTCCCTCTCGCTGGAGACGCTTGACGCTTGTTGCTTTCTGGTTAAAAGGGGTCACCAGTATTGCTCAGCCTGCGTCCTTCACCCGTGCTGTCACCACCACCCTAGCCGGAACGAACGAAGAAGCCATTCTCACCCAAGCATCCTATGCCCTTCGAACACCCTCTGCCCTTCGAACACCCTCTGCCCTTCGAACACCCTCTTCCCTTCGGGACCGGGGAGAACCACGACAAGAATCCGAACATGATGCGGATGTGATGACTTGATTCTGTCGCCGCTTCGCAACGCTACCGCCGCTTCCACATGGATTTATGGACGAGGCAGCTGGATCGACGCAGTCAGTCGGCCTGAAGGACCAGCATGGAGGAAGCAAGCGATCACTGATTCTCTCCGATGGTGACTCGTTCCAACGTATGTTATCCCGATCATCTCTCATCTCGATCATCTCCCTGAACTTGGAACTCGCTGACCTGAACAGGATTCAACGTCGCTCACCTTCCTCCTCCTCCCGTTCCTACTCCTCCTGTCAATGGTCCAGTCCTAGCCCCGAGTCCTTCGTCCATTCTTCCTACGAAGGGAGCTGTCTCCCACTGCTTCAAGATTCGCCGCAGCATCGCCAACACCCTAACGACCACGTCGATGGGCTACTGAAGGTGCAAAATGACTCACTACGGATATTGCGGTGGCGGAAGAGATATTAAGCAATCGTCCGCAGACGTCGTCGGTGGTCTGTTACAAGAGAAAGCCAATACTATGGAGACATACGAGAAGAGTCAGGCTGGCTAGCCTCTACCAAAGAGCACGGAGCGTCCCTTTCCCGGAATATATCTCTGACGCAAGCCATGTCTCCTGGAGCGAATCGTCACACACCATGGCATGTCCCGCGTGGCTACGCAGCCAGTTCAGCCGTTGGAAAGAATGAGAAGGCCACCTGAGTCTTCCACCTGTTTTCCTGGTCTAATGGTACTGGGACTTGGCGTGGCTAGTCCTGCTATATATAACCTGCCGTCATACCATCGTTCAGCTTCCTCCATCGTTCAGCTTCCTCCATCGTTCAGCTTCCTCAAGTCCTTATCCACCCTCTGGTCGGCACAGCAGCTCCACAACGCCGCCTGGTTATCCCCCATGAGGATCCTCGTCTCGTTTCTGGCACCCTGTTCGCGTCCGGGGTTACGCTGGAACGACCTCAAGCACTCGATTAACGGTTAACGGCCTCTTTCGTTACATCACACTAGCCAATGTACTCCGCGCCCGCCAGCGTAAACAGATACCCTGACCGTTGGCTTCGTTGTCCGCCGAGTGTCTCTCGCCCTCGTATTGGCCATCAATCTACCTGCCTGCCGGCACCCGGCTCGGTTTCCTCTTCCTTTGTCTAGAATATCGACAGGAAAAACTTTCAGAACTCATTAAAGACCGATTTATAGTCTTCTGTGACTTACTCATTGTTTTCCCATATCCGCGCGTGAGATTCTATTCTCGAGCATCGACAGGACACACTGTCAGACTCATTTAAAGACCGACCTTTTCTTCTGTGATTTACTCTTTCTTTTCTTCCTTCCACGCGTGAGATTCTATTCTCGAATATCGACAGGACACACTTTCAGACCAGGGAACCGGTGGCACGAAGAGCATTGTATCGGCGTCCTGCGCAATGATAAAGCTCCAAGGGCACCCCCTATTTCTATCACCAAGGACTCGATGGCACTCGAGTTGGCGCTGTGCGAAACATGGGAAACCCCCCCTTATTTCCATCAACCAAGGACTCGGTGGCGCAGAGGCCGTTGAGTTGGCGCCTTGAGCCAGGACTTGTGCACGGTAAATGGTATGACCAGAATCAGCCTCTGGGTTTTATACCCTTCCAAAGGGAAATGACGCGAGAGGATGGATACGTTCTATCCTCTTTCTACTCTCGGATCTCTACCCCAGTGGACGAGCCATTCACGCGACATGGTCGAGAGTTCCAAGCGGTACTACAACAACTCGTTCACGGACGCGCAGAGGCAGGAAGCGTACAACCTGTTTCCTTGGAAAACTATGTCTTCTTCTCCCAAGGCCAGCCCATGCTTTGGGATCTCACCAACGGACCATTACTTGCACCACTCCGACCCACGATCCATGTTTAGTAAAACACTCTACTCTTTACTCGCTACTCGCTACTCTCAGTCTCAGCTCTCACTCTCAGCTCTCAGCTTTCACTCTCACGCCGTCCTGTCTTTGGCGCTGCGAGATCGACCATGGTAATGGCCCTACAGTACTGCTTTTCCTCTGGTTCGATACCCTTGACCATTGTCTCGACAGGCTGCAGACCTCAGTCTTTGCCGACATATGCGCAGCAAGCAGCCTTTGGCGGCTGCCTCGGACAGCAAGGAGCGACTGCGGAACATCCGTGGATTGCGAGAACAGGGCGACGAGCATCATTCGGGATATGGTAGTCTAGCTGTCCGTCTCCCTCTCTCCCCCGTCTCTCTGTCTGTCTGTCGGGCTATTGACAAGTAGTCTATGACACAGGTTACTTTCATCGGGTGAAGGGGAGCCACATTTCGAAAGGGAGTTTAGGAAGGGTACTGGCATTGTATTCTTGTACTCTTGCCACGTTACCGTCTTGTCTTCTTGTCGTCTTGTCTTCTTGGGGGCAGCATTTCGAAAGGGGGCGGGTGGTGGTATTATGTTCTCGTCGCCTTGTCGCCTCGTCGTCTTGTCATGCTCTCTTCCCGTCATCCTGTGGTCTTGTGGTCTTGTGGTCCTGCGGTCCTATAGTCTTGTGGTCTGTTGGTCTTGTTCCCTGCCTTCTTGTCCCCCTGCCTCTTGTCAACTCCTTGTCCTGTTACCTCGTCGTCTTGTCATGTTCTCTTCCCGTCATCCTGTGGTCTTGTGGTCCTGCGGTCCTATATTCTTATGGTCTTGTCCCCCTGCCTTCTTGTCACCTCCTTTTCCTGTCACCTCACGGTCTCGTCACCTCGCGGTCTCGTCATCTCGTGGCCTTGCGGTATGTCGTCTTGTCGTTTGTCGTCTTCCCGTTATCTTGTGGTCTTGCCTTCTCGTGGTCTTGTGGTCTCGTCTTTTTGTCTTCTTGTCGTCTTGTTCTCTCGCCATGTGGTCGTCTGGCTATCTGGCCATGGCGAGACCGCAAAACCTCGAGAGCTGGCAGCGACCAGGCACTCACTCGAATGTCCGACGCACGACCTGCGGCCAATTTCTGATGGCCCCTACCACGTACCTACAGCGGATATACTCAAAGGGAGCTGGAGGTCAGACGGATCCTGCTCATCAGCTACCGGGACACTATCTTACTGCCACGCTACGAGGTGCTGAAGTCGACCTTCTCGCAACTGAGTCTGGACAGCATCAACGCGCCCATCATGCAATTTGAAAATGGGAACAGAAACAGCGACAACAGCGGTGGAAGTGACAGGCCTGGAACTGCTCAGGGCCCTCAGGGTCTACGATCTCGAATCTCGTGTTAGGTGGCACCCATTCAGCAGCTGAATCACCGATATCGACGCCGATAATCTCTACCTGCGGATACGTGTCACCCACGGCGATGGCCCAAGTTCCCATGCCAAAGAAATCCAATGTCGAGAACCCAAAGCCCGCCGTCGCTGATAGACGATACATACCACGGAGCTTCGCTAATAAGGGATGAAATCCCCAGCTCATCAGTTCCTTTCCACGCGCCGCGGACAGTACTCTACTCCTATGACTTCGAGCTCAATGGTTTGCATTGAGTGTTGTTGCAACTCAGACACTCCATTTCGCCACCATCCATGCCTTCTTCCGAGTCGGCCCAAATCGCGCCGCATTATCCCTGATGTACTGCTCTGCTCACTCATGTCGGCGAAGGCAAGGCTCCTTTGTCACTTGCGCCTGTCAGACAAACTCCGAGAAGCAGCTCTCTTTTGTTGATGTGGAAGAACGTTTCGTCCATGAGGTCGAGGCGTCTGAGCTCCTTTCGTCCGCGATTTGAGATATTCGGTACGTCGAACCATCTGGCGTCTTGTCGTCTTGTCGCCTCGTTCTCTTGTCACCTCGTTCTCTTGTCACCTTGTTCTCTTGTCACCATGTCATCCTGTCGTCTTGTTATATTGTCACTAACGCAGTCACAGCGCCGACGACATCACCTCTCTCCTTCGCTTCAACCATCGCGATGAAGGCTCTTATGACCGACTGGGCGAGATCCAACGTCCCGTCTTGACATGGGCTGGTCGAACAGGCCCCAGTCGCCCACGCCGTTGAGGATTCACTCCCCTATCCAATGACGGACGGTCACTCACGCAAACTCTGCATCGCTACTCCCCAAGTGCCTGGTCTCTTCTTCTTATCCTCCTCCGAAAGGCCGTGTCTCTTCTTCTCATACTCCTCCGAAAGGCCGTGTCCATTCTTCTCCGCAAAGTCTGCATCGGCACCGGGGTGGGCGAGCACTGGATGTTCGGGAGCCTGCCTGGTCAGCGATAGTCGTGCCTACGATTGCGGCAAGGCGACCGCCTGTTGCAAAAGTGGTAGCCAGTCGCACTCCCTGGCAAAAGTGGGAGCCAGTCGCACCCCCTGGCAGCCCCCGGCATCCAATATGTGATGTGTCCGGCGATGTAGGTGTGGAGGGCCTCTGCGTCGCCGTGCTGGTCGAGCGCGTCGATGAAGGTGGAACTGGGGATGGTGGATTCTGTTCGCGGGTGAACATGCTTGTGATTTCGTCAAAAGCAAGTTGTCTTCACACCGGCATCATGAATTTGTCCGCGGCGATGTAAACCTTGAGCCAGAACGTATCTGGTTCCCATGGGCCCCAACATGGCGGGCGCAGCAACGATGACAATTGCCAGTCTGCCTCCGGCTACCACCGCCAGGAGCAGCGCCCGACGAGTCCTCCTCCCGTGGTTATCCATCGGTACGCACATCTCCCTCTCTCTCCTCTTCGGCTCGGCTCGGCTTGTTAAGCCTCGTCCATTTCGTCTTCTCTCGTCTCCTCGCGTCTTCTTCTTCTTCATGACGGTCAACACCAAGAAGCATCAACAACCTACGGTGGTTCCAATCAAAGCATTTCCCATCAGCTTTCCACGATGACAGGCGATGGGAACATGCTGATACGTCCTCCGACCGGATCTGGGAAGACGAATGTTACGACACCGACGTCGAATTCGCCCACAAGGATCAGAAATACAGCGTCGACGCCACACGCGAGGTCAGTCACGCTTCGAGGCTGGGTGGGAATGGAGACAAGAGAAAGAGAGATCTATATGGACAAGTCGGTTGAGGACACGGGCGATGGATACCGGAAGCAGTGTGATCGCTCTCTCTACGCTTCTGGGGGCACTCTCAGAGTCCAATATCCGACGATCCCCGATCCCGGTCATGGTTAAGTGGTTGAATCCCAGCTGCCCATGGATATGGATGTCCCTTTCCAGCCGGTCGAAGCACTCACTCACTCCCTTGAACGATGAGCCCGAGCGAATTCACGAGAACCCTTCAACAACAAATTGTCGACCTGTCAGAGAGACTCGTCAATGTCGACACTGAGGAGCCTCCGAGGCCTCAGCAATGAACCTCGACTCGCCGGCCCCAGTCGACCGGGTCCCATGACGATAAGCCACCACGTCGGCATCCTTGACTCAAGGTCACTTGAAAGTGAAGACGTCAATTGTCAATTGCCCGAGCACTCGACCAGGCACTGTCAAGATGGGCTGCTAAACGAATTCCGCAATCAAACGACGATCGCGGCTGAGCATTTGTCGTGTCTATTTCACCCGTTCACCGTCGACACCCGTGACCGATGCTTTCCTTCTCCGAGAGTCTTGAAGCGACATATGACCGACCCGGAATATGAATCACGTCTTCACAGCCATACAGCCTTCGAAGCAGGCTGAACAACCAACCAGTCCCCCTCCCTCGCTCTGCTCGAGCCCGCCCCCCTTTCCCAATCCCCACAACCGGTTTCGGACTACCTACCTCGCAAAGCCCGCTCTACAGACGATGCGTTACAACTGCAGAGGGTTGGTCATTGGGACAACTACGAACGGTCCCAGTAGTGGGTTGGCATGCTGTCCCAAGACCAGCTCGTACGCCTATCGTGCGGGCGTAGTAGCCGTGTTTGTTGACGAGGCTTGGGTTGGACCATACCATACACCTGCACTCCGATATGTGGTCGTCTTCTACGTTGCTCTTTAAATGAAGAGCTGGCCAGGGCAAAGGAATTTCCAAAGACAAAGAAGGCTTTCGTGCACAGCTGTTAGAAGAAGCCGCCCCCGATCGAGAGTGAAGCGCGACGGCGAGGGCAAAAGGTGGGCAAAAACACTGTCCACCCGGTTATCAGGGAGCTGGACCCCTTGGACACACGCTGCGTATACGTATATAGAAGGCGCCCTTTTTACTCATACCGAATACACTACGCATCAGATAGACCCCGCGCTCGTCTAGTCATGTTGTCGTCTTATCGGGTTCTCGTCTGGTCATCTAGTCGTCTGGCGTCTTGCTTCCCATGCCGCCCCGCCGCCTCCCTACCGCCCCGTCCCCCGGTCGTCTCGTCGATGACATCCTTGTCTGGGGCGACTGAGCTATCATGGTGGTCCACGGCAGTTGACGATCGTGGGTGTACGAAGCCAGGCCGAGCTTCCACAGTACCAGATCTTCTGCCGAAACACCAAGTACAGAAGGAAACCAAGAGGAGAAGAAGCCAAAATGATTCAGATCAAAGATTGGAAGGAGGAAAAGAATGATAGAGATGGAAGATGCCGAGAAGGTTTCTAGAAGTAAGATATCAAAAGGCCTGGCGCTGGAGACGACGTCATAGGCAGTACTAGGAGCCATGACGACAAGAGAACGAGACGGCAAGAAGTTATCTCAGACGACTCAGATAGCGACTCAGCATCCGACCGAGTGTCAGCTAGTGTTACCAGAGAAGCCAACTGTCAAAGCTGCCCGAGCCGGCCGGATGGAGGAAGCAAAAGAAGACCGTTTCCCGTCGACTCCAATATTGACCTTTGTCTGGGACACGGCCACCATGATCACTTGGGCTTTTGGGCACGTTGGATATCGAGACCTGACCCTCGCGAGGTCTGTTGTTGACACGGGCGGCGGCTTGACTACCACTGTTCTCGACGCCGAAAGACCGCCGCGCTCTAGAGTGATATTCTAAAGCCCTTGTTTTTCGCCGCTCAATTGGGTCACAAGGATATCTGTGAGCTGTTGTTGCGGGCGCTTACGGACGTGGGAGTCTTGTTGGCACCAATCAGGCCCTCGTCAGGGCCTTAACGGACAACGCGGAGCCTCGATGCAACTCGTTCTGTTGTCGTCTCGTCTATCCATCTACCTTTCCACCTTCCTCTGCTTCTATATTCGCCCGCACTGCCAACACGGCTTCTCTCACAGAAAAGGTGATCTGAGCGGCTGACGGTATCCCATCCCGTCCTGTCCCACCACGATCGAAGGGCGAAGGATATCGTCTTACACCAACTCGGACCTGAGGATTGGGCTGTGCGGTAGCGACAGGGAGACTGACGTCGAGATCAGTCAGTCCGCAAGAGTAAGAGAAGGGTGGGAAAGTAAAGTACAATCTTCTTGTTACGACTGCGCGTTTCTCGGTGCCGATATCGAAGGACAGTTCTGTATCGTTCTCTTATCATCTAGTCGTCTGGTCATCGAGAGACAGGCAACGAGAGACAGGCAACGAGATACAGGCAACGAGAAGCCCAGAAAAGCCCCAAAAACGAAGAGTGACCTGCATAATTCAGTTACAGCAACCAGGGGCGATCATCCTCACATACTGAGAGCCGAACAAGCCTTCCGAAACCCAGACAGCCAGGGCAGACCGTGCCATTGGGTATATCAACCCGGGCTCCAAGCAACAGCTACACTACACTCCAATTGATCATCTCGTCATCCTACTAGGCACAGACACTCGTGCCCGAGCCTTGACGTGACGGTGGCGTTCCTCTTTGATCGCCATCTATCTGGGTCGGCTTGATCAGCTCGCACGCAAAGTCCATCAAGACCCCCAATATGACTGCAAGCGAAGTGGCTCCGTCCAACAATATCGCCCCACGAGGAGGAGGACGAGGATAAGCACGTTGCCCCATGAGCGGGAAGTTCCCCGACTCTGCCCGCCAAAGCGACCAAAGACCTCGACGGAATGGCTGGGTCTACGTACGTACGTCACCCGTCTTGTCTTCGAAACAAGCGACGTCCACACGTCCGGGGCGGGCGTATGGAGTCCGACTCACGCAAGATACTCACGACAAGGGACGTCCTTCCTTCTTCGATCGAGCATCTGGCAGATACCGACGGTCACCTTGGTCTGGAGGTCTCTGGCTGGACCACCATCACTATTGAGAAGACCATTCGTGCCGTCGAAGACCAAGGCCGACCACACGAGAGCTGCAGAAAAGTTGGTTTACAGTCTACCTGCTTGCGTTCTGACATGGTATTAACAATGCTTCAGACGTTGCCGGGGAACCATCAAATTGGAGCACCCGTCCGAGGGTATCCGGAAATACTTGGACAAGCAGTGTCCTGGACCTATCTAATCTCTTGCTATACATGACAGCCTCACTATCTTACTCGCCCTTTGCATACATAGAGTTGACTTTTATACATGGGCTCACTCACTTCGGAGCGAAGAAGGTCGAGGAGGTCGGAGACCAGCTTAAACGGCTGCACAGCATTCAACTGGTTCATGCTCGATCCATTGACCATCGACAGTTGATGCAGATAGAGAGAGAGAAGGAAGAGAGGAGAGAGAGGAGGAGAGAAGGCATATATGCTCGGAGGGAGATGGCTGAACCGCCGCGGTGACGGGCTCATGGCTTGATACCGACCTTGACTAGTGTCGGTTCCTGTGCACGTTGCAAAAACTGCAGCATTGTTGCCAATGAAAGCCAGAGCGGTTTCCTTGTCCAGCAACCCTATGGAGCAGACCCGCCAGTCAACTTTGGCACGAGCGTCTGCGAGGTTGTCCTCCAAAAGAGGATCAATACCATGGAGGGTGGCAGTCATGCGGACCCAACGGATGTGTCGCGTGGTGTTTTTGGAGCAACGGTCGGCATTGACCGCCTTCTCAAAGTCTGGGAGCTCGCGAGTACTTTCTCTTTAGTCCTTGCTTGATTCTGTCTACCACAGAACTGTGGTCAAGTCCATCAGAGCCACGATGGGGGTCAGCTTCATCACCGGCGTCAACAGATTTCTCTACAATCTGCAGGAACCCCTGCATGACTCAAGAGGAGTGTTGACGTGGGTCCTGGGTTTGTGAGACGACAGAGAAGCTGGAAAGGTGGCACCATCCTCGTCGACTGGCTCAGCGGCCTGCTGCATATCGAGTCGCGCACACCCGGCCGGGTCGGCGAATCACACCTGTGGTGTTACATATTGGAAAGGCCCAGAGAAACCGATTCGGGCCGAATAAGTGGTTAAGATCCTGACGCCAGCCGAGATCGAATGTATCGGGCATTTTTTTCGAATTCCTGGTATCATCTAGGTATCTATGCCGGACGCCCAGAATCTCCACGCGTCGGAAGGATCATGGAGAATATTCGAATGATCTTGTCGTTACTTACCGTCCATGCACCAACGAAGCGAATACGTTTCTCCGTCCAAAGAGCTCGGGGAGCCAACCAGATGTGCCCCCTGCATCGCGACCTGCGGTCCTGGCGAACGATTCCTGTTCCTTTCTGGTCGCCGGGGAGGAGGTCGGGTCGCAAACGGGGGTGTATTTGTCCTCTCGGGGTTCAGATTCTCGAAGCATAGGAATCATGGTGGAGGAGCCTCCTGAAACGGATAGACTCGCCTTCAATATGTCACCACGAGAAGGGCTTCAGACCACGCGGCGTCTCTTTATGGTTCATCCAGAACTCTCTACAGCAATGCTCTGACTAAAATTCCTGGAACTATTCCCATCCGCTTTTGGTAAAACGCCAGAGGAAGAGGTGAGGATACCCCGTCTGTCACATTCGCGAGCACAAGGCATACAGAAATGAGCACATTTTCGTCCTTGTTGACGTCTCTCTGCGTGATTCTTCAAGACCGATCACCGCCGGTCAATATCTCTTGCCGCAGAGGCATTCCGGGGTCTTGTCCTTGACACCATTGACGGAGTGATGCCTCGGATAGGGTGAGACGATGTGCCTGGTAGGAGAGGGGGGTAATTAACTGCACCGACATAGCCGGCGCCATCATCTGGTTCGAGCAAGCCCAACGAAAGAGACCCAAGTCAACGCCATCACCACCGGCCTATACAGCGGAACTGTCGGCGGCGCGGCTGACTTTTTCAACAAGGGGAACGAGACCGACAGAAAAACGTTGCTCACGTTATAGAATGCAGCAAGGCCCGACGTGAACGAAACACACGAGTGTTGACTGCGTTCAGGCATCGCTTCTAGTATCGACCGATGACTTTGACCACCCAGGCGGTTCCCAGCATCGAGAGGACATGTACGATCGCCGGGGCGTACGCCGAGAAGCATATCCGCTTGCTGAGAGAGCTACACCGCAAGGATTTTTGGGGTAACTGGGCGAACCTTGAGCTGATAAAGCTACGCTCGACGGCTCAGCTGTCCTTTATCACATGCTCGATCATGATCAAACAATCCACTCCGCAACGACATTCCTGCCGCTGAAGATTGGTGGCTTCATCATCGCCTTATATTGGAGAGTATCTTGATACCCTCCAGCAGCAGCGTCAAGCAAGTCTCGGAGTGCCTCTCCAAGATGGCTTTGGCCTGCTCTCGACAACACCAAAGAATGCACGGAACACAGCGCCTCGAGTCTACCCAGTTCCTCTTCCTCTCCGTTCTCTTCAATCAAATCTGCCAGGGCGGAGCAGGAGTCAGTCAGTTGGTGTTCTTGGACAGTTTTGCTGGCATTTGGCAGGCTCAATCACATTCGTCTTTTGCTTTGCTCGTAATCTCAAAATGGACTGCGACCCGACCCCCTTCATGACCACACACTTTGGGTATGGGATGGCTTAGCCAGCACGTGGAATACCACTTACACTACCCATTCCCAGTGCCGATCTGTCAAAAAGACAACCGCGGCGAATTCAGACAGGAAAATCCCGACTACACGACTGTCAGTCCAGTATAGGACATCGATCCATTGTTCAGCCATGACACTGAAGCATTCTCTATATTAACAGACCATGACCGGACCCAATGCTCGCCAAACGAAGTCATCTTGGTAACAAAACTAGTCAAATTCGCTACGAGATGATCCTAAAAGCCACACGGTCGTCTGCCAAGTCCAGGGAGAGGGTGCCGATGGTACCAATGGCAGTAAGAACATGTCCTCACCCGAGGCAAACGATGGCAGTGAGCGATCGAGAGTACCCAGAGGGGTTTCCTGCCATCCACTGGACCTTGACGAGGGGTATAATGGCGGACCAATTCGCAGTCCGTTTCCAGTGCTTCAAGACCTCGTTCAATTGCGTCTTCACTCAGTCCCAACGAGCCGGCCTAGTCGGGCGTGATTGAGACCTCCATCAAGCATGTATAACGGCAGTTCAATCAGGGCGTTCGGATCCTGCGGGATTGAAAACGTCAGGATATTTGATGGATCCAACGCCCATGATGCGGTAGATGTTCCGAAGAGCTAAGCTGGTTTTGGTAAAATTGACCGAAATGGTGTAAGTTGATTGGTCCGTCCTATCGGCGCTTATCTATTGGCTAATCGAATACCCCAATTTGACGTGGAATCCATCTGTGAACAGCCTCTCTTTAAACAGCCCCTTGCAGACAACAAAACATACCGAAGGCCACGCTTCTGCAGCCTAGCTGTCTACGCCATGGACCACCTACTGGACCACCTCCAAGCCCTCCTCCACGCCCTCCTCCACGGGCCATGAGACCCTTTCAACGACCCAGAAGATACCAGGACTTACACCAGCTCCTACCGATCCGCACTGCTCGCGCAGACAGGATTCTGTCCACCTGCGCTACTTACCGCGGTCGTTCGACAAGGAGTACGCGAGCCGTGACCTAGCCAGCTCATGGACCAGCACAGCGAACTCTAAGGTTCATGCTTTCAATTCCAGCCTCCGCAGCCCGTATACCCGAACATGGGACACTTGGCCAAGGTCAAAGCAAGAGCACCATCGTGCAGTTTCCGCAGCCCGGCCGCGCATGAGGTCGAAGAAGGCCTGGATAAACACCCAGAGCGTCCGAAGAGACTCCCAATCATGTGTGTTTTGAAGACGACGGACAAGGATAACGGCACTTTTGACGGAAGTAAAACGCCATATATCGTTTCACGGAAAAAAAGGACCAAGTACTGCAATCCTCGAGGCAGACATCAAACCATGCTCTCTCACATACCCACCGCACTCTCTCGTCAAGCCACGCATGCAAGCCTCTCTCCGCTGGTCTGAGAACACAATGACTTTGTCTAAATTCATCCTTCCCGCCACCTACCTTTGCGAGTTCAGTGTTGGGTTCGCCTTACCTTCCTAGATGGGTTGATTTACGCAAGCGGCGGTCTATAAAACGTTGCAAAGCTGAGATTCCTCTTCCTCAGAGGCCACAGGCGGTGACGATGACATTTACCATCGCATGGTGGTGGGTTGGGAACTACCAAGACCAGCGCCGATGCGCAGCAAACCCGTTGGCAAACCCGTTGTCTTCTTGGGCGACCCCCGTGATATATGGTAAGTGTACGGCGTCCACCAGCCACTCTTTGTCTACATTCCAACTGGCTTTGACGTCCTCCAGCTAACCTTAACGTCCTCCAACGGGCAGGTTCCCTGTCGAACTCCCACTGGTAGTGACCTGCCTTCACCGCCAGACAAGTACACGATCTCCGAAAAAGAGGACGCGGAGCTGTGGAAAGTCCTCGCCACGTGCTCAGACCTGTGCACCTGATGAGAGAAAAAGAAAAAGGAATGTAAGCCCGAGCGAGAATAAATAAGACTCCACCTTTGACTTTCAGGCAGACATGAGGCAGGCAGCTTGACCAAAAGCGGCGCGAGGCGTCGAGGTTCCGGCGAAGAAACAGCCGTTGCTCGTCGCTAAAAGACTCAGATTCGACGAGATCATCGAGCACAACGTCGTGATGGCGGACAGCCTTCTCCAACACCATCTCTTAATCAATCAAGGCAAGCCCGCAGAGGCAGTCTCCAAAGTCCCTCGGCCCAAGATCCTTTGACGCCTGCTACAGTTCGACCTCGAGATCCTTCAGTCGACCGTTTTCAAAGCCTAGACAGTTCTCATGGTCCTCGACCAGGCTCTCGACTCAGTGGAGCTTAATGTCGTGCGTCTTCTCAGGTGGCAATCCTTGAACGTCCTGACCCTCGACCAGGCTCTCGACTCAGTGGAGCTCAATGTCGTGCGTCTTCTCAGGTGGCAAATCTCCAACTTCCTGACCCTCTCCTTGATCCGGAAAGCGTCTGCGCCCCGTTACCACCGCGTGGATGAAGACCTCCGTGATGACCAGCCTTTCCTCTACGGTACTAAGAACAACATCGATCCTGGGCTCGGCCATCCTGGCCTTGCAGTACTCTCTCAAACCGAGGAAATACTCATTACCCGTATCCACGTTACCATTGAAGTTCGCCCAGTCCGAGGCGCCCAGGACAGCAACAGCAGAAGCAGAAGCAGAAGCAGGGACAGGAAAAGAAACAAGAGGACCAGCGAAACCGGGAGCTGGACGGAGAGCAGGACCGAGAGCATGAGGAGGACGACGACGATGAAGACATCCTATACCGGTGCTATTGCTGTTCTCAATTACGTTGCCAAATACACTACCGAAGCAGAACGGCAATCAGAGTCGTATCAACAGATCGCCACTCAATTGCTTCCTCATCTTGCCACCACCAGGCCGTTACTATCCTTCATCTCAAAGACCATGAACCGCGTCCGGGAAGTGTGTCATCTCCTCCTTGATCTACCTCTCTAATTTAGCAGTCATTCTATCCACCTTGTGGACTGTCGTCCTGAAGCGGGCAGGCTACTACCGATAGATCAAATGACGATGGAGAGTCTCTCAAACGCCGTGTCAGTCTCCCTTGAAGAAGTACACGGTACTGTTCCAAGGGACTCGAGGGCATTTCATTCCTCCAGATGCTACGCCTTTACATCTTCCGTCGGCCAGATCAAATGCAACTACGCAGGCGTATAAATACCACTATTGCCAACGCCTGCAGCCACGCCACGCGCGACTCCTATACCGAACGGCTAACTGGCCCGTGTCAGAGCCCCATGTATGTGCCTCTTGGTGGGGAGAAGCTTGTGCGGGGGACTGGATACTATACAGGTACGTTTCAGGGCTCGACTTTTACCCAGCTGTTCAGTGACTTGTTGATATTATACCACTGCAGAAATTTAGACCGGGGATCGAGCCATAGGGATGTTTGTTACTGCACAAGATAACAGCCATCTGAGATACAATCGAAGGCGTCTCGTCTCGTCCGGACGTCCCAGCTGTATCTATCTGCGTTTAGCGTGGCATATGCTCGCAAAGAGGACGCTGCTCTCTCTTCTCTGTCTCTCTTCTCTGTCTCTCTTCTCTGTCTCTCTTCTCTGTCTCTCTTCTCTGTCTCTCTTCTCTCTCTCTCTTCTCTCTCTTCATCCCGGCTTTGCGCTTCTTCTATTATCATTTTCGACCCTCGATCTTCAAAACACGGACAATGGAGGAGGAAGTGGCGAACGAGTGGATGGATCACATGCCGGGCTTTCTTCGATGCCTCCTCATTTCGCCAGAAAGCCTCGCAGTCTCGAGCGTCCCGTACGTAGTTGAGCCAGATCAGGCCTGGGCTTCTCGGCGGTTGGTGAGGGGGTCGTAGTGCCTGCGGCCTTGGTTAGCCTCGCGGTCGAAAATGTTGCTGTAGAGGTAGAGGAAGTGCTGCTACCGTGGTGGTGCGCATCGAGTGCTGTAGGATGCGATCAGGGGCGGACAGACCTAGGTCTTAAACAATCTTCAGAGGTGGAGGGATATCCAAAGGTGAAGCCGATGGACGATATTGATCGCGTAGCGGCGCGTAAATCCCTCCGGGAGACAAAGAGAAGATTGAAAACGGTCGAAAAAGACGAAGAACGCGTCGAAAGCACGTCGGATGGCGATGGCGATGGCCATGTCATTGTCGTAATCACGGCCTGCGCTCTCAGCCTGACACAGTAGGCTACTCCTCACGAGGCTTGATACCCCCCACGAGGCTGACTGCGCACATATTTTTCACGCCGATGTAATTACACCAGTTAGACCTCACTTCGTCTCAGAATTCATATCATAATCGCACCCTTGACAGCGATGTCTCCTATCTCTCCTGTTCGAGGTTGCGCCGTGATACTCGTGGAGCCTGCAACCCCAACCGCTCCACGGCCGAATCGCGTGCGAGGAAAATCTGTCCTAACGGCAACGAAAGCAACCGCATCAGCGACAGCAACATCGAACAACACGAGCCTCCGAGTGCGCACACTCGGAAACGACCAGATCTCGACCATCGACCACCAATCTCCACGGGCTCGAGGAAGTGGTGAGAAGCAATCATGGCACCACGGATCGAATCATCGACGAGCTGCGCACCAATAACCACCTACTCAAGACGAACAAGACGAACCATGATCAGCTACAGAAGAAGATGGCGGATTTCAGGACATTCACAAAAGACTTCACGAGGGGAGCTCGCATCGATCGAGACGCAGCTCGGCGAGCGAGGTGACGAAACAATGAGCAACCGTGACGAAGACGGCCAGCCAGCTCCCTTGCGCAGCGGGAGACAGTAATGCATGCGGAACTCGACACCGTCATCAGCCTCGAGCTGCGGACAATTACTCATCACGAACGTACGCATCGGTGCTAGCAAACTCGGCCAATCCGTCGTCGTCCGCAAGCCTGTTAACAACATACATGCCTCGAGCGGATTCGATCTGGCACGAACGAACCCTCTCTCCTCGCCTCCTCCCTTCTCCCTCCTTGGAGTGACAGTCAAGTGGACACGCGGCGAGTAAGAGACAGGAACAAATCGACAGGTGCCGAGATGGAGCAACCGAGCGACCAGAACGTTTCCGGCTTGACTTGATGTTTGGCGTAGAAGCAACTTGGAAAAGATCCAGCTTGCCATTCTCTTTAAACAGGGTCCGCCACAACCAGCACAATGTCGCCCAAGACCGTCACGGTTCACGACACTCTCGTTTTGTTCTTGCGAGCACTTATCCTCACTTTACACTTTTGGGTCCGGCGTTTCCGAGTGACACCTTTCGCTCCTCTCCTCTTGGTCGTTGGAAGCCCGCAACGCCGTGGCTCAATGGTGCAGAGCCCCCACCGCCCGACGAGCGTGCCTCCACGCCGCGCAGACGGCGCTGTTCGAGTCCGCGCCCAAGAATGAAATAATAAGGCCCGACCTTCCGGACAATGTCTCCTGTTTTGAAATACCCATCGGCGTCGTGGGCATTTGCCGCTCCTCGCGCACAGTTTGATGAGGATACCGACGAAGATTTTGTCGACGAAGTCGAAGAAGATGCCGACTTCTTTTTTTTGACCCAGTCCCCGCTGTTGGCAGAACCCGGTCCAAGAGGAATACAAAAGTCGGACCATCCAATTACTACAGATGACAGGACGGGAGGGCTTGACGAGGTTCACCAACATGTCCTGAATGACTTTGTTGATAATGCAAACTGAAAGTCATTGACGAGGCTCGACGGCTGGTTGCCCAAGTCGTCGCGGGTGACCGAACACACACGATTTGATGCAAGCACGCCGGGAGTTTTTTACTGGTTTTTTCCGTCTGGTAGTTCTGTTGCTGTTGGGACCATGGCCATCTTCTCCACGGCCATCTTCTCCAGTCGATACAGGGACCGCTGTCCAGTGGGAAGCTCTACTGCTGCAATACAATAGCAGCGGCCATGGTACGCAGACGTTTCTCCTGGCCGGCGGATGATGCCTACGTACGACAAACGCCGACCTATTGAGCCGCGATGGCGCACTCTTGTTTCTAATATGTTTACATCGAGCCGCCTCCCTGCAAGGACCGATACAAGTTCCGCATCGCTCTTCTTCACCTAGAGCATCGGCCCAGCGAAATCGAGACGCACATCTTGAAACCTTCGAGGCCTTACGTGTGAGGATCTTTCAAGATGGTGTGAAGGATCAGTTGGACCTCCGAGGAGTTGACACCAGAACAATGACTATGATGCTGATATCGACTGCTCTGGAAAGGATTGGCCAGGAGATAGGAGAAGCCTGCGCATTTTTGGTGGCCGGGATGGGTCTCCCGCTCATCGGAGGCGACATTATAGTCTGCACTCTTGAAAATTGCAGAAGTATATGTCTTGTGCCTGGTCGTCTGTCTCCTGTCTGCACTTCAATGTGCCATGTTACAGCGCCTAACAGCAAGATACCCATATAGGGAGTACTGTATGGTGCCCGTCTGACAAGTGGAGTGAAGATCACGTCACACTGCTACATGCATGTTACGGCCTTTCTTTCTTACTTGCTTGCCCGTCTTCGGGTATATTGGGCCCCATCCCGGTCATGGTGGTCCGGCAGCCGGTCTCGATCGTGGACACGGAGGCAATGAACACTGTGTTGTCTGGGGTGCGTTGTGGGCCAACGTTGTCGGAGGCTCCAGGTTCGTTGGACTCGACATCACCGCTGAGCTCGAGACTGGCCCTATCTCAACTGCCCCGAAACTTCAAAGTTCCAGAATCAAGAAACGACGGGGTACTTGGCAGGAAAACCTCCTGGTCTATGAATTCCCTCGCTCACTGCGTCAAAGAGTGCTTAACCGAGTGAGTGCTTCATTCATGGAGGAAATATCCGGCGAATAATCCAACCGGACACCCGGAATCTCAGATATTGCAATCGGTCACCTGGTATCCAAATCCGGGGGCACCATGTGAGGGTTCTCACGCATACTGAGGAAGACGCCGCGCTCCTCCGTACACAAGATGCGTCGAACGGATTCGATCTCGCACGAACTCCCATCCTCCTTATGCATGATGAATGGGTCAATCGCGCTCTCGAGGGCCTGCGTATAAGGGGTGAAGATTGGTATCCCGTCAAGGTCGACGATGTTGGTCAAATCTGCGGAAGTGAAAGAAGACGGACACACCATTCGAGATGATTTCGCAGAGTCGTTCTACGCCGCCGCCAATGGAATCACCGGGGTCAAGAGGGCTTTCTGGCTATCCAAAGGAGATCTGATCGCATGGCGGGATCGATGGTAGTCTACCTGGTCGGCGCGATCGAGGCTCATGCGATCCCGAAACGGCGGACAGTCAAGATCGAAGGACAAATTGCCTTTGTCAAAGAATTTCACAAGATGCCTCGACCGATTCAATGCTACAACTACGAGCAGTACGGATACTACCAGCCAGTCTCCGTTGCAGCCGCCCCATGACCTGTGGCCAGTCCACAGAACCACCGTACCGACTCCTGTCCATCTGCAGAGACGAAATGCCCGGCATGTGCCGATGCTCATGCCACGGGCCGCGACGACAAGACCATCACGTCGTGCCGGAAGGACGGGTCGCGCACGCTGCACGGCTGGATAACGCGCGAATTCCCCAACTGCTTCTGGGTGTAGATCGTATAGGCCACGCTGTCCCCTAACTACTTACACGTCAAGGGCGAGAAGACCGAGCACCTTGCCTACGTGATTGCGGAGTGCGAGAAGCGCAGCGTCCACACCGTCGAGCCCACCGCCCAGGCGGAGGAGGACTAGGTCAAAACCATCCTCGACATGGCCAAGCTACGCGCCGAGTTCCTGGCCGATTGCACCCCGGGCTACTACAACAACGAGGGCACGCCGAATCCCGCGGCGGCTAAAAACGCCAGCTACGGCGGCGGCGCCCCGGCATTTTTAAACCTGTTACGGGAGTGAAGGGCCAAGGGTGAGTTAGGTCACCGATCGGGGCTGCTCGGTATACAAACGTGAACGAGCCCGCTGACAATAGAGCGGTGACCAGCAAAGCGTACTGAACGGGACCATGAACGACATGCTTCAGCACACCGGGATATTGCAAGCGAACCTTGACTGCCGAAGCGCAACCTCCCTTCCCTTTCTCTCCTCCACAAAGATGGCCCTCGAGGTCTTGGTCTTTTGGCGCTGGTGCCACTGTCGCCGCCCAAGACAGCCGGGGCGCTCTCCTGGATACACTACAGTGCCTCTGGGTTGAACGAGATGGCGTCGCTCGAAGATTCTTCCCTCATCTCGACCCGGACCTTCGTGGGTGGGTTGTCCTTCAACCTTGAGGCACAGCTAAGCCTTCTGAACGATGAAACTGCGCGTGACCTGGCGCTGTTGCTTGTCATGGAACCATGGCATGCGTCTTCGGTATCGACCGCAAAGGGATCGTACATGAACACGCCATGTGGGAGGCGGTACGACCTACGCAGGTGGAAAGTGATCGAGTGATCCGATCTTTTCGTTTAATGATCTACGTCAACGAGAGAAGTCAGTTTCGACAAATTGAAGTACCATGGTTCAGACATTGTGGCCGGCATTTTGAAGTTCGACTCATTGGAGCTGATGGTGGTTACTACTGTCGGTTTACGTACGTACCATTTACTACAGATGGATCTAGTTATAACCAGCCTGAACTGCGACATTGTCCCGTCTTGACCTGGTCTGGTCAGCGAGGACGGACTTCGAACACCGGGCAGTTTCCGATAGCCCTGTCACGAGTCCATCTACGCAGAGGGACGTCCACCAGTCCTACGCACCTAGCCCCCGTCAGAATTCCGTCCCCAGTGAGGCAGGAAATCCAGGCAGAATACCATAGTAGTGGGGACAGAATTCCGTCCCCCCCTGGGTGCCAGGGCATAGGCGTACGTGGTCCCGGTGGGCTTCGGGCCCAGACTCAAGAAGCTAAGGAGATACAATTGTTTGTGGGAGGCTACTTCAACCGCCACGACCAGGCATGTCGTGGCTGCTGGACGATGCTTTCCACCAAAGCCGCGAGACAAGCAAGGTGACGGGAATCATCAGCTTAGGGGCTCTGATGGACTTCGACCACCTCCCGCCGCCATTTCCAGATCTCCTCTTACAGTGCTTCGAGGAGGGTTACACCGCGAACGGGGCGGGGACGGGGTGGCTTCGTCTGCTCGACAAGGCCAAGGGACACCGATCCTGACCTGGAAAAACTATCTATTGCAGACTCGCCTCAGCGATATCGTATCTTGAGTGTCCGATTGGTCAAGCGAGGAATGTGTTGCCTAGTGAGCTCCGCGGACCTAATTATCCGTCTATCTGGAATTCGCGAGCTATAGGCGGCATGGATGGAAGGTCACAAAGTAGGCACAAAGTACACGGTGTGATCGAGGCCGTAGCTAATCGCATCCTGACAACACGCCAGCCGTGGCGAGCCCAAAGGAGCAGTCCGCGCCATTTCCAAACGGCGTTGACCCGGTGACTGGAACAGCCTTCTCACCCTTGCCGCCACCGAAGCCATTGCGCTGCCTGCTCGGTCCATGCATCATGGACGCAGGGTGTTGGGGGTGGCACAAGTGCTCATTGACAGTCCTGACCCCGTCAACGTGCTCATACCTGCAGAGTCGAGGTTTGCAAATACACACAGGTGTAAAGGCCAACTTCTGACTTCCATGCATCGGTTGGGTGGATTCCCTTCATGCTTCGCAGAGTGTCCAATAACGCCATGAACGGGGAGCGAGGTGGCAAATTCCACATGTAACAATACACACAGGTGTAAAGTCAGCTTCCTAACTTCCATGCATCGGTTGGGTGCCCTTCCTGCTTCAGGAAGCGGGCCGACAAATGCTACAAAAGTTCCAGGCCACAAAGGTTCCAGGCCACAAAGGTTCCAGGCCACAAAGGTTCCAGGCCACAAAAGTTCCAGGCGTCACAAGGTGCAAGGTTGCCCAACTGACCACCTCCTTCTATGAGTCTACTCCCTGTGTGGTTGCCACCTGGAGGTCCTTGTCGCGCGGGATCTAATTCCAGCCAACAAGCGTGTGTGCCTGCGTCTTGAGACGGCTCTTTGAAACGTCGCTGAGCCAGTAAAGCAGCTAGCTACAGGCTTATTCTCACGGGCAAATCCGGTCGGTCAGCACGACTGATCCAGGCTCGTAAGAAGCGATCACCCGACTCGCTACCAGACTCCACCGGGCGCAGGCAGAAACGAAAACTGGTGTTGGACATGACTCACAGTGAAAGATAGGTGGGGATAGTGAGGTGAGGCTGAAGTCCAGAACCTCCTGCTCCGAGGAAATAGTACGTTCGAGCCCGACGGTCATGCGGTCATGAAACTACCATCGACCTCCTTGCGTTGATACCCAATGAGCTGATTGGCACAGTCCTCAAATGTGACATCCACAAGGTGGACCATGGTTCAGGCCACCGTGTCACACGGACCATCTTCAACGCACATACGACCTACATCTGACAGAGTCATGACGACATCTAACCCCCTTTCCTTGGTCCTTGGTCCAGTCTGGATTGACCATTAAGCGGGGCGACCCTCAGTGTCAGCAAAATCGGCGATTGCCAATGCACTGATGTGGGAAAGCCAAAACCCCTTACGTTCTCGCGATCTAGACTTGGAGGAACGTTCGTGTCCCATCAAAGTGGAGTGGTCGAACCAAAGTGCCGTGCAGAGCCAAAGTGCCGATTTCAAACTAGAATACCCTGTCGAATCAAAGTGCCGTGATCGAACCGAAGTGCGGTGATCAAACAAAAGTACCGTGGCCCACGAAAGTCCCATGGTCAAACAGCTATACGACAGGATCAATGAAGGAACATTGGTGTCCGACAAAAGTACTGCTGTCGAAACAATTATACGACAGAACCAATGAACATTCGTGTCCTACAAAAGTGCCGTGTCCTACAAAAGTGCCGTGTCCTACAAAAGTGCCGTGTCCTACAAAAGTGCCGTGTCCGACAAAAGTACGGTGGTCGAACAGTTTATACGATGGGACCAATGAATGAACATTCGTGTCACACCAAAGCGGGGTGGTCGAACTGAAGTACCGTGGTCGGACCAGGGTAGCCTGTCGGACCAAAGTGCCATGGTCAAGCCAAGGTGCCGTGATCAAACCAAAGTGCCGTGTCCTACACCACGGTACTTTTATACGACAGGACCAATGGAGGAACGATCATGTCACACCAAAGCGGGGAGGTCAAACTAAAGTGCCCGTGATCGAAGTAAAGTACCGTGGTCAGACCAGGGTACCCTGCCGGACCAAAGTGCTGCGGTCAAGCCAAGGTGCCGTGATCGAATCAAAGCGCCGTGATCATACTAAAGTGCCGTGGTCGAACAAAAGTGCCGTGTCCTACAAAAGTACCGCAGTCGGATAGTTATACGACAGGACCAATGAAGGAACGTTAGCATCCTACGAAAGTACCGTTGTTGAACAGTTATACGACAGGACCAATGAAGGGACGTTCATGTCACACTAAATTGCCGTGTTCCACGAAAGTACCGTCACGGGGTCGAACAATTATACGATATGACCAATGAAGTGAAGTCCGCAGGTATGAGTCACAGCTCTCGCAAGACACGGAAGTACCGCAGTCAAATCATTATACGACAGGACCAATGGAGGAACGTTAGAATCCTACAAAGTATGAGTCAGAGCTCTCCCAAGACACGAAAGTACCGTGGTCGAACAGGTATACGACAGGACCAGTGAAGCCCGCAGGTAGTCCGCAGGTATGAGTCACAGCTCTCGCAAGATCAGCATCAACATGACATCTCAAAACCCATCCCCAAGCGATCCGGTGACTAGGACCAACCGGTCAGCAACGGGTCCAAAATATGACTCACAAGTGACTCCCTGCCGGGCTGTGGCTGGTTGGCCGGCTGCACAGTGACAGGCCAGCGACACATCCGTGAGAGACCACGACCCAGGCAGACCTTTCGCAAGACCGACTAGGCTGCAGTGCGACGGGAATTCTCCACAAAGATGCAGCACATACTACTGGTCGCCTCAGTCGCAGGACTGGAACGTGGAGCCCAGACCATCATCCAGCAAGTAAAGCAGGCATTGACCAACCCCATGCTGGTGACGCCATACTACCAAGGCGTGGTGACGACGAGTTGACCACACTCAGGGACGAATACACCAGCAGTCGAGACCGAAGCACCCATGAGCGTACAGTCGTTTGCAATTGCGGCTTCACCTTTCCAGACACACTCAATTATTAAAGCCCCACCTGCTTCCTTTAAACTAGTCTGAATAAGTCTAAGCGTTACTGGCTTGTCCTCAGAGCGTCATCGCGAATTTGCTGGCCCCGATTTATGCGGTGAGCTCGTCCAACTGCCGTCACGGACACTAGAGAAGCTGGCTCTGGTGCAGTTGTCCGAATGGGATCAGACCAAAACATGTGATGATGACCCTCCCTCCTGCCTCCGAGTTACCATCAGATGAATTTGTGAATTAGGCATCATTACTGGAACTCTTAGCTCATCAAATGCATTCCCACAGTCCCGGCATCAAGCAAATCTGAGACCAGGTTTTTGTCGACGATGACCAGAGACACATAGTCAGTGTAGCCAACTACAGCACCATAGCCGTTTTCCAGATAGAAGTTGAAATCATTCGCGTCTGCGAGATATAAGCCCACCCGAGTCGACATTGTTAAGCCATCGGTGTTCTCGGCGTCATCCCAGGGGTTGTGCTTTGCCGAGTTTTCCGCACGACTTTTCCAGATTTCCCACTTCTCCATGTGTGTTGTGGATTGAGGATCGTAGATTTTGAAACCCGTGTTGAATTTGAATTGTCCGATCTTCGTGCCCACTAGAGCTATCGTGTAGGTATTGTTCGGACTCTTCAAGGCGCACCAGATCCCAGGAAAGGATCCTCTGTAGATCCAGTCGTCAGGCATAGACTTGTCGGCTCCGAAATCTTGGTATACGTTCCCAGCTTTCTCGTCGAACTTGTGGAAAACTCCAACATTATTCAGTTCTGCCAGGTCCACCTCATCCTTGGCCATTTCTTTCAAGCATTCCCTCGTGACCTCGTAGAGGGTATCTCGAAATTCATCATAGTCAGACTTCGGAGGGATATGAGCGTCTTGCAGTGTCCGTATTGCGGGGTGAACAGAGAACATCTTCTCGTCTTGTGAGGGGCCCAAATGAACAAACATAGACAATGAGGCCAGCGTCTCAGGCATTTGCATTTTGCGAGAAAATTGAGTTTTTCAAAACTGACCTGCTTCAGGCTTTATGAACAGTTGGCTGTGCAATACCAGGCCTCCTTTAATGAGTGCTAACCGGTGAGGCTAGGCTCCGAGCGCCGGAAGTGGAGACACTGCACTTGGACGTTTTAGGCTGCGCAGAAAGAGCGGTGAGTCTCAAGAAATCTGCTGCAGGACGAAGCTAAGCACTCTTGAGAGAAACCAGCAGGGGTGTGAAAGCAGGACTTAAAGTACAGCGCACAGAGTTTTTACGATCAGCTTGAAACCCGATACGCCAGTTTTTCTCTTTCACCCAAAGGCAACAGCGCCCTCCTAATGGCCATACGACGAAGAATGATTATTTTTGGCGCACATTTCGTCAAATCCTTGGTCGCCAGTGTGAACTGACGCGTCTGCTTACCCTGGCTGCAGATCAAGGACTCAGCCCGTTCTACGATGGCTACAGTAGCCACATCATTCTTCCAAACGACTGTAGAAATGGAGTCCACCAGCCGGGAATCCCGCACGAAAGCTACACTGCAGAATTTTCGGTCAGGGGTGAGAGAAAAGAAGAGACGATATTGGTGCACTTTCTGGAAGACACCGACAGGGTATGGAAAGCAGCCCCCTACCTCGCCTCGGATGCACCGGCGTGTGACAACATACCCTTCTTAGACGGTCCGCGGAGATCCATGAAGATCAGGAGAAGGGAGAGACTTTCGCTGGCTTGCCATCGCGAGAGACCTGCACGCCCACAACTTCCCCGTCCGACTTTAGGATCTGGACCACGGTCTCTTTTCCCCCTTGCTTCTTTTCCTGCTTGACCCCAGAAGGATGACAACGCTTGGTCCAGGGAGGACTTTCTTTCCGATAACACCAATCATTCGTCCCGACATCAAACCAGAACAGCCTCTACGCCTCTACTGGGGCAGCTCGAAGGCAACCAACCCTCCCCTAGCGGTGGCAGAGGGTGGCTACGCAGTCGAAGGCATCCACCCATGGAAAGCCCCGGGCGTAGATGGTATACCCAACGCAGCGTGGAAAGAATTATGGCCCATTCTAGACCTCATGATAGTGGCAATTTTCCATACTTCACTCCAGCTGCGCTACGTGCCCCTACCGTTCAGGGGTGGCCCGCATCCTGGCGCTGAGGAAGCCGGGCAAGGCAGACAATACGCAGCCCAAGTCATACCGACCAATTTCACTGCTGTGAATTAGTTGTTGCTAGACGGCTATCCTACCAGGCTGAAACCCACGGTTCTGCTCCCCAATCATTCATCCTTTGCATCAAAGCCCTTCCCAACGTCTACAATACAATACAATCTGGCAGATACAATCCAATCGGTCGTAATTCCTGGACATGCTTGCATTCTTGTCAACACCGCAAATACAAATGACACGGCCGTGAGCACGAAATATGCAGATCCGTCCTGATCTGGCCCAGACCGGGTGAATAACTGGCAGCAGCGCTTTTTTTTGTAAGCTTTCAAGTCCCTTGAAGAGACCGTGACGGGGGCAGATGACAAGGTAGGTACGGGTTGGGTTATATTTCAATACGAGGTAAGAAATAAATGAGATGCGACGGTGACATTGAGTCCCTCCCTACCTTTCCTTCCGTCTCTAGTTTCCATTGATTGTGGCCGAACCGATAAACATCCGGCCCTGGTGGAATTGGGTTGATTGGCAGGCAGGCAGTACCTGAAGGGGCTTGCCGGATGCGGTCGTCGCGCCTCTCTATTTCCTTGTTTGTTTTCTTTCCTAGGACGCGGCTGTCGCTGTACCGACCGTCTCTGTTTACTTCTTCCTTTCTTTCCTGGGATGCGGTCCTCGCGCAGTCTCTATTTCCTTACTTCCCTCTTCCTTTTCTTTCCTCAGCTTAGTCTCTCGTCAATGGCAATACATGATTAGGAGCGTTTCTCCTTTCCACACCGTCAGGCGTGCTGTCGCCATAGTTGCCAACAAGGAACTTCGTCGACGCATCAGAGCGGGAGGACACCAAGTTCAAGGACACATGCTCGGAAATACCGTCTGGCCAAGCTCTCACACCACCCTGGAGTGGAGCAACAACTTGAGGAACGCTTCCCTACAAATGTTGTCTTGTATTCTGGTTTCTGGCGCCAATTTAATCCAACTGGGGTCAAGCGAGTTTGAACACACCGGCCCCCCGGGCAGGCAAAGAATGCCGCAATTCCCGAGTCGATTCAAACCTTCCCCCCCCTCGAAGTTACGGATCTATTTTGCCGACTTCCCTTATCTACATGGTTCTATCCACCAAATCCCCGTTGACCCAACTTGGGTCAAGCGAGTGTTGAACACACCGGCTCGACAGAAATCCGGGTTGGCCCGGCAAGTAAGAATGCCGCAATTCCCGAGTCGATTCAAAGAGATATGTCAGAGGCTCTAGCCATGACCTTGACCACTGGCGGGTGCGCGTTGCAACGCCAAACGTTACTTTGGCTCGCCTCAGAATTGGCAGTCTACGTTTGTAGACTGCAAAGTGTCTACAAATATAAAGCAGCAGCAATCCGAAAGGATGAGAGGGTCCGTGACCCAACCCCTGATCCATGTCGCAAGAATCACGTTAGCTAACTGACTTGTTATGATGACCAGGCCTATTGCGTCCCATCCTACAAGCGTACTGTTCGAGAAGCCTCTCTTTTCGGACCTCATCCGGCTGCCTGGTGTCCATGATCTGATATCCGATATCATGGACGAATTGTTAAACATCGCTCATTCCCAGGACTGCAAATTTCCGAGCAACAGGAATCTACAATCGACCCCGTGGTCGGGTCAAGCGGTTGAAAGAGAGGGGCGTCTAAGCAGCAGCAGTGGAAAGGATGATAGGGTCGGTGGCCCCTGGATCCGCATCGTAATGAGAATCACGTTAGCTGACTTGTTGTGACCAGGCCTATTGCGTCCCATCCTACAAGCATACTGTTCGAGAAGCCTCCTCTCCTCTCAGACCTGATCCGGTCCCCGGGGGAGAAGGGAGGGGGCGGTGTCCATGATTTGATATCCAATGCTATGGACGAATTGTTAAACATTGCTCATTGCCAGAACTGCAAATTTCCGAGCAACTTAAGGAATCTACAATCGAATCTATGGTCAGGGCATCCCCTACTTAAGTAGACAGTAAAGTGTCTACAAAAATAAAGCAGCAGCAGTTCGAGAGGATGATAAGGTCGGTGACCCCTGATCCGCGTCGCAGAAATCACGTTAGCTGACTCATTATAAATAGGCCTATTGCATTCCATCCTACAAGCATCCCTTCTCGAGAAACCTCCCCTCTGTTAGGGACGAATTGTTAAACATTGCTCATTCCCGACTGCAAATTTCCGAGCAACGTCGCGGTTGAAAGCGAAGGGCATCCCCGGCCCAAGTGGTGGAACGGGCGGCATCCCTTATTGAAGTGGTTGATGGGTTGGCGTCCCCTGCACACAACAGGCCACGATAGTTAGTGAACAGACAGGAATCAGACATATCAGAGATCACCTACAACGGGCCTCCCACAAGGCTCCCCATTGTCCCCCATTCTCTCCATCTTCTTCGACACGGGTTTGGTTGACCAGACCATTGACGATGATTAGGGACCTCTTTGTTTTGTCGACGACTAAACACAATGGGATGTGAGTGCCACGATCTCTCTATCGGCGGACAATGGTTGTAAAATCCCCCACGCTCGGGCCTGTCTCTCTCATCTACGGTGACCAGATCCCTGGACCTATGATAGTCCCGCTACGGTCTGGTCTTCCTTGTACTTCGTCTCGGCCACTCTCCACCACAATTAGATGTGGAATACTACGGCATCGTTGAGACCACACCTCGATCATCAGCTACTCTCCAATACAAACCTCACGGGATTGATTGGCTCCCAGACAACCGAGACGGAGAGTGAGAAAAAGAAGATAGGCGGATACTCTGAAAAAGAAAATACCCTGAATTGCTGTCAAGCTGGAATCCTGCCCGATCAGAACATGGAGATGCTGCAGTCGAGGGTAATACCACGAGCCTTAAACTGGGGTTTACGACCAATGGAGCCAGATTTGAAGACAGCAAGACCACGTTGATACACTTCATCCGTGATGTCCAGCTCAAGAAGATGGAAGATGCCGCCACCCCTGCAGGCTCTGCGGGTTGGTACGGGTATGTGTCCTCTCATCGAGGGCAGTACCACGAGCCTTGAACTGCGCCGCGACCAGTGGAGGCCACATTTGAAGACCACAAGACCACGTTGATACACTTCATCCGCGATGCCCGGCTCAAGAAGATGGAAGATGGCGCACCCCCTACAGGCTCTGCGGGTTCGCACGGGTATGTTTCCTGTCATCGCGCTCCACCAAGGTGCTCGGGGTGACGCTGGACAGCTAATTGACCATTCAAAGACCACCTGGCGCGGGTAACGCACAGAGGGTGGCGTCGTGATCGATCGAATGCTGGCCCAGATTCCCCGGTTCGTGATCAGGCGCGGTGAGCCACCTCTAGCAGAGCATCGTACTCTCAGGCCTGGACGATGCGGCATCGGCTTGGTGCGCCCACTACTTGGGCAAAGGCACCCCCATGCTTATACAAAGACTTTTCGTTCCGATTGAGCGATATGCCGCGAAGGTGATGACCAACTGCTTTCGAACCAGTCCCACACGAGGCAGCCTGCGCCGAGGGAGGGCCGGCAATGCCTCATACCCACGGCACCACCACGACTGGCGAACAGAGTGTCGTGACCGATCTGGAAGTCATCGACGCCTTCAGCATGGCATCTGGGCATTTTGATACCTGCTCAGCTGTCCACATCACGAATGATCAGGAAGAAAGCGCCGACAGGTGGATCGACCAGACCAAGATCAAAGATCAGGATCGAAATATCATCCCATCCCTATTCCCTTCGAGGAGGATATTACCTCCTTCAAACTCGATACCGTTCTCATCCCTATCGTCTTCAAGTAAGATATCACTTCCTTCAAAACCTCATACCGTGCAATCATCCCAGGAGACACTGTACACCCAGGGGATACTATGCAATGGAGGTGGTGTACACAATCGCCTCTAGCTCAGTATTGATTAGATCAGAATAATACCGGCGATATCCTCGACTCGCAGTCATTAAACGTGGCAAGCGTGGCGCCGCATACCACAAACTCACCCCCATCCACCAGCAGCTTCGAGACTAGGATAACTTACAAGGGAGAAACTCAACAATTAAATTTTATGAGAGCTTGCTCAAAGGGCTTATCCTTCTACTGCATCCTGCATCCTCGGTCTGTCCTGTTCTGTAATCAATCACCTTACAGCACCCATCTCTCACCAACAATCTGTCAGTGGAATGAATGATTGATTGATTAGGTAAGGAAATCATCTATCTAGTGCGTTTGCACAGTTTGTTATGTCGCCGTGGTGGAAATTATTCGGCTAACATTCCTAATCGGGTAGCTAGGGCCTCATAAATACTCGCTCAGCCTCATTCCGCAACCATTTTCTTTCTCTCCTGTATCATTCCGCAACCGTGGTCTATCCACGGGGGTAGGTGAAAAAGCGTCTCCGAGGCCACAGCTTCTCGACGTCGGGCAACTAGTGATCCTGGTGTAAAGTCCGCAGGAACGTCTCAGCCCAGGAGGGCACTCTACATTGGGGACGGTGTGCACTCAAGAGCCAGGAGACGTTATACTTTTGTGGCGGTGTACACTCAGGAGCCAGGAGACACTATACAATGGGCGTGGTGCACTCCCAGGGGGCACTATACTATGAAAATGATGCACAACACCGAGTTGACCAGGTCCGAGACACGGCCGAGCGCACGCACGGTCTTCTCCTCCGACAGCAAAGCAGAAACTGCAAGCCATCGAAATCCCGGCCGACGACGCTGCCAGCGGATGGCACGACGAATTCACCAAACATCTACACATGTCCTCCATCAAAGGGAAAGAAGAAAGAGACAGTGTTTATCTGGACATGCGTATGTACCCTCCCCTCCCTTCTCTCTCCCCAGCCCGAGCAAAGAATGCCTGTCTGCCCTGTCCGCGGGCATTTGGATGGACCCGGCCGGGCAATCTGGTCGATTTTTAGAGGGCGTTGCTGCTGCTGATGATGATGATGGAAATACAGCACCGATGCGGCCACAATCCGATTCCGATCAGAACGAACAACTGTCCGCATTGCCAGCATAACCGATGTCAGAACTGCACCACCGAGAAAGTGACAAAGTGAGCGAAGAAGGTCAGCGAGTTTCTGTCAGAACACTCAAAGCCATACATCAGAAACTTCTCCGAAGGGATGGCCGAAAGGATGATGCCCGAAGGGGTGGCAGAAGGGATGGCAGAAGGGATGGGTGGTGTTTGCTTCTCGTGTTTTTTTTTTTTTTTTTTTGTCCACAATTTGGGTGTTAAGACCATAATATGCGTTTTAGCTTCTTATCGGCGAGACTGCGTGGGTGTCAGGACATTACGACGTTCGCTGGCAACGAAAAAGCTCACCAGTTCAATGAACTGGCGGTGGAGACGACCGCACCAGGGATAGCAGATAGCAGTCAGTGTCCTCGAGGCTCCGTACCATGGCTGGATACTGTGTTTCAAGTTCGACCGCTCTTCGTTGACCACCAGAGACGGGGTTGAAAAGTTTCGAACAACACCGGCCTTGGAAGACCGGCAAATACCTCCGCAAGGTCGACGCCGCCCTGCCAGGTGAACACCTCCGCCACTGTTGCTTCTCACTCTATTACTTCTCACTTCCTCGCACGCGATTCGGCCCAAACCCTCTGTCGGCAACGGTGTCCTAGAACAACAGAGGTCCTGCCGCACTTGATCACGTTCTTCCAATCCTCCAGCGTCCAGTCGAAGACAGAATCGCGAGCGAACAGAACGCTGTGCCTTTGACAGGGCCATGAGGCCCATAGTCTCGAGACCCGCGGCCTCCATCTCGAGTAGGTCTTCTTACACACAACACCAACCCAACCGTGCGGCTCCAGAAGCTCTGAATCGGGCTTTTCAAAGCCTGGCTCGGTTGAGGTCTACAATGTCACACCATCCTCGCTCCCTCTTCTCGCTCCGGTGGTGTTACACTACCTGCCCCGCCCACCCTTCAACAGTCTGAAGGAGAAGCTGACTACCAGCTCAACCGCTTCGAACGTAAAGTCAGACAAGGCAGGACAGTACAGGAGAGCACAAGACAGAGTCGGCCAGGGTAAAGCATACTGGTCTAGCTGACATTTGAATCACGTTCTCAATCTGTCGTGACGTCCAACCAATCGATGATAACGAAAGTGTTTGGATTTGCCGAGCGTTCGGAAGGCTTGTGTGGCCAGAGGCCTGTTCCGCAGGGAGAGAGAGGTCTTTGCCAAAACGCAAAAGCGTCTGTGAGGTATCCGCGGTCCGCGCGAATTTTTGCGTCCACGGGCTTTTTCTGCAATATAAATCAGTCTACGGCATGGTCGAACGCAGGAAAAGAACAGACGTTGCAAGCTCCCACCGCAATGACATGGCCATCGCCATCCGACATGTTTTCGACGCGTTCTTTGTCTTTTTCGATCGCTTTCTGTCTTCTCTTTGTATCCCGGAAGGATTTACGCCTCGCTGCGAGTTCAATATCGTCCATCGGCTTCAGCTTTGGATATCCCTTCACCTTTAGATATCCTTCACCTTCGAACATCGTTCAAGACCTCGGTCTGCCTCTGATCGCATCCTGCGGCACTTGATGCGCACCACCACAGCACCAGCACCCCCCCCTACACCTACAGTAACGTTACCGACCGCGAGGCTAACCAAGGCTTCCCTGATATCCTACCTCTCGACTACGAATCGATCTACCTCATGAGAACGCGTTTCTATCGGGGAAAAGAGAAAAGGAACTACTTGAGAGACTTGAACGCGAACCTGCGCAGCCTCTTGGGCCAGAATTGCTCGAACCACTGTTAAGAGGAAGATAAACATACAAACACAAGAGGCCGACCATCCTTCGGGAGCGAGATAATGGGTTATGAGTAACTACCCCGAGCTTGGGTATGGTATTGAACTGGGGCGAGGCTCTTGGCCAGAGGCATCAAGTCGTACGGCGGTGGGCATGGTGAGGGCTGCGCCGATGCCAGATGAGCCACCAGTAACAATGGAAATTGGAGGGCTCACGGCATTGGTGATGGTGACCTTGAGTTGAGGGGTGATTGAGTCAAGGAACACCAGTATATTGGCTCCCTGGGGGTCACGGCTACTGCACATCAATAAACAAAACAGCATAGAAAGTCTTGACCAGATGAATTCATAACTTGATTGATCCACTATCCTCTATATCCCTTTTTTTGTACTTTCCCTCGAGTGATTAGAAATTCCCTGAATGGATAGATCCTATTGGAGGATTCCAGAGAAAATTAATCCCAGACCCAGTGGAAAAAGTCTCTTTTCTGGCATGGAGAGTGACGTGCGGAACCCTTGGCCTTCCTTATCGGGATGTTCGTGAACCGACAAAAAAAATTCACGTGGTTTTCCAAACAGCGTGATTGGCCAGCCAACTATCGTGTTGTCCAAATTCCAACCAATTCAGTGGCCAAGAGTATGTCATTTCCGCACATTATTACAGACAAATCCCACCCATCACAATACAGCCTTGAGACTCTCCCACTACAATATTATCTCCGCAAGCTCCGAGCTTTCACTTTCCCTTTGCTGCGCTCCGCATCTGACGCGAGAATCACCAAAGTACTACCTCACAACGGTCATGGCTGAGCGAGCTCATGACTCCCACGACACGACATGACACGGGGAGCAAGGCAAAAAGCGATGCGAAAAAGTGTCGTCGTGTTTGTCGTCTGCCTGAGAATCTGACTTGCCAAATTCAATTCTACGAGCACCAGCCTCCTCCATCTGACGCCGCCGGTCATTCTAGAATCAGTTCCCGTTTCACGATGGACTCACTCGGTCAGCTCTGCCCTCTCTGCCTTCGAGCCTGCGACCTCTGATGCCCCCGAGGGCTCTATTCTCTGCGTACATCTCTACGCGTGAGCGATATCGTCTATAGGACTCTACGCTGTCTCATTCTTCCTCCTTCCGAACCCGCCTGGAAAGTCACACCAGCGACCAGCCTGATCCGTTCTGGCTTCCTAGAATGCCTCCTATGAGTCTACGTGAATGCCTCCGTCCTCTCTACATCCACTCGATCCTCGATCGGAATTGTCACAAAACCTGTTCTGGCCGTTGCCGACCGCGGTCCGCCCGGAGAATGCGGAAGAGAAAAGCGAGACAATCGTGAGACGGCTCAATGCCGAATCACAAAGCATTGAGTGCCGTGCACAACCTGGTGCACACATCCCGAGAAAATGCAGCGCCACCGACAAGGGAACGAATCTCGGAAGCGTCGAGCGAAGACCTCACCTCACCTTACCTTCAGTTCGGCCAGGCATTTTGTACAGGAATAAAGACACTCAAGAGCTGGGAGGTGCTACATCATGCGCGGGACAAGAGACTTCTGATGTCCACTCACTTCAGGCTCACATTCCACACAGTTTATGGATGGCTGGGCTTTCACTTTCGCAGGGAGAATCCCCTTGAAGAGCGGCGGTAAATTTTCCCTGCGACCTGCGACCTGCTACACGCTACACGAACCTCAATACCTGCAACGAGTCTGACGATCGATTCCCCATTCAGCAATCACACCAGTTTACCACCAAGCTTGTTCAGAATGACGCGAGCCAGAGAGCTACCAGTCATCGTCGTCACCCCGCCCCCCGGAGGATGGGCCGACGTCAACCGTCAGCATCCTGACGACACGGCACTGGGGGCTCTAGGACAAGGGAGCCCTGCGTAAGTTGGACCGAACAAACGCAGAAGGGCAGAATTACTTGACCGAGGCCGACGACGACACCGAGCCGGTCGACTTGTTGCCAGTACCAGAGCCAGCTGCAGGTCAATTATCTACCAATCCAACTGATATTCCCATTCTTTTGTGTCAAGGGGCTTCATTGTTTCCTCGAGCCCACCGACGGGGCTCCGCGCCAAAGGTTGAGAGAATGAAGCTCGTCCTCACGCCTGAGGCCATGTGCTCTGGCTGGTTGCCTGCTGTCCATGCCGCGTATTCTCGACCCTCGTCTTTCCAATGCACCCTCGGTCCCGTCTCTCCCAACGACCGATTCCTCCCCCTCCGGCCCTCCTGAAAGGCCATCTTGGGACCATCTCTCCTAACATTCCACGAGGAGGAATAATACAGCTGCCTGTTCAAGCCTGCTTGACACGAAAGGACCTCGCTCGCCAAAAACCAAATCCCTTCCCTTACTAGGTCGATTGACGAGGACCTTTCCGGGTATCGACTCTTTTCATCCCCAAACCCACTCATATTCTCGCCTCCGCCTACGCCTGCGCACGCGCTGCACCAAAAAGCAATCCAACAACCACCACTATCGTCACATGCGTACGATGTGGCCATGAGCGCGGCCACAGAAGAAGATCGTGTCGAGGTCACCCAATTCACTTCCGGCGATCGGTATTTTTCGACGAGACGGAAATGACTCGTCTCGATCCTCGAGTCATGGAGGACATTACGCCGAGATATCAATATCAGGCTCGAGTCGCGGAGCCGCGGAAGAAAAGAAAGAGACTGGGAAAATGTTTACATCGGCCATCCTCCCGGCATACATTGCGGAGTTTTTGGGTCTGTGTCACTGATATTACTTTTAAAGAATGAAGCCCGGGGTTGGTGGCGGTTTTGTGGCTTCTGGAGGCTCGTGGGTTTCACACCTGGGCCAGGGGAGCGTCAGATCGCTACCCAATACTACTTTTAGAGGGCTTTGTCAGTCAACGCACCACCGCCCTCTCAAGCGCACCTCTCGCATTGATCGGCAGCAGGGAAACAGGCTCACCTCGAGGTCGACAGGACGGGGGAAACTATGGCATACGGTCGGCGCGCTGAGCCGTGACCGTGTCGTTGGGTGATGATGATCCACGCCTACCATTTGACACGGAAGTCCTCTGACAGCTTCCCAAGTCGGCATCAGTCTGCGTTTGCTGGACTGCTACGTGAGTCTGTTTCGAGGAGTCTCTGAAGCAGCCCTGGGCTTCCTGGAGACGCTCGTTGTTCCTGGATCCGAGGACTGTCATGTCGGGAGCGTAAGCCCCTGAAGATTTGTCTCTCACTCGCATGCACAACGACCCTGCGGATCGTGGTGACCATTTCTCAATGGCAGATAATACTTCCTCCGACAGTCTTTCGTCTGGATCTCTTCTTGGACCCGCCCTCATACGACCCTGCCGAAGCCAATGACCTATGCACGAGCGCTCAGCCGTGACCGTGTCGTTACGCGATGATGATCCCCACCCACCATCCGATCGTTCTCTACTACATCTACCCGCCCTCATACGACCCTGCCGAAGCCAGTGACATATGCACGAGCACTCAGGGATGCCTGATGGCTAGACAATGGCGCCACCTTTTACCCTCCAGGTGCTAGGTCTGGGAGAGGAGTTCGGTCCCGGTCGAAACGGATGTGGTACTCGACACAGTCTTCGCGAGCCTCGTCTACAAGAATCACGCCTTCAGGTCCGGTTCAAACAGGAGAATTCCAACGACATCGGTGAGTGATCATGGTCCCTATTGCAAATGCGCATCTGACCATGGGCCAGCTATCTGGGACCACCGCAGCGTGTTCGACTCTGCGACCTTTGACTATCATGGTGAAGGAGACCGCTTTGGAAACAGGGCCGTTGGTCGGCAGTAGCCCCTTGCATGGCGCGAGATACCGTTTCGTCGCGATGAACGCAATGAAGACCGAACGCAACGCACCTTTCTCTAAATGGAGTTGGCGCTGGCACGATGAATACTATTACATCAAACGCTCAAGGGGTGCTCTTCTATCTAAGAATACTACTCGCCTTGTGCCACCATGTCAGCACCGCCGCAACGCGTCGCCATCTCGGTAACAAATCGGTCGGTCGGTCATCCCCTGCTCCTCTTCTCCTTTGGTGACTTTGATACAACGGTCGGGTGTTCTCTGTCTCTCGTGTTCAACCGTTACAGGCGCGGCGGGAGGACCGGGATTGAGGGCGCGCCCGTTCGAGCCGGAGCCAGACCGAGTGCTGTCCTTTGCATCCGTGGGTATCGGCGCATGGACCGTTCAAATTGACGCCCAAGATCAGACTCTCATTCATCGTCAGGCACCCGCTCGACCGCACAATCGGTACCCTTAATGCCCTGGGTTACCCAGAATGCCTGCCATGTTGGCTGCCCGCCCCGTGAATGGCCCCCATCATGCTGCACAACTTCCTTCATGATCGCTTCGAGGGCTTACTTCGCCGACTTGGACATCGCACGGCAATGTGCAAACCCTTTTCCGCCGAGCTCTTGCACTTCTTCCAAGAAGACATGCTGGGGCTTGTGAAGGTCGATGAAGAGCAACGCCAATTGGCTCCTTGTTTTGCCAGAAGCGTCAGCGTCGACGTCGACCGGTTCATGGTCAACTGGTCAAAGGCAGCCCAACCGTGGGTCAACTGGTCCACCTCAACTTGCCTCGGGTCAACTGGTCGAGCTCTCCTGGGTCAACTAGTCCAAAATGTGAAGGGCTGGCGTTTTTAGCCTCCAAGGCAGCAAATGCAGCGAATGACAAGCCCTTGGGTCGAGATTCGGCTGGCAGAGAGACCAGGCCTTGGTCTTTGAAGGCTGCACGCTCCTGTGCTCGAGTTTCGGTAGTTTCGGAGGACTTGAAGGTCACACCTGACGTGCTGTGCGACCGACGGATACGATACGTCAACCGGAGCTCATCGTCTTCCAGTCCACCAAGCCTTGACGGCTTGAGAAGCATGCTATACGTCTACCCTTACGCAAGTCCAACGCAATCCAACGCCTAGACACAGACGACGGCGACGCTGCTGCTCGCACTCGCCTCCTTCTTGGTGGATATGAAAGCAAAGGGCCAAAGCATCGGAGCGCTTCCAGAGCACCAACTTCATATTTGTATTCGAACATTACCGCAATTGCGAGACATCTGGCCCGTTGCCGATGCTGCTTGCTCTGAGGCGTCTTTGCTGGCCTGCCGCGCGACGACGCCACAAAGATTCCATGATTTTTCCCTCTTTTTTGTTTGTGGACTTGTGGCATAAGGCTACCTGACAGTCCGGCGAATTCCGAGCCCTGGAATTGTTTGAGCGTCGTCGAGCATCTCCCATTCTTCTTGGCCAGGACGTACATGTCCCATGCGTGATACATGTCTGTGTTTCTCTCTCTGTCCCTGTTCACACACGAAGAGTCCAGCAAGCAACGAGGCCAGAAAGCAGCAAGGTGGGCTTGGGGCGAGCAGAGACTCGGGTTCAGCCTTCAGAAGGGATTTGACCTCGAGCGAGAAGCGCAACATTTGTTACTTGCCCTTTTGCCTCTTTAGGGGCTCGTTGGCAGAGCTGCTCCTCCCTGGGGGAGAGTCACAACCGACCGTGTCTCTCTGTTCGAGGAACCCGAGAACGCCATCGCTGCCAGAATCGACCTGGCGAAAAGGGCCAAAATAAGAACTCATGTCATCTCCCACAGTCGTCGCTTTGGGTCGTGTTGCCGTTGACCTCTTTCGACGGGCTTCCGCCCAGCTTGACGTCGTCAATACACAGATATTGGATGGTTGTCGAGGACGCTGTGTGCGACGAGTCATCGACAGACAAAAAGAAACTGGATGTCAGAGGTATGAGCCACCTTGAAGGCGCCGCGGGCGGAAGACCCTAAACCACGGCTATTCACGCCGTATCGTCCTTTGCAGCCAAATTCGGTGTAAAATCGCAGGGAGGGTCCGCCAGAATTCCTCGTATGGTATCATCCATGCACTTGAATGAGCCCTTAGCCGGAAAACAGCGACATGGCAGCAGCTAATGGCTTGAATGGAGAAGCTGCTCCTGCTCTAATCGGGCTGTGTCTCCTCTCTCGCGAGCTTCTCGTCCAGGGTACCTTTGAGGTTCACCTCGATGACATTGCTTGCTTCTCCGGCTGGCATCGGGCTACCAGGTATCAGCCATGAGATATCAGCCAAAGGAGACTTATAACCCACCCTCGGCGAGTCCACCCTTGGCCACCACCCCCAGAAGGAAATAAGCAAGGCTCGCCGTAGCCCATGTCACCGCCACTGGCGGGCGGGCTGTCGGGCTATCGGCGATCAGCGATCAGTTATCTGGCCATGAGGTAGTAGGGTAAAACTGAGGGCACAAGATGGTGACCCGATGTCCATGCTTTCCCCAACATAGGGAGCGACACTGGCGACGGTGGGTCAGGCAGGGGATAAAATAGATCAAACAACGGATGCAGTCTCCCTCTTTCCGTCGTCGCTGTCGTCGCTGTGGTCGACGAGGGAGGCACAAACCACTGGACAACATACCCCCAATGCGCATGAACCTTTACAAACTGGTTCGGTGCTCCTCCCGCAGAGCTTTTCTTTTCCTTTTTCTTTACCCCGATGTGTGCAGTTGGACGACAGAGACGCCGAGAGCTGGTCAAATCTGGCTGTGGCGCCTGCATGCGTCCTTTCTATCCCAGTCGTGAAAGGTGAGGCCTTATTTCACGATAGCCGCGTCTCGTGAATGGCGATTCAAGATCAAGGCTGAACAACAATGCTACTTTACCCGAAGGTCTACATCATCGTGGGAGGCGGCAACGCGCAACGCCGCCCTTGCGCAGCACCACTTCCTGTGTTGATCTCGCCGTCGCCGACGATCAGCTCCTCCGGCCGGCGTCGACATTGTCTGGTCTGCGCCTTCAAGACATGAATCCCCATCACTCAGCCAGGTGTCAAGACCAAAGCTAAGGCCATCGTCCGTGTCAACAAGATGGCATTCCAACATCCTGGCACCGACAAGCCTCAGATTCAAGACATCACGTTCCAGGTATCTCTTGGCTCGCGTATTGCAGTCATCGGCCCCAACGGTGCTGGCAAGTCCAGGAAAAGCAGGTCATCCCGAATGCTGAATCGGTTTTCGTGGTCTGAAAAAGTGAGCTTCACCGGCGGTACACTCGCGTGGATAAACTCCTCGCAAAACCAAGGCTTTGATTCCCGTCAAACTTACGGATGTCCAGCGTACCTCGACCGACTCCAACAGTTGCAGCTCTACGGACTCGGGAATAGGTAGCTTGTATCGTCGGTATCTGAGGCCTCTACTGACGTCCAAGGAAGGCATTCCGTCCCGCTCGTCCCAGAGCTTCAATATCCATCCGTCGGTCTGCTGAGGCGATGGCGACCTCAGGTCCGGCGAGACCATCGTCGTCGACTGCTTGCTCCACCTCATTCCCATTTGAATATTGTTTCGACGACGCAGGCCCCGTTCATCCCCCTTCTGTGACGACATGCGACCGCCTAACATGCTAGTCGACCCGGAGACATGACATGTCGAATCACCGCCATCATCGATTTCGAGTTTACAAACGCGATGCGATGCCCGCGCCCGCAGTTTACATACGATCCGTCCTGGTGGCTGGATGGCTGCTACTGTCCGGGTCCGAGATGTGGGTTTTGATCGCTGCTCTGCGGAAGGAAGAATTTCTCGCTCTGTATGAGCCCTTGAATGAGGCATGTTCTGCAAGCCCTGCCTGGACCAAGTTGAAACAAGAAGAGTTCGGAGCGAGCGGCACAGCCAGCGCGCCCCAGTCAGCCAGTCTTGCCACGCGAATGGCGTGAATCCTGGGTCATCGCATCCCAGAACCGCACGAGCTGGTAACCCAGTTTGATGTGCAACAACTACTAGTCTGGTCTTGACCATTATCAGCGACACGAGAGGCAAGCTGGTTGGTTACAGGCACACTAACCCCCCGAAGCGGCACCTATCGTCCTCCTACCCCCCTCCCCTTTCTTTCGGACAATCCCTCCTGCCGATTCGACCCTTGATCAGGTATCGCAAGGGCTCGGGGCGCGGGCAAGCTGGGCGTCGCTCGCTGCTCGTGCCAGGGAACAGGCAGGGTCAGGCGGGTGATCGATCGGACTTTACACAAAAGACGAAGATCTGGACTCGTCACGGAACAGGATTTTGAGCCTCGGTTACCCTGCCGGAGTATCTTATCCTGTCACTCACTGATCACCATCCTCTCACTGATCACCATCATCGTGGGATCTCTCGTCGTGGGATCTCTCATCGTCCCATCTTCATGGCTTGGAATCATGGACGAATATCTATCTGGACTATCACGGAACAGGATTTTGATTTTCCATCATCCAAATGAGGATCTCTCATCGGAGCATCTTCATGGCTTGAAATAATGGACGAATATCTATCTGAACGACTGAAGATGCCGGTTCGACAGTGGTCTTGGAAGTTATGATGAAGAGATCGCTGTCGAACTACGGCACGGTACGGGTGCTGACACACGATAGTGCTCACACATCTGCAGCATGTGCTTCTCGTATGGTGTCCATCGAGACAGGCAAAGGCCTCTTTCCTGGGGTCATGGTGCCCGACGATGAACCTGATGCTTGCGTTGGGCTGCTTGACCGGTCCGGTCTATGGGTGTGTGATTGTGCCATGATGGCCTATGTACGGCAAGACAACCGCGGACGGCATACGAGAACCCTATCGATCTATCCTGTGCCATTTGCAAATACCGCTGATTCGATTCGATTCGATACCTCCTCCTCCCTTCTCTGATGGCTACATATCGCTTGTCTTCTTCCCAAATCCACAACGACCTTGGAGATAACACCAGACCCCAACCAAGAGAACCACGGCCGTCAAGCTCCCAAGCCCGAGCACGGTATCCAAGCATTTGGATTTCGTGGCCCCGCGGTAACCGACATCCAGGCCAGGGGCAACATACACGAGCATGATCCCCATGACGGGCTCGAGACTCATACCCTTCTCGAACCAATATCCTACACAGACACCTACACAATCATACACCTACAGACACAGACACCTATGGACATAGACACCTACACAACCACACACCCGCAAAACATAAAGACTCGGGGTTATTGCCTTTGAGAATCCGTGTACTGTTTCAGGTACTGAAAGGAGCGCGACGGTAGCGTTGGCGCACATCTACTTACCACTCGAGTGCGACGGCGAAAGTGACCGACCGATTCGACAACTCTCACTTGTCGATGCACGTTTCAGCCCAAGATCTGTGCTCAAAAGACCATGTCCGAAGTGGCTCTGGCCCTTTCGTTTTCGGACTCGAAAGCTGAGATGGCGTGGGCTGGGACGGGCTGGGCAGCATGTGAAAGCGGCGCCTGGGATTCCCATCTTGTGGCGATCGAGGTATGTATCCAAGACGTCTTGGGAGTTCGTATGGTCGCCCAAAAAGAGATGCTACCACAATCGACCGAGGGCATAGTCGAAGTCCAAGGCACCCCAGAGGGCATCGATGCGCGGGACAGTATCGAGATGTGAGCCCATCATGATCCTCTGGGAAGGGCTTTTGAGCTCTTCCCCGGCCTCACAACGAACATGTTTCCCATTTGGTCAACGCTTATCTTACAAACTATGGAGACGCCTGGGATTCGAGGCACGATCCACCGTGAGACGGACAGCAGAACAATCTCCGAGGACTTCGAATTCGTCGAGATCGATATCTCTGAGAAAGTCTGGCCAAGATCAAGTCCCCAACTCCAACACTGCCGACAAGATCATCCACGATGACTCGCGAGCCTACCCGGGTCAGTTTTCCGACGACGGGGATTTCTTCTTTAGGTTGACACAGAACTTCAAGGTTCGGATGGACGATACATGAGACGCTTTGAGGACATGATCGACCGCTTATCTGGGCCAATACAATATTTTGGAAGAAGCATAGTGAACCAGGGAGGTGAAAGGTTGAAACCCGTGTGAACCTGTGGAAATCGACCACCATCACTCCCGGCTTTGTGCTGCTCGTCGTCCTCTGATCCATCCCGACGTTCTATGCCCAGCGCATCCTCTCAAACCCCCTCTTCTTTTTACTCATCGGGAACCAGGAAGTTGTGAAGGTGGTTGCAGTCCAGTTCTCCAAGACGCTGACGGCGAGTTCCAAGCCTAGGTTTTCCGGTGCCAGCGGCCTGTCTGCCAGCTCTTGATTGTGTGTATGAGAAGCTCTTTGTGCTGCGCCGTGGGCTTTTCCCTCCCTCGTGGCCCCTGGATGACGCGGACGGTGTGCGGTAATTGTATCTGGCTTTCGGTACAAGAGACCTTGACGTTGAAGTTATCCCCTGGGGCTCACGATCCAATGTTACAGGCATCTTCAATACCTCGGACTTCCTCAGCTTCCTCTCACGGAGTGCTCCGGCTCCGGCTCCGGCATCGCCAGCTCCGGCGACTAGAAAGGGCGACCTCAAGACCACATGTGGGCACCAACGTGCTGCTCGTCGGCCTGAGCCTGCAGCTCGCCACGCGTTCACCGTCTTTTCCTGGTTTCGCGCTTCATCAGATGTCGCGCTCGCTTGACGTGGACAACGGGTCGACAAAAGCCGGTCTGGAGCATTCGCAGAGACGCATTAAACGCCCTGACTCTATCTCGCCCCCAGACTTTGGGCTAATATCTGCATTAACAGCCACCCGCCGCCATTCATTCCAACCTACCGCGCGTATGAAGACTCCATCGCAACCGATAGTCTTGTTGTCGCGAGAAGGAGAACGATATAAATACCAGTGAAGGCATCGCTGTAACTCGCGTTATGTGTGAGGTACTGACTGGGCACAAGTGGGCGACTTCCATCTCACCCACCTCTGGTTCCGACTCCTCTTCGACAGCGAATGCGAATACGGAGGCAGCGACTCCCCTTCTGGCAACTCGGGATTGTTCCAGCCAGCACAGACACGCTCTTTCGATCCCATCATGTGCTCTTCCACTACTTACAAGGCAATCCACTCATCAAATTTGATCTCGAAAGAAATGAAACGAAGAGAAAATCTCCCCGGGACCGACTTCAGATCAGATACAGCGTGTTTTAAACCCTCCCACTCTTCGTTGGGGGCCGAATCGATCGAGAAAATCGACCGCGTCTGTGCCGAGATCATCCGGCTGGAGAGGTCATTGACACCTTGCACATATCAGTCTTCGGTCTCCCAAATTGCTTGATGTCGACTCGGGCAAAATTCTGCATCTGATGAAAACTACTTGTCGACGAATGCATGGCATCCTTTTCTTTAGGCTATTGCATACAACGGCATGGGCTTCTGGCTATTGTGCTAACAATGTCGTGCCTGGCAGTCTGGTATGCCAAACGAAAGGCGAGATCAATCAATCTAAGGTATTGATAGTAGATCCTCGGGGATGCACTGTCAGAACTCACTACGACCATGAATCTCAGAGCACTTATCTCAGTGTTTTGGTTACCTCTTCAGGAACGGGCTATCGGCTTCGACTGAAGAAGAGAGAGCTTGGAGTGCGCTCCATCGACGGCGCCCTACCACCGTACCGATTGGTGAGGAGGCTGAGGAGGCTGAGATGCTTCTCGGTTGCCAGGCTGCTTCATGCAGAGGATATCGTCGCCGATGCTCAACTCCTGGTCTTCCTGGTATTCAAGGCTCGTACGTGGATTTGGACAGGAATTTGGACAGATCAAAATGAGCTCTTGATGCTATTTCTACAGAATTTTTCGACATCCCATCGTCGTGCTCTTGGCAAGCGCAGTGCCATTGGGTGGGAATGGGCATGCAGTTACGCTCAGGGTAGGACTGCTGGTGTAAGAAGTGGACAACGCCGCAGACGGCCTTGCTGTGCGCCCATACAACCAGTTCGCCATTTTCGGCGCAGTGCTGGGCAACAACGACGGCAAGAACTTGCTCAAGGGCTCTCAGAAACAGTCGCGAACAAGTTCTCCCCATTCTGCGACCTTGAGAACTCAACCACATATGGTGACTCCGGCTGAGGACCCCTCCCAGGGAGCTTTATACCAAGCTTGCACTTACTCAAGAGTTGCGGTCGAGATTGTGGCCTCGTCCACCGCCCTGGGGGAAGAATGGAGAAGAAAAAAGCTCATGAGGATTCATACCCTCATACCCGCTTTGGTCCTCTTTTCCGCTAAGATTGCCTGTCTCTCTCCCTCTTTCTCTCTCTCACACACATACCCACACACTGTGCTGGGAGCACACGTCATAAGTTCCAGGAGAAGAACCCTAATTGGTCATGAGACGCACGGCTGCGAAGCTGAGGCATCTCGCCCGGGGAGTCTCGACTTTCTCGCCAAGCGGCCGCTCCGGGTCCTTGGAACAAAGAAGTGACGAGAACGAACACATTCACCAGGAGCGGAACAAGAAGCAAAAGGGCGAAATCGCAGCAGAGAATGCAGGATTTGATGCAGTTGGCCAGCGTGCTTTGGCGGTAACAGCGTGAGCTGGCAGTGACAGTGTACGTCCATGGGTACCCGATCCTCAAATTCTGGAATCGTTTTTGATTCAGAACGAGACCATCACTTTCGTTGCACCACATTCTCTGTCTAAATCCCTGGATTTCCTCGCTGTGTGCAGATATATCTCTCTGGTCCGAGTCTCCGCAGCACCGCCAAATCGTCTGTCCTCCTCGATACCACCTCCAAATTCCACCTGTCACTCCTCTTCTTTCCGAAACAACGTCCCTAGATCAGCTCGATTCCTCTTCGTCTCTTTGCGCACACCTACATCAAAATGGCGTCCCCTCAGCAACCCCGAACCACCACTACCACGGATCTCCTCAAGGTCAAGCATCCAGTCCTGTGCTGGCTGGTATGAATGTGGCAGCTGGACCCCTAAATTGGCAGCCGCATTTACCAACGCTGGAGGACTTGGTGTTATCCGTGGGGTGAAAAAGACCATAAGAACCTCAAGACTATAGTTGGCCAGTAAGCTGCTTGAACTGTGGCAGTCAGTCTTCTGGGTTTGACGCTGACCCTTTGTCACCTATGTTCGCAGATCTTCATCGATGGATGCCAATGATCCATCCAAGCTCTTCGGACCGTTCTTCAACTGATCCACGGCCTTCGGACGCTGGGGGCTAAAGGAGGGAGAATGCGTGTGCCTGCATGCCTCTAACAACGTGAGCCTTTGTCCCGTTACCGGCTACTGTCTCTTCAGACTGTTCTGCCCCGGCATTGACGGTCATTTTCCATGTCTAGCAGCCACAAGATGCCATCGACCGTGCTCGCCGCCGGCTACTGAAGGAAATCCATTCTGTAGGGGCCATATTCGCAGTTTGCAAGCGCTCCTGGCATTCGTCAGTCGTCAGTCGTCAGTCTGTCGCCAACTTCATTGAGCGGCGGAATGGCTTTCCTTCGGACAAGGACGACATATACCTCTCTGCAATCCGACCATTGCATTGACAAACGGATGCATCTCTTCCGCTGAGCATCCAGGATCAAATGTTACGAGATTCGCTTTCGATTTCAGTTCGCTCTGGGAGTGGTTGCCACCACCACTTGACCATCGGGGACGAGAGGACATGGAAGCGTGGCTCAATGTCACTCTGCACGGAGGACGGAAAAAGGGGAGAAATATCGATCGCATGAATTGTCGATGCTATCCTGTCTCTCTCCTGTCTGTCTCGACCTCTCGGGCTCGTCTCTGCCAGCGAGGACCTGCCGACTCCCACGGGACACACCCATCCGATGGTACTCGGGTCTATCTTGACGAGCGTGGTATCGGGATCGTCTCTCGTCCGTGTTGTGGTTGCGTCTCCATCCACAGCACCACAGCACATTTCAAACACGAGGACACCGATTACGGACGATGAAGGAATCATTATGATACCGACGACTCGGATCCGCTCCTTTCCTTTGCGGGTCTCGCCGCGCACGAACGGCAAAGGCGGCTTCGAGATCCATGTTGGCAAACGAACGAGCCAGCAATAGCGAAAGCAGCGCCAGCGACAGCGCCAACGACAGCAATACTCGACATTCACAGCGGAAGAGACAGCACCGGCAAAATCAGCACCAGGGACAGCACCAGGGACAGCAATAGCGAGCGTGGTTATCGCAACTTTGAGACCGACGATCCCAGCCCAGAGGATCTTCTACCTGTCGATGACGCGGCTTGAACATGCGCGTCAGCATCAAGCACAACGACGCTGGTTCAGCGTTACGATTGAATTCTTTGTGCCATGATGATGGCCACCAACTCCGGTCGAGAAGTCGTTGCAGCCGCCGTGCACGACGACGATAGTATCGAGCCCGACTCTTCGGTGGTTTCCTCCTCCTCCTCCTCCTCCTCGGAAGAGGGCGTCGCGCGCGCGGTCGCACGGCCTCACGCATGTCCGCTGCGGTCACGCCAGAGAAGCGCGCCCCTGGAGGGTCAGAAATAGTTATTTGATCCTTCTTTTCCCCTAGAGCTGACCTTGACAAGCGAGGGCCACACAACACCCACCCACGCCCACGTTTGTGCGCCTCGCCGCGCTCGTCGCTCGCGGCATGAAATTGCACCGGAGCTACGGAAAAGAAGTTGTTCAAGCGTGAACAGGCTTCCCTATCCCTGCATTGCATTGCTTGCGTGCATTGAAATGAAACTTACTGAAGCAGCCAAGAAAGAACTACGAGGCGATCAATCTTCTCCAGCAAGCGCGGGCTGTTCTGAGGGGAACGGTCTCTCTACTGAGAGACAACAATCTAATTACCACCCAAACATCTTCACACCGCGGGCGGGCGACCAAGGCAGTCAGTCGCAGGAAAAGCATTTTCCATATACCTAGCGGTGACGGCAAAATCCCTCGAGATCTTCGAAGGGGTCACATTTCGCCCTCCAAAGAAGGCATTTTTAGCTTTCATCCCACCACCAACACAGATCATACGAAGGCCGGACCATCGTGAGGAGATAGGGACTGATACAGCTCCGGCCGAGGCTGATCAAAGGGGTGAGCTCGGCAAGATTACCCAGCTTGCAGCGCAGCTGGTGCCTGGCAAATCAAGTCCTTGGCTTGCAGAGCAATCGCGCGGCGCTGCTTGTAGGCTAGTGGAAGGAAGCCCAACCATCAGCTCACCCAATTCTGAAAATCGCTCCCTTATGTCCAAAAACACTCCCTGACGGTTCGGTCCGCAAGGGGGGACACGTTACATATCAAGCCCCAGCCTCGCCATGAAGAACGGGGACTTGGGATTGAGAACAAGAGTCCTGTCTCGTTCTAGAGGCAGTCTCGAATGCTAAGACTCCATTTGAGAGAGACCCTCGTCCCGTCCGGATGAATGACTTTGCAATGGCCTTGATCTCTTTAGTGTCCGTGTCGCGAATTGGCCCCAACGGTGGGTGTCATCGTGTTCATGAGGGCTATCCATCGCTACCTCTTGACTGACAAGACCAGCCACTGCGGTTTGAACCACACAAAACCCCTAATTGTGCGGGATCAGGCTGGATGATATCTTAGGGGATGCATGAATGATGAATAGGAGAAGGTCCCAGTGCCACCATACCCATGGGAATACTCTGGCGAGAGGCACCGACATTGGTCTACGTTTGACAGGGCAGTGGAGCTTCTCACCCCCAGGACGATCACAACGCTTCAAGCCTCGGCCTCGCAGCCATGCGTCTTTTGACCGACCAGGCCTCTCTTTCTGGAGCTTCTGACGTGTGCCCCCAGCACAGTGTGTGTGAGACAGAGAGAGATAGAGAGATAGGGAGAGAGACGGAGAGGGAGACAGAGAGAGGGAGAATATTGACGGAAAAGAGGACCAAAGAGCCAAAGGGAACAGCTGCAAGCAGGGTCAGCATCCTTTAGCGAGTACTCGAAGCATGCTACTGCGATACTATTTTGTCCTTTCAGCTATTATACGTATTTCCCGATTGGAAGGCTGAACGGTTCGTCTCTCCATGCCAGAAACGAGACTATTTCCACCACGATAGTTGGCTGCTCAATCACGCGGTTTCGGAAGACACCCCCCCTCAGGTAACGACGCTTGGACTTGGCTCAACTGCGGCCGAGCTTCAGCCTCGGCGTGCGCAGCGCAGTCTCCTCAGTCCGCACAGGCTGCCCGCTCACCCTCCCTCTTCATCCTTCATTATCAGCCGTGCGCAGTCCCGTTTCCGAGCCCATCCAACCCTGCAAGTACGAGGCGAGGTGCCCGTGTCTGACTTCGAGAGCGCCATCAACCTGGCCAAGACCCCAAGACCTTCACTGATGTCGTCCTCGGAACCCTCGGTGACGTCCGCCCAGACTCATTCCGGCCAGAAGGCGATAACGGCCTCGTCTTCACCCGCGGTGTCGCTGCGGTCGCCCGCTGTCATCCTCCCTATACGAGGTGCTCGACATGTTATTCAGGATGGCAAGAGAAGGGTCGCAACAAAGAATCACACAGGCTGCGTGAAGGTGAATGCGAGCCCACAACTGTCTCGACGCCGTCAAGTCGGAGATGGAGGTTTCAGCAAGAGAAATACATGCTGAGCGGTCTCCTCAGGAGTTTAGTGTCTACTCTGCTCTACTTCACTCAGCCGGGCGCAAACTTTCCACCTGATCTTACGTCTTTCACGCTGACTGAATCGCAGATACCATAACATCCGCGTCCTGCTTGGTCAGGGGTCAGGTCCTCGGGTCGGGTCATCGAACTCGAGGGCAGTTCAATTCAGAGCAGAGCCAGCCTTTGCAGCAAAAGACGGCAGTGCGGCATTGCGGACAAGCGGACTTGAACCTCTCTTCATCAGCAAATGTACAGACCTAATGAGCTGCGACACCATAGCTCGGACGAATATATCGCAATGCCTTGTCCCTAGTACCTCCCATGACCACGACACCGTGTCTGGTCGCGACAGCTTCGCTTCGGAACAAGCCCCGAGTGTCACCATGCCGCCAGACGCCTTCCCTTCCCTTCCCGACCATCAACTTGGAAATCTGTGTCCAAGACTACCCGCACACGTCGTTCTGGATTGACAAGATATGCATCGATCAAGATGTAACTGACAAGCTTCTGGTCTTACGCTCTACAACTCAATGTTAGCCGCTACAAGTCTTGACAGAAACTCGTCGCAATAACTCCTCCAGAGATGAAAGAGACGTGTAAGAAGGGGAGAAGGGGAGAAGGGGAGAAGGGGAGAAGGATTCACCAAGTCCCGGCCAGGCCCAGATCATTCATTCCCCATCCAACCTCCGTGGCTAGGTCTTACATCGACCGAGCAAAATCAGAAGAGTTATTTCGAAGAGAACGCTGGACATATTCGGGCCCAGCGACTTCGATTCGGATCTGGAAGCCTTGGTCGTGAAAGATCTTGTGGGCTTCAGCTACGCTATTCTTCTCTTGGGCACTCGACATCGCTTCGGGCGGATTTGGTCAGATCTACGGTTCGCGGAGATTGATGAAAAGGTGTTATGAACACGTCTGTGGGGAAGAGAATAACGATACAAGACCGAGGTCGTCCGGGCAAGCCGTGACTGATCAAACAGAGGCTGAATGCCCTATCGACGCTGGGATACTGACCTCTGGCTGCCCTGGCGTCACTCCAATGCCGGCCTGCAAGCATGGCTGCGCTCGGTTTGGGGGAAAAGTGAACAAGGCTAACTGTTGGAGTAGAGCGAGGACTGTGTGGTTCGAGGTAGCACTCACCTCCATCGACCTCCCTCTACGCCACTACAGCGGTAAGAGGGTGATACAAGGCGAGCTGAAGCGGTGGTCTGGCTGCTCGCTTCCCTTCTGCTTGTGAAATGAGAGAAGCCTGCCGTCAAGATTTCTTGTTAGTAAGCCAAGGGGATTCGGTACAGCACTCTCTCAGTCTCTTTCAATCGGATCACAAGCGCCTCGATATAGCCCTTTGCAGGCCCTCCCTCTGTTGTCCGAGAGAAGTCAGCAGGGTCATGACCCGGCGGCCTCCCAGCAGCAACCACGAAACCGTCTTCGAGTTGACATTGCTCCGTAGCTTTCTCGACAGCGAGCAAGTTCGCTAAGGCCACGCTGAGGCTCCAAAAGCTGGCAGGCCACGATAATGTCGGCCGATCCATTGGTTTCGCCTTTCGCTGGTTTCGCCTTTCGCAACCTCTCGGCCTTTGGCTACACCAAGGGCAGTGACTTTCAGAAGTCGACCGCTCCCCAGGCCCTGATGGATATGTTGCGAGGTCGAGGTCTCTTGGGCAACAAAGGTCGAGGCAATGGTTGGACGGAAACATCGTGCTTTCTAGGCACTGTATTAAACTCATTGAGCAACTATGCCAACGCCATAGGGTCGGGGCCTCCGCTGACGCATACACTTAGATCTATCAGCAGATTCCCGTCCAAATGATGGTAGAGCAAACCTACTGGGATCCGTCTCCTCTGGTCGCGTTCCAATCCTTGCTGTCCCCAGATTTCCAAGAGAGAACTCAGAAAGGTTCCGACGGTTAGACATGGCGCCGCGTTGACGGTCCGATTTACTATAATGCGAGCCATGCCAGAAGAAATCAATCCCGTCTCGATATTCTACGGACTTTCGAAGACGCGATGCAGCCGGGCGAAATGCTCGTCGTTCGTGGACCCCCTGGCCCCGGTTGTTCTACCTTTCTCAAGACCATTACCGGCGAGACGTACGGCTTCAATCTCGGTGAAGATTCTTACATCAACGACCAAGGCATAAGCTACAAACAGACGCATAACGATTTCCGGGGTGAGGCGATCTATACCGCAGAACATCGACGACGAACCGAGGGTTTTTCATACCCGTCGAAGAGGCGACTTCCATCCTTGATCTCATCGATCTCATCGAAAATGATTCTAAGCAACAATCATTGACACCGAGCATGTCCTTTCCAGGAGCAATTTCTTCCCTCCCCTCCGATTCTGCCTTGCACCTTGGATCGATGTGTCCATCACAGTACACCGACGTGGTTATGGGGTCGAAAACCAGCCTCTGCGCCTTCTTGACCGACACGTCGAGGGCGATCGAGTATAAGGCTCTCCTCACAATCTCGATCGGATAACGTGGTCACCTTCTCGGACAAGGCGTAGTTCGCGTGCCCGCCGCACTGCTCGTTGCACAACCCGTCCATCTTCACGCTCTACCGTGCGCGACGATGGTCACATTCACGATCGTCTACTCGTCGGTGTCCCAGTGAGGATGACGGTCAGAAACATCTACCTGTTGAAAACGACAACACGGGCAGAAGGATATACAAGTACGCGGTCGGAACGTGAACAACTACCAACGAGTTTGTCTGCAATTGAAATAGTGTCAACCTTTGCGGGAGTGCTGCAGGCGATACCGAAGCCCAGCCGCCTGAATCCCGAACCGGAGTGGCCAGCCCCTGCATAGTTCGACACAGCTACGCCGACAAGGCTAGACAAGACCGCTGTCCCGAGATTCTGAGATATGCCCTACAATATGAATACGGCAGGTCCCAGGTCCGTGACCAAAGCAATATTGGTGGCGATATTTGAAGATATTGGCCCTGGGGGGATCATCTTGCCGTCCGAAAATTTGGCAAACACTACAAGCTGCTGCTGATATATCACCAGGGTGAACCCTCATCTTTTGGACGACATGAAAGAGAGTCCAAGCATCGCCGTCTTAGCTCTCTTTGTGACAAATTGGGAGATACTGCTTTATCACGTACAACGAGAAGCCGTCTAGTGTTTCCTAAACATCTGTCCCTCTTTCTCCTCCAAAGGTTCCACGCCTCGCTATAGACAGGCCACCATCGCCTCCTTTCGCTCGCTTCTCTTCTCCTCTCGCTTGCTTCTCTTCTTCTTCTCTCTTCTCCTCTCACCCACTTCTCTTCTCCTCCTTTCTCAGACACTCGAACAGACGACATCCACCCAGATTAGCCACGAAAAATAAAGGTCGGGATATACCGTTCTAAAACGGACCCTCTTCGAATGTCTGCACAAGGCTAAACCACAAGTTCATTCACCTGTGCCGGGCTAGAGAGCTGACCTTCACCAAGATGTGCCGCTTCCCTATCATCCCCACGATGACCTCGGAACTCATGGTCAGAGACGTATGGTCAAACCTAGACAAGAAAATCAAATACAAGATGCCTATCAGCACGACCGCCGGCCCCACATTGCCAAGTTTGATCAAATGCACGCACGGGGCTCTGCGCACGGGCCACAACGTTCAGCTCCGACAGTTAAAGGCCCGTGCGCAGCCTCCTAGTTTGATCCCCCACATGGGCTTTGGCTGGTCAGTCGAAGAACGAGACCCATGGATTGTGCCTACCTTCTTCTTTGGGGTGACAGAAAGGCGCCCGCCTGTGCATAGACCAGACCTGCCTTTGATGGTGGAGTCTCCCAGCGGGTCCAAAAAACATGCGTTTGTGTTTGGACGTTGTCATTGGCGAGAACCGAAGCAGCAGCAGCAGCAGCGGCACCGTCGCCAACGCCATTACCAATGCGGCCGTTGCCTCTGTTCCATCTAGGGAGGACGCGGTGCACGTTAGGGGGCGGCCTTTGCAAGGGCAGAAGACGCCGCGAAACACTCGGCCTCGAATGGCGGATCGCTGCTGGCGCTGATTGAGGGCCTCGCCGGCGCAGACCTCGACAACGAACCTCCAGGCGATCAGGTCAAGGTTGACCTTTGCTAGAAGGTCAACAATGTCAGAAAGGAGGAAAATATTCAACAAAGCTGAAAGGGGTATATTAACGAAGCCGAAAGGGGTAACAAAGCCGAATGGAGTAATAATGCCGAAAGGAGTAATAAAGCCGAAAGGAGTTTAGTCAATGGCTCTGGCAAAACACCTAGACGGTACGAGAAATTGCGATTACGCACGCAATGACTAGGACGCGGCCATCATCATTGGACTCAACGGCGCCAGGATCCTGTCGAGATAGGGCCTCGATTCCGTGAGGGCCGGCAGCCAGGATTACAGCCTGACAAACACTAGGATTCTGTAAAGATGCGGAGGTCTTTGTGAGCGCAGATACCTTGTGATCTTGCGACCTTCAACGGACTAAACGGGCACGAGTGTTGACGCCACTCCATGCCAATGAATTGCCAGCTGCTGCGGAAATGGCCTGTAGGAGGCATTTCATTCAAATCACCACCCATCGGATGACTCGCTTGTCGACAAGGTCGACGGTTCCGTTCAACGTGAGTCTACTCAGCTTGGACAACGTCGACATGATTCACTACTCCTGGCACGGGGTTTCTTCTTCGTTGTAGGGCCGGCAGGGAATACCTTCTGGCACGGCTATGGTTCCTTCCCTTGGTCAGCTGTGACACCATCGCGGGCAGCTGATGCTTTTTTTAAAGTTGATGAGGCCAGTTATCTGAGCGTGGGCGTGGTATGGTCAAACCTGGAATGCTCTTATCTATCAAAACGGCGTCGTTTAACGGAGTGGCGTGGGTCTCACAAAACGCAGCGAGCCCGAGCCCGGGCATCGCTTGCCTTTTGACGGCAACAAGATTACCCCAGGATCAGGAATAGGAGGAACAAGGAATGACAGCTGTCAACTTCTGAAAGAACACGACGAGCGCTGAGGGGAGGCTATAGGGCAGAAAACCTGGTTACTCTGCTGGATGGAGTCTGCAACGCATCCATCCAGGGTGGTGATGAGCAAAGATATCTGTGTACCGAGCAATCACGGAAGGGACAGAAGGCAGAGAGTGTTTTGGCTGTTACGCTCCCATGTCCCCGGGAAATGGACTCCTTGGCCTGGCATCTGGCATCTTTGTTTCGGATTATCCCTTCGCCCGTCTCCGGGGTGAATTCATCGCTTTCACCACCAGGGAAACTGGTCATGAGCTCAAGGCCTTGGTGCGGTGCGATACTGGCGGAAAGATTCCTGAGTGAAATCACTCGAAGTCAGGTTTGATTCTGCAAGCCACATATGAGCGAGCTGTCAAGCAAAGCTGAGAAAAACTCCTCGGTGATCCCAGGACAATCGATTTCGGCTATATTTCATGGCGCACGCCACAGCATTATCGTTGGCCATGATACATCAGATTCAACGATCCCAAATGGCACAGTCTGACCGCGCACCCAGAGACAGCGACAGAGACCTCCTCACTTCAGCTTCATCGACTCCGAAATATGCCTTACTGCCGACATATATAATCACACGGCACCCTGGACGTTCTCATGCAACTCTGCCGGTACGAATATACTTCTACTCGAGCTATGGCTCCATCAAATGATAAACACTTGTGCAATGGGGTTCACGTCAACCACCGTCAACAGCAATACCTTCCCAGCGCCAAACACAAACATTCTCAGCGGGTCGGAAAACATGCAGACATTGTTGAGAGCCTGGGTACCACCATAGTCCACGATAAGGGGACCTATCCTTCCCAGAACGAGGCGAGCTTCGCCGCACGGCTTGCCAAACCAGACATGGCAAGGTGGTCTTGTAATCGCGCTGTTACAACCAGCCAAGACACAAGTCTACACTCCAGACTTTCAGTGGGTCAAAGACGAATGTTCTATGCTGGCTTATCTGGAGGAAGTCTATAGCCCTTTGTGAGCGAACCATTCGGGAGGTCTCGCGAGACCACGAGTGTATTCGATTCGATGGCTTTTCCATTGACCACCATCCAGCCAATATCTTCGGAAAGACTGTCAAAAGAAAGCAACGGATTGCCTACGAGACACTCCTTACCATGCTGGAGGCCAAACAGGCCAGTACTCGGTACTTTATATCAGTCAACTTTCTCGCTCGCTGCTCCGAGTGTCCACGAAACCCGACCACGAGACTATATATGAGTTGAGCTCGAGTCAACGGAATCATGATCCCATGGGCCGCCTTCCCTTCCGCAAGAGATAAGTAAGTGTCCATATCTTCTATTCAGCCCTCTCTCATATGTGACTGATTGTCGGCCGGCACTTAGTGGATGGACAACTATAATCCATTATTACCGCCGCTTGCTTGACTCTTTGGACGAGCCCCTGTTATCCGAGCTATCGACCAACACCTTCACCAGTGACGGTATTACAGAGATCATCTCGATCACTCACCTCTAGCGTTACAAGCAAGAGCTTATGAAACCCTCTCTGGCAGACCACTGATACCCTCGAGCTCGAGCCTTTGAAAAGAAAGAGTCGCCCGATGATCTGTTACAGACCGTCATCTACTATCCTTGCCGATTATGGATGGTCCTCGAAGCAGTACCCGATCTCGATCTCGACGATGATGATGCCCTTTCTCGACGTTACTCACTTGACTCAAATACTCTCGAGCGAGCAGGCGAGATACTCGCGAGGTACTTACTAGTGGAGCATCATCTCGGACCACGGCGGAAACTTGAGAATGAATGCGACTGCGATCCTGGTCAGAGAGGCAGGGAGGGCTCACTGCGTGATCGATCCCCTCGAAACGGAGAAATTTGACAAGGAGAGGAGGGCCAGCTACTACTTACTCCTCTCCTTCTCTGGAGACTATCCCTCTCTGGAGACTCTCCTTCTCTGGAAAAGGGACTTGGTGCGGCCAACCAGGTAGAGAGACATTGCCACTCTCTAATGGGCCTGTTTGTCCGTTCGTCGTGAATGGATTCCACCCCAGCTACACACACGACCAACTTCTGTCCAAAGGAAAGCTGCTTCCGGAGACTTAATTGCCATGGAGTTGTGCAAGTCTCAGGGGCGTGATCATCATCTTCTCGACTACGAAGACCGATGTCCGGATATGCCATTTTCCCCATTGTTACACAGACGGGTCGGTCAACGACAGGCTGACCTCTTCCTCTCTCGCCGCCAGCCACGGTCTCGCGGATCTAGGCTATAGGACAGCGTCCGGAGAGCCTCACATTTCACGCTTCCCGTCGAGAGGCCCTGTTGAAGGTGGATAGTGAGTGTTATCATTGCCCCCGGTCGTTGTCGCCTATTCTTGATTTCCAACTACCCGACTTGTTTGCCTCAACTTCTTCCCTCATTGCATCTGATCCCTTCTTGTTCAATGAGCGAGATTCCACGAAGCAAGTAAGGGCAAGCGAGGATGAGATCATCACCGCTGTCAAGGCCCTGGTCGATGGGGAGGAGACTTGGGAAGACGTTCATTGCATTTGTCACGCAGAAGCCTCGAGGCTGACAGACCAGACTACGAGTATTCTATCGATGAACGCGTGCGGTTCGGCCCCGATCGGGATCAGGGCACCTACCCTACGGCCTACCTACCAGCCTCGCATCTGTACGGTCGATGGCCGAGCGACATTCTTCGAGCTTGATCGCCAGAATATGCGGATAGAGACAGAAAGAGACAGAAAGAGACAGAGAGACAGAAAGAGACAGAGAGACAGAAAGAGACAGAGAGGGAGAGACTCGTACGTCCCGGTGACTTCCAGCAACCTCTCGCCATAGTCACCTCACGTTCAATCCTCCCGATCCGAGAATTCATCAGACCACCACCGTCGAATTGACTTCAGGTGTCCCACCGACATGAACGATGCACACACGACACGAAAGCGGTCAGAGACTGCGGCTGTAAGAGGGGGGTATTCTGTGAAAAGGTCGAGACAATGGCAGACTATATCATTACCGGCCGGCGCTGCCGGAACATCGACGGCGGCAGCTTGAAGAGAAGAGTCGGCGCCGGCCGTGGCTGACTAGACGGCAGCTTCGTCGATCGACGGATGGGACATGAAGAAGCGTCAGAAGCTCTACGATCAGAGACGTCGGGCACGAGATCGGGCCGTCTAGGAGCACTAATCCTCCTCACTATCAGAGATATAGATATCGGAGGACTTCCTATACGAATCGGACTTTATACACACTACGAAGCTGATGCCCGAGCGCGACCAGCTGGCCGAGAACCTGTTTGAAGAAGGGAGTCTCGTCTCCGTGACGAGGTTGGCATGATGATCATGGACGACTTGGTCCGACGAGCGACATTGCAGGACGGCCTTGGTCGTCGTTCAGCTTGAGCCACATGAGCAGCTGAACGGAGCCACGTATTGTAGACCAGACACGCATCTCCTTCTCCACCATTCTCTGGGGTAAGGGACACCAGCTGGAAGAGATATATCGCCACATCGAAATTGCCATCGGCCTATGTATGGGCAGCGCTCGGGTGCCCTCGTGCCAATTCCTGTCTGCCTCTGTCCGATGTGCCGTCAACATCCTCTCGGACTTGTCCAGCGCGGCTCATTCAAGGGAAGACGTCAAAGACGCACTACCAAGGGCTCAATAGCTCTTTTGACGAATGCGACGGTTACTATCAACCACGCAGGAGGTACGTGGCCGGTTGACCGACATCATATCCAGCCCTGCTATCTTTGAGGACAACAGGCACGACTCGGCAGCATGGTGGACGCATATCTACCGCTGTCGAATGGCCACCGCCCCCAACAATGGCCGTTTTCACGAATTCTATTTCGTACATTTTCAATGGCCTGACACCCAGGGGTCCTGGAGACGGTACGCCGCTGAACACCTACGACCTAATGGAGGGTTGGGCCCGCTGCCGCTAAAGTGTCACATCGCTCATTTTCGCCATCGGCACAACCTCTTTCGGCCTACGAGCGACCGGAGCACCTGTTGCGGGACGTCAGAGACATGTTTGGCAAGAAAGGCGGCGCGGGGGATGTGGTCAAAGGGAAGAGCCGTTATTGACGAGCTTTCTTTACCGGAGAAATCACTAAAAGGGAGGTTGAAGGGATGTCTACTGCATTCCCTTGTGCCAGGCTTCTGTCTTGAATGTCTCGGTGACGAAAAGGTGCTGACCCAGAAGATCGATTTCGCCAGTACACGAACGTAACCGAATGGAAAAAGGCATGTCCTTTACCACCTGGGCCTTCGCGACCACGATCGGTGGCATTCCCGCCATCCGCGCTGCCAGACGATCGATCCATTCCTTCGTCGCGTTGGTGGCTTTGTTTTGTAACCGCTCCAGACTGCGGTGGCTTCGCGGTGTATCGTTTCCTAAGGCCCAGGCCCAATGCAAGCTCTCCCCAGCTGGAATAATGGTGTCCCGATCAACGCAACGCCGGCATTCATATTTGCTGCACCTTTATTGAAGCCTTCACTCCCGGAAACGAAACTTCTTATTTCATTTCCCAAGGGACTTCCTAGCGTTGCGTTCGCATCTGGACTTGACGACTTTACCATCTCGATTTCCGGTGAGTCGAGGCTCTTCGAGATTATCTACCTAATACGGTAAATACCGCACGAGTGCTGGCATCATCGGCCGCGATCCCGCTACGGCCAGTCATTATACTTGCAGCATCGGACATTACAGATCCGTATTATCTACCGTTGTCATTATGAAGGTGTGTTACTGTTTTGAGCTTTGGAATGAAGCCTACAGACAGCAGGGACGATTCGGGCGAAGTTACATTTATGTGCCCGGATGGAGCCGATCGTTGGTTGATCTCCTAGCCCGTGTTGAGTAGCTCTGCGGAAGGAACTTGGGGGGACTGGAAGTGGAAGTTCGATCGACTCGACAGACAACGTGGATCAACAACTCTTCCACCATTTCGCTGACATTCAGAAGATACCGTTCAGTGTCGCCGAGAGAGGGCAGGTGGCACGATACCAAACCTCGAGATAACGTCGAGAGAACCGCGTGCGAAGACACCAGCACCGCGGCACTTGGGGTTGCCCGGGCTCAGGCTGTCGTCCAGCCCCGCGAGCAGGGACGTGGCGCAGCCCTGGTCGACGCTCTTGAACCTGGACTTGAATTTCTCAACGATGGCCGCGAGCGTCTCGGGCTCGTAGTGGCCTGGGCTGAGTTCGGTCATGATGGCGCCCGGGTGCAGGGCGAAGCTCAGAATGCCTTGTTTCCTCGTACAGTCGCGCGGTGAGGCCGAGGGCGAACAGCACGTCGGCAGACTTGGATTGGCCGTACGCCACCCACGGTGAAGTTGGAGGTCTCGCTGGGATCGACGAGTCGGCCGGTCGCGGTCAACGCCGCATTGTCGGGCTGCTCGGCCTCGAGCAGGCCCAGCCCCGTCAGAATTCCGTCCCCCCTGGGTGCCTGGTATGTTGCGAAGGATAGGACACAGCTCCGGCCAAGGGAGGGAGGTGGCTTCGTCAATCACATGTCACGCTCTATGAAACGACGGCAGCTTGGGGGTCATAATACCCGAAAACCTCATGCTATATTCAAGGCCCAGGATCGCGAAAGTGAACCGAACCCCCAAAAATCACCCGAGTGGAAGCACTTGACGGCCATGATCAAACATCATCACCATGGGCGACGAATCTTTTGAGATGGGAACAGCTGTGTCTGCCACTGGCACTGCCGGTCGACGGGTGTTTCATGTGACTGGACAACTGGATTCGAGGAGAACAAAGACTTTTGATCCTATGGATTTATTTCGGATTCTAATACAGTGCAACGTAAGCGCTCGCTTGCATGGAGATTATGATGTGGCAGAGGAACGACGGAGATGAGGTGGGTACGGTACGCCTACGGCGGGATACGAAGGGATCACCGTTTCGGATGATCGTGCTCTTCAGCAGGCGGCGCGGCCGGCCATGGCGAGCCTACAGTACTATTCTACTGAAGGCGCACGTCCGATCAACGAACCTCAGATGTCACTCTCCAAGGAGGAATACCTCCAGAGAAGAGAGTGAAGGATTTCATCGGTGACGAGACCCCCCACCGAGATTATTGACATCTCCAAATGGTTCAATCTACGGGATTTGTTACAGTCAAATACTCCAGGGGAAACGTGTGAGTCCAGCTTCAAAAAGAGCTGATTCCCCCTGGATCTCGATAACTGTTGATTGACAATTTCACAAACAGGTTCTGTCTCGGAGACGCAGTCCACCGTCACCCTCCAAAGACGAGCCTCCAAAGACGAGCCTCCAAAGACGAGCTTCCAAAAACGACCCAAGATCGTAGGGGTTGACCTTCCCCCAAGACTCCTCCACCACGAGCACACCATCACTATCACATGCGTTCGCACTGAGAGAGATGTCCTCCTAGAAGCTGAAAGGGGTCTTGAACTGAGAAGGCAGCCTGGTGTCTGTCGGTTAAGAGTGCCATGGGATTCTCGGACATCTGAGATACACGCGCGCAATAGATGCCAAGGGGATAAAAAAAGAGCATAAGATGCTCGAGCATTGGAAGAGCTGGAAAGATGAAAAAGTGACAGACGGCTCGTCCGAGAAAACAAGTTCCACGAGACCGGTATTCGACCGCCAGCGAGAGAGGTCGAGAGGCAAGCCAACACAACATAACCATTGAGGTTCCCCCTTTACCGGCAGATTGGTGGACGGGAGAGGAGAAGGACACTTGTTCTCCTGTCACGGACGATGCCGCCTATTTCGACCCCAGCCGTCAACAACGGAAAGGCCACTAAGTCACAGGGTCATCCGCCCAGCAAGCGACCCAGAGGGAGACCTAGAGGGAGATCCAGAGGGAGTCCCAGAGGGAGGTTCAGAGGGAGACCTAGAGACCTAGAGAGAGACCCAGAGGAACACCTAGAGGGAGATTCAGAGGGACACCCAGAGAGAGACTACAGCACCCCGACAGTCTCTCCCTCCGTCGGCTACCATCACTCAAGTCCGACATGGTCCTATGAACCTGCGAGTATCGACCCTCTACGAACGCGCCCACGGGACGACTCTACAAGTGTCACGGATGAGCTGACCCCGGGGGATTCGCAAACGGAAGATTTCCAGTAACGATTGCTATCTTCGGACGAGATGCGTCGGAGTCCGTTCCACTGTCTACCCATGATGACTCTTCGCCCACCTGTTCCTCACAGCCTCCACAAGAAGCTTCGCTTCTCACACACACACACACACACACACAAGTCCAACAATCTTTCCTCCGCTTCTGTCGATTGTCGACCACACCGACGTTCATGTTCCGGCCGAGCATGAGCGAGAGTAACGGTCACCCCCCCAGCTGGGACCCCATGTCTTGGAGTCGCGGGCCGCGCGCCTCAGGCACTCGATCCCTCCTCATTCACGCAGATTCCCTCCTGATTCATGCAGGTTCCCTCCTCATTCATGCAGCTTGCCGCTCTGCCGAGTTCCTCGAATCGAGTAAACACGTCGTCCCAAGTCTCCTCCAACTCGGCTACAAGACCGCATTGTCTGCCATTCTTTGGATTTTCAAAGCGGACATATTTATTCAGCCCAGGAAAAGAAATCTTCACCTCCGAATCGTTGAAAATGTGTTCCTTATGCCAATACCGGTAAGCCACACCCAGGACCGCCCCCAGTTTTGAACCCTTAACCCGCATTTTGACGTATCGCACCTGACCCGGCGCCGTACCGGCGAACTCACTCCACTCGTCGTACACCCGCCTACCGATGAACTCGAGCTCCCCGCGTCCGAATCCCAGAAGCACATTCAGGAAAAACACCGTCGACGACAATTCTGGCTTCAACTCTCCGAGACCGCCCAGTCGCTCCAGTTCCAAGTCGCCGAGTCTGCCGACCAGCTCCCTCAGGCCCGGGTATTCGTTGTCCAACTTCTTCTTATTGAGCAAGAGCGACACCATAAACGCCAATTCCAAACCGCTCATCGGGCACCATGGGAACTCGGACGGGTCCTTTGGATCCTCGAATGACGGTTGACAGGCGTGTTTTGACAAGGTGCTGGTCAAATGGGCGTCCAGGGTCATCGTACGCAGTTTTCCATCGTCTGCCACGTAGAAGTTCACCATCGGCACCGGGTCAGAGGCACCGCCGGGCTTTGCTGCCTTGTAGGTGGCAACCGTGACACCTGGAATCCATTCTGCAAGAGGGAGGATGGGTGTATCGTTCGACGAGGTGGAGGACTCTGCCTTCTGGTCCGTGGGGGCAGATGTTTGGTCCTTGGTGACAGTTGCCTGGTCCGTGGGGACAGCTGTCTGGTCCGTGGGAACAGATGCCATGTCAAAAGGCCGAGGAGGGGGGGAAGTGGGAGTGATTAGAGGTTCGAAGTACCGAGTGTGGTGGAACGACACAGAGAGGGAGACAGAGACAGAGACAGAGAGAGAGAGACAGAGAGAGATGGAGAGAGAGGAAAAAAAGGGGCAGGGTAAAAAGAGGGAGTTATTAAAGAACAACCGACGTGTCGGTGGTGGCCATACGCCCTACGGAAAAAAGGAGGAGGTTCAACCTTGAGGCAAGGAGTTACAGGGACTCTCTCCCTGCGCCCTCTGTCGAAAGAGGCGGGAATTCCTGTCTTGAGGCAAGAAGATGAGAACAAGGGGTCCACAAGGACTCTCTCCCTGCGCCCTCTGTCGAAAGAATGCGGGAATCTCTCTCTTGAGGCAAGGGCTCACAAAGACTCTCCCTGCGCCCCTTGACAACAGAAGCGGGAATTTCTCTCTTGAGGCAAGGAGTTGAGAGCAAGGGGTCACAAGAACTTTCTCCCTGCGCCCTGTTTCGAAAGAATGCGGGAATTTCTATCTTGAGGCAAGGGTTCACATGGACTCTGCCTGCGCCCTCTGTCGAAAGAATGCGGGAATTACTCTCTTCAGGCAAGGAGTTGAGGGCAAGGGGTCACAAGGATTCTCTCTACACCGCCCATCGTGGGCCAGAATCATGTCGGTCTGCAACTTGTGCCACCATCCTTTACGACTGGCAGGTTACACGACAGACCTGCCAAGTCCCTAGGTCATTTTCGATGACTCACAACCTCAACTGGCCTGTCCCCTGCAGACCCTTGCATTCCCAATCACAACTGAACTGCGGTGAGGCTCTCAGCCAGAGGCATCAACTCGTCCGGCGGTGGGCATGGCGTTGGGTACCACGGCTGTCCCACAGCAATAACAACACAACCATGGAGTAACTTGATCAGATTCAGTGGATTCATCGTCCTGACGGCCAATTGTCTTGTTGTGTGTGTGTGTCTTCTGATCGACGGTCCTTGTCTTGCCAAAGGGCCAAAGAAAAGGGGGCTGTCAAACACTAGTGTCGGAGATACCAACCACTCAGGCAACCAGCAGCTAGGAATGTCATCCCTCACAGTGTTGGAATGTATTGGCAATTCCACCGATCAGGTAGCTAGGAGGAATGTCAGCCATCCCTTGCAGTGTGAGAATGTATTGGCACATTCGGCGAATCAAGCAGCCAGGAGTCAGGAATGTCAGCCATCCCTTACAGTGAGAAAATTTAATGGCACATTCCACGAATCAAGCACCCAGGAGTCAGGAATGTCAGCCATCCCTTGCAGTGTGAGAATGTATTGGCACATTCCACCGACCACGTTTCAGCCTGTAGGGACGGCTCTCCCTTCTTTTGCACTAAAATCCGGCAACAACCGGGGCTTGGCTCGGGCTTCGACTGTTCTGGCCCTCCCTCCCTCACTGTTCAGGCCCCCCGCCCGATTGTCAGATACCACCTGATGTGTCGATCTTTTCTCCATTCGTGATCTTGGGCTGCAAGGACCTTTTTACAAACCCCTTGTGAGTTATTGATTTACACCAAAGGTCCGCTGATCTTGTGCGCCCGATGGCGGTGATTGCCTCGTCTAACCGCCCATGGTTGTTGGCTGGGCCAATCAATGTACTGTACGAGGTATTCGAAACGGAGTCTTGATTCATTGGCTCTCTCTCCCCCTTGGGCACCCCAGTCATTTCGGTGTTCAAGTGCTACCTTGGTGCCCAAATGCCATTTCGGGCTTCAAGTGCCACCTCGGGATTCAAATGTCATCACATGTGTTCAATAGTATCACATTTTGGCCCCCCACCCCTTTCTGTGCCTCCTTTGGGCCCTGCCTTGGGTGTTGTCCAAATGCCATTTTACGTAAAGCAACGTTTCATACCTGACATGATCCAACCAACCGGGGCAACGCGAACCGCCATCACCATGATGTGTTGGCAACCGCCCCAGGATCAGTGGCCCAACAGGCGTCGGCGGCGTTGAAGCCCGATTTCAGGATACGAATGGCTGGCTTAGTGAGTGCCACTGTTGGCGAATGGGCACCCAGCTGGGCACCCAGGGGGGGAACACACTATTATTAGGGTATTCTGCCCGGATTTCCTCCCACAACCACCACCAACCCACCACCTTTCTACTTCAATTACTCTACCACCATGGTTGCAAATCGTCCAGTAACACCTAGAGAGGAAGAGGAGGCCTCAGGGAACGCTCAGAACCCAACAGCAGTTAAAGAAAAGGTGCGGACGTTGACACAATTCTGCCAGCAAAAGGGCCTCGATGTTAGTCAACAGGATATCTTCAGGTTCTGCAACGTTCCTCCACGTACTGGATATCGCTATATTGCAGCATCTCAAGAGCCTCGAAGGCATCATAACTCGCCCTATCAGACAGAGAATCGTGGCAGAAGACCTCTCCTAAGTAATGGCGACTTTGAAGCTATCGAAGATTGGATACTACAGGGCGGATTTTACCACCGCGTGTGCGCTGGGCTTGAGGTCCTCCAGGAGGTCTTTCCAGATCGCGACCAGATATCTAAGCGAACTATTCAGAGGGCCTTTCAATCGCGAGGTTATTACAAATGCATTGCCTGCCAGAAACCTTTTCTAACGGCTAAATCGATCAAAGAACGCCGCGAATATCTAGCCATTCGAAGGCACTGGCCACGAAGCAGATGGCGCCATATACGCTTTTCAGACGAATGTCATTTTGGTCGCGGCCCACAGCGTAAATTACGCATTATTCGAAGGCCAGGGGAACGCTACCATCGCGATTGTATACAGAAGACGCCTAACGAGAAAACCGCGAAGCACAAGAACGAGAAACGCTGGCATATCTGGGCCGCCGTTGGCTACAATTTCAAGTCTAGATTGATCTTCTACGAGACCAGTTCGTCAAACGGCAAGATGACTAGCGTTGTCTATATCGATCAAGTACTTAACGAGGTAAAGCGATGGATCGAGAACGGCGAGGATTTCATCCTAGAGGAGGATCAAGATTCAGCTCACGGAGTAGGTGAGGATTCTTCTGTACGGCGATACAAGGAACAGATCGGTCTTAACTACTTCTTCAACGCCTCAGGATCGCCAGATCTATCGCCAATAGAGAATATCTGGAGAGTTCAGAAACAGAAGATTAAGCAGATCGATCATTTCGACGACGATAGCCTCGTTCAGGCTATCAATCAAGCGTGGGAGGACATTCCACAGGAGACAATTAACAGGTATATAGATAGCATGGTTGATCGAATGGCTAGCCTAGCGCTTAGGGGCGGCGATGTCACGGGATACTAGGCACAAGGTTTGTTTCTAGGTTATGTTTTGTACGGTATAGATCACTGGTAATAGGTGGTGGTTAGGGATGGTTGTCGCGGACGCATGTTAATCGCAATTAGGTAGGGTAGTGTGGGTGCGCAGTTAGCTGTGCCACTTTTTTTTGTCACCCGGCTCGCCGGGTGCTGGCTTGATTAGTAAGCTATGGATTTAGGAGTTGCCAGAGATGGAAATTATTCGGCTAATTATCCCAACAGGGTTAGGGCGATAAGCGAAACTAAACGACCACTCAGAGATGGCACAGTTCCAACGCCAATTCGCATCGGATGGATTAATCGCGGTCGATCGAGTACATGAACCATTTGCTGGTCAAGAGAGACTGTATACCTATGTGCCTCCTGCGGTACCCCGGCGGCGATGACTTCAATCCCACAGCCAACGAGACTCTCTCAAAGACGAAAACCGTCGTCGTTATATTTGTCTTCGCCACAGCCGGACTGTTGGCGTCTGGGCCGTGGTGAAGCCCTGGATCGATCGAGCGAGTGAGGGAAAGAAACACGTTTGTGCCGCTACTGTGCAGCACGACCGAGGAACAGGCGGGTCGCGACACTATATTTCTACTTAGTCCACGAGGGCAAAGAAATTCCCAGAGGGATTCCTCGCGCCGGTGGTGGCCTCGGGGTCGACATAAGAGGAGGAGGAGAACCGGGTGAAGAGGACGACGATCTTGCTGGTGAGAGTGGACAACGCGATCCTGTCGGTCGGACAAGTTTGAGGTGTGGAGAGACTCGATCAGCACGCCGGGGCAGCGCGATCTAAGTTCCACTCGGTACAATCCCCTTCTTTCCCACCTTGACTGATGTCATATCAAGACCCATCACTGACCACTTCTCTCCATTATGTGTGGATATATTACAGTTCAGCTCAGCCGCCTGCCTACCCGTCCCTCGAGGCCTTTATCGTCTCGAGTCGGTGACCCACGCCTCCCTTGCCGACCGTCGAGACCCTCTCGACCAGGCGGCCTACACGTGCGATCAGATCTTCTGACGCCGGAACCGTTCGCCTACGACATCGTCAGCGACCATATGCGCGTCCATGGCTTCGTTTATCGAGATCGACGTTGACGTCTCTCAAAGGTCTAGATCGACACCCCTCTACTCCGAGTTCAGTCAACACGGCCACCTTCTGGGTCGACCTCGGGAGCCCGGAGTGTCAGCGAGATAGATACAACGGCAGGTATGAGGTCCTGGGGTATATTCTATTCTTATTCTGGAAAACATGCTTCAAATGGCTGAGATTGTCGGTCGTTCGGACAGCAATTGATTGGGGCGATGAACAGGCTGTGGACACAGAGTCAACGTCGACGTCGGGGTATCTATTCACGCTGGCCAATGGGCCAATTCCGCAGTTTTCCAGATACATACGGTAACACATCCCCGAGTTCGGGTCCGTGATGGCCTCTCTTCGTACCCAAAACATGGATGCAATCAATCAATCGATAAATTAATCATGTGGCTCCTGCGTACGACCCTGCTACCTCATCATACCCGACCGTGAATGTCGCCGTTGCGGAGAAAGATACAACACAATGGTGAGAGACTGCACCAGCAACAGACCTCTCTCCCAGCCAGAACAAGATGTACTCCGACGGATGGTGAGGGAACACGCCTAGAGATATCAAGCGGGTAGAGAGCTCAGTCCGGAACTACAACACAAGACATTGACATCCCAGCTACTGGAGTAAATTCTACCCGTCTGGGAGCTTGACTCACAGAATGCCTCATACGATGGGATACTCGGAAGATAGAACAACGGGAATCACCGACGACGAATGGGGAGAAGTCGAAGCAATATATACCCCGGCCAACGATGCAGAATTCAATCAATCAGTTGGACAAGACCAAAGGCTCTAGCTGAACACAGCTGTATGCAGTAAGAGAAAACTTAAGGCTGGTGATTGATTGCCTTGGCTCGCCTCATGTGCCAGGGCCTGCTTCGTGTTGCTCAGCTGCGCATAGATAGCTCACCGAGTTACAAACCGCCCCTCGGGCCCCTCGGTTGGGACCTACTGCATATATGCATCAGAGTGCCACCCACAACCCGGTCCGAGGCCCATTTTGACCCTCGAAAAGGCCAGCCTCCAAGCCGAGCGTTTCAGAACAGCCAGTATCGCGGTTCTCTTCTCGAGCCGTAAAGGACCATTGAAATGAGGGCATATATCGTCGCCAGTAACGACCATCGGGGCTCTATCTTAGATACCTCACATCGTCTTCTGTCGGCTGGATCTCTCTGCTCATGAGGGCCCCTCCAAAGACCGGATACCTTATCCATTTTCTCGCATACACTGACAAACTCTCCATGTCGTGGCCACGGCCCATGTATGATTTTCGTTTCCTTCCGAGATACCTCACAGCATTCATTCTGCGGCCGCACGGTGCAAGGCGCTCGGTGCCAGCCACGGGCCAACACAACATTCCATACGAGTCTTGCCTCTCGAAAAGACAAGAAGACAAGAAGACAAGAAGACAACATGACAAGAACATGAATGCCAGCTGGCACTCCCCATCCCCTTTCGAAATGCTGCCCCCCTCACTCGACAGAAGCAGCATGTTTCATACACGAACGATGGAATCTCTCCTACGATCCTCAAGTCCGTCACGCCACGCCATCTCAGTTTCGCCGCATACCTCCCTCGCTGCGTCCCTCCCTTGCTGCATAAATCCCTCGCTGCATACCTCCCTTACTGCCGACCTCCCTCCTTGCATACCTCCCTCCTTGCGTCCCTCCCTCGCCGCATACGTCCTGCGCTGCATACCTCCCTGGCTGCATACCTCCCTCGCTGCATACCTCCCTCCTTGCGTCCGGAGTGTCATGGGTCCAGGCCTGGATTAGGAGAATGCAATCCCTGCTCCGTCCAACATTAGCCTGGGAACCTCTTTGGAGACAAGAACACAAGACAGATGGGCACAAGACACAGTGGGCTGAAGACTTGGAATGATTCGATGCTGGCTGGCAGACTGGCTGGCTGATCTCACCTCCGTCACACAGGACGCTCTGCCCGGTAATGTTCCTCGCCTTGTTGCTGACCAGGAAACTGACCAAGTTGGCGATATCTGCGGGTTCCTAGATCGCCGGTACGGAATGATGGTTATACTCAGTCAGCCATATGTTCCAAATGTCTTTTTGGGCAAGAAACAAGTCGGACAGAAGAGGAGGCATTCTTCAGGGAACAAGTCGAAGAGAAAAGGAGGCATCTCTCCAAGAGAACAAATCCAAGGGAAGAGGAGGCATCTTTCCGCAAACAAGTCAAACAGAAAAGAAAGCATCTTTCCAAGAGAACAAGGAGGCATCTTCCGGACACAAGTCAAACAGAAGAGGAGACATCTCTCCAAGAACAAGTCAAGCAGAAGAGGAGGTATCTTTATGGGAACATGTCGAAGAGAACAAGGAGGCATCTCTCCAAGAGAACAAGGAGGCATCCCTCCAAGAGAACAAGGAGGCAACTTTCTGGGAACAAGTCAAACAAAAGAGGAGGCATCTCTCAAAGAGAACAAACAAGGGTCCCCGAGAAAGACTTGACCTCCCACATACCTGTGCGCGCTTGAGTGCCGTACGAGACTCGATCGATCTCTTGAACGCCACCCCGGGCTCGAGGCCTTCGCGTTCCGCAATGCTGGCATCGATCTGCTTCCACATCTAAACAAAACAATGAGGTCAGTTAAGACCTTTTTCTGCACAGACCAGCTCGGAAAGTCAGTTCTCACATCTGTATCGACAGGGCCTGGGCAATATGCTGTTTTGACGGAGAGCATTGGTTAGCAAAACGGTCAAGGCTGAGAGAGCCGTGGTCTGGTCTAACGCACCGTTCACCTGTTGGGTATGGATTGTAAGTGGTCAGTCTCCCATTGTCTTGCTTTGTTTTCGTGGAAGCGGCACCGACTCACGTTGATGTCGTATTTGGCAAACTCCAGTGCGGCAGACTGCGTCAGTCCCCGGACAGCCCACTTGCTCGTCGAGTATGCAACGCTGTGACCTGAGGTCTGGGGTGCCAGAAGACCGAGTCAGCAGGGTTTGGTTGTCCCCTTTTGATGATACCAGACACAGGGTGTGATTGTCCCCTTTTATAACCGCAGAGACAGGGACTGACAACAGCAGACACAGGGTCCCTCTCACCGGTCGATAACCCGCCGTTGAACAAGCTGCCACCATCTTTCCACCTTTTCCTTGTTTGATCATCTGCTTGGCTGTACAGGATTCAGCACTCTGTCCGACAGTCTCAAAGACCAAGAAACATCCTTTCGTTCTCGACTCGAAAGGACTTTGTCGTCTCTCCCAAGACCGAGAAACCTTCCATTTTGAATCGGAAGGAGGATCAATCCTTGACTCTGTCGTCTCTCCAAGACCAAGAATCTTCCATTTCGACTCGGAAGGAGAATCAATCTTACCGGCTGCTCGATAGCACAAGAAGACTCCTCTCACGTTGATCTGGCCCGCCGTGCGTGGTTAGAGGGGAGACTTGAGCAAAACCAGATGCAAGGGGGTAGGGGGACACAAGGCTGTCAAGGGGGACGCAAGGGTGTAGGAGGAGACAAGGGTATAGGAGGACGCAAGGCGGTAGGGGTACACAAGACGGTAAGGTGGCACAAGACAGTATGGGGAAACAAGGGATAGGAGGACACAAGGGATAGGACGCAAGGGATAGGACACAAGGGCATAGGAGGACACAAGGCTGTCAGGGGCTGTGCTGCTACTCACCGATTGAACCCTGTCCCATTCCGCCACACTGACTTCCATGATCGACTTTGGCACCAGCACCCCGGCATTGGCGACCATGACCTGAAAAGAATCAGAGTCCAAAACAGCGATCGGGGACAGGGTGTGAGACCGACATTCAGCTCGCCAAACTCAGACACCACGTCGGCCACCATCTTCTCGACCTGGTCTTCGTTGCTGACATCGGCGACAAACGTGGATGTTTTGCGTCCTGCAGGCAGCCATATCCGGGTCAGTTATGGACGTGTCCAGTGCTGGGGCATGCTCATATGCTCACCCTTTTGCTCAATCTCGGCCTTGACGGCTTGAAGGTGCGGAAGCTGAGCCTCGACGTCGTTCAACTGTGGATGGGAAGAAGAATGTCAGCATCGGGAGGGGAATATGGTGCCGATCAAGGGAGAGAAGAGGGGGTAATGGTCGGGGATGCAATCTGTCTCCCCCCATCTCTTTCCCACTTCAGCATGGGGAATGAGATATGGGGATGATCAAAGGGGCGTAGAGGAAGGGGATGCAACGAAGCTGTCTCCGTCTCTCTCTCTCTCCATGTCTCTCTGCTTCGCTCTCTCTTCTTCTCTCTCTCTCTCTCAGTCTCTCCCTCTCTCTCGGTCTCTCTCTCGGTCTCTCTCGGTCTCTCTCTTTCAGTCTCTCCCCCCCTCACCCCCTTCTCTCTCCGTCGCTCGTTCTCTCTCTCTCGGTCTCTCTCTCTCTCGGTCTCACTGTCTCTCTCCCCTTCTCTCTCCCTCGGTGTGTGTGTGTGTGTGTGTGTGTACGCGCGTGTTATCTCTGACTCTGACTCACAGCAACATCCATGCCATCATCAGCGAGTTGCAAGGCAATTGCTCGCCCGATTCCTCTCGACGACCCGGTAACGATTGCGACGACCATTGCTGCTATCGACAGTGCCTATTCCTTGGCTTTTTGCTTTTGTTTGTTGTTAGGGCTTGTGTTAGCGCGGCCAAGAAATGATCAAGAGGTTTCTGTCTACTGAGGGGAAAGGAGCCAGTCTCCTCATTGATATATCTATATCTTCAGCCTCGCGTGCGGAGCCGTCGGGTATTCGGGTATTCGGTAAATTCGCACAACCGCAAATGCGGGGGAACTCAAGGCCACCCTCACACCATACGACCATGGGATTAGTGCACTCCATATCCATGCAGATACCAACGGATTTCTCCAACTGAGGAGACTCTTCTCCAAGACGGGCGGAAATGCGGAAGGGACGGGAAGGGAAGATGGAATACGCGATCAGTCGTCACCACACGACTCCACAGATGTCTCCAATGCTTCTTTCGGTAAAGCATGCCATACATATGGAGAGTATCTCAGTGTCGGAGGATCAAAACGATAGGGAATGCTCTCTGGACGGCAAGTCCGACAGCAGGTACTACAAACAACGAGTTCGCTTGACGTTCGGGTAGCATCTAACATATCACCACCAAATTTAGCTGGCGTTCATTTTCTATTGACCATACATCTATCTATCTCCGGCCTCGCCGTCGTCTAACCTCTTTATCCGCCTGATTGTATATACAGCTAACCTGGGGTGTTGATCCCTCAGAGATCCAGTCATTCTGTGACTCTGGCAGGGAGCATTGTTGCCTTTGCCTGCACCAGCCTCGTCGTTCGCTTGCGGACCCGTTTACCTCTGCCAAACGCAGGCATCGCTATTGACTGTGGCAGGACCAGCTAAGGAGAGGTCTCAGGCGAAGGACTGCGGTGCGGCCGTGGTTGTGGAGGTATATCCATCGGGGGAGATGTGTCTGGACAGGGCGAATCCGATGGCGGATGGAGGAGATCCTGGCACATATTCCACCTCTTCCTGTGTGATTGTGATAGGAACTGAAGTCACTCAATGTCCCTGTGGTGGTACCTGCGTGGGACAACCTGTTCTTGTCTCGCAGTGCCTTTTGATATCGCCGTTGTCTGTTCGATGGACGTCAAGCTGCAGTTCTTGGCACTCTTATTCCCGATTGGTGGAAATAGTTACTTTTCCTATTCGGGATAGTTAAGCGGGCTTGGCTGTTGTGCGAACCTTGGCTTTTGTACGAAACTTGGCTGTTGTGCGAGCTTTGGCTGTTGTGCGAGCTTTGGCTGTTGTACGAACTTGCGGCCCCCTGCCTGCGTCACTCCCAGCCTTGGCTGTCTGGAGGCATTCCCACACAAACAACGACTCATTTCAAGGGATTGGAGTCTGGTCATGAGTAGAATCCTCCTCGTGTGAATCGCAACTCGCTCTTTTGTTAGTATTTGTTTGTGATTGACGGGGTTAGCAGTGCCCAATGCCCAATTGTGACGTAGTGGGCAATGGGCGTCACAAGTTAAGCTGCCGGGGAGGAGGGAAGAGGAAGGCCGAACTACGATTTACTAGCTACTGGCTACTAGCTACCCAGCTATCCATAACTTTAGGTGGCCGAGGTGGCCGAGGTTGACCTGCAGCGAATATGTACATAGTAGCCCACCCACCCACCACCAAATCACCTCCCTGCAGGAAGTCGGATTTAAACCACCCACGCTTCGGGGGCACTGGTGCTCGTGCACGTTAAGCGACTCTTGGGGGTGGGGATGGCTTTGACCGAAGGAATTCTCCGAACAGGGGTCAATTATGGAGTTCGTAGTGATCCTCCGAGCGTCAATTATGGACCTGATAGTGACCTTCCAAGCACATGGCATGGCACTGACGCTGATACTGACAATGCCAAGGGGGCTTTTATCAGGTCCGTGGCCTTTCCCCCACTCCCCCTTGGTGTGTCACTACGAATTCATGATTGACTAGAAACTCTTGACGGAAAATATAGGGAATTTTTTCATATCTGATCAACTAATTGATATCAACCATCCATCCATACGTTCATCCATACGTTCATCCATACGTTCATCCATACGTTCATCCATCCATATATATCCGTTCATCCATCCCGGCTCAGCTCTCTTTCTTTTTCTCGTGCTCTGTCTTGTTCAACTCATACTCGCAGAGCAGAGGGCATCTCTCAGCAGATGGACACTGGGCATCGGGCATCGGGCATCGGATATCGGCCATGACTTCGGAGGTCTGAGGGGTCGGACTGCACGTCCATGTCTGGGGAGAGAGGGAGATCTTCAAGCTTTCGTATCATACATATAGTTTTTTTTAGCAGCGTGATGGAGGTGAAAGGACAAATGGCCATCTACAGGCTGCACGTTCCTCTTGCATCAATGACATTGTAGAGCTAAATAGCTGCTCCTGTTCAACACATCTCGGACACATCCTGACCTAGTAGTCTGCTAGTTCAGGCTTCGGGTTGCCCCCATCAACCTCGAGCCATAGCCCAGCAAACTGTTTGGTGGCTTCCACCTCTCGTCGATCAGATCCTTTTTCTCTCTCAATGGCCCTGAAAGCTCCCTGTCACCGACCTCCCTGATTGGGTTCCGCATGATCAACTACGCGCTAGTGACTAGACCCAAAGGAACACCACTCGCACTCGTCGAAGAGCCGTGAAGCAGCCGTGAATTGCAGCCCTAGCTGCCCTACAGTGCAAGCTTGCCCTCTAAGGAGGGTCCCACGCCTACGCGTAGCTAGGCTGTGATTGAATGACGCGCTTTGCCTTGTCTTTCCATTGAAAAAGCCCCTCCTACCCCCC